TTTCCCCCTGATTTCAAGATAAACATTTAAATTCATACTTTTACCTTTATTGATGGATAATCCCTGGCCTGGCAAATCAATGATAACTGCCATCTGGCTTCCCCTCGTGAATTTGGTGTCATTTGTGGTAGAATTCCTTCAATGTGGTTTATTCTCACTCATTGCCAAATCCTTCAACATAAGGATGGGTACACCCCTCAAGGGCAGAGCACTTTCCTAGCATGTGCAAGGCCCTGGGTTCTATCCCCAGCACCGAAAAAAAAAATCTTTCAACTTATTTTTAACCATGCTAATGAAATATTGTGAGAAATTGATTTTTTTATTATTAAAAACCAATGCTCAAGCCCAAAGAAACACTCAGCCTGTCCTTCAAAAACCCTTATCAATTTTCACAATATTTCTACATCATATTGGACAGACAGCCATCTTACAAAATGTTCCTCAGTCTCACCTCTTCAATTTTACTCCCTTTAAATGGTTGGAGCTCAAATTACCTCTCTGTAGGGGTGAAAAGAAAGAGCCCTTCCAGAGTTTTACTCAAAAGTATCAAGCAATGTCCAGGTGTGTCCTGCCCTAAGGGAGCTTTTTGGCCTTTTGTAGTGCTCAGTGGCCAGAAGGGCCACGCCCATCTCTTTTCCTAATTTCAGGTATTACAGAAAGGAAAGAATGAGTATAACTTCTTCCGTATTTGAGCCCAAAAGAGAGTATGGCATGTGTTTGAGTCTGGAGGCAAAGCCTTTCTCTGAAAATTTTCCTGACATTATTTCCTTGAGTGGAGAGGAGATTTACATTCATTAGGATAGAGACATTTCCAAGAAAAGCCAGCTGTTTTTAGCTTTTTCTTTATGTTTCCAGTGTTATCTTAGGACCCAGAAGATTGTCTGAAATAGGGAAGAAGCCAGTGCCCACGTAGTAAATCAATTCATGCATTAAGCAGGAATTCTCACTAAAATGGTAAAAGCTCAGAAATTATGTGTATTGGCAATCCTTCAAAAATATGTCATTATTGTGTTATTTTGTCTTTAACTAACATTAAAATGCTGCAGGGATTAATGCCACAAAGAAAAGTTTGTAGCAATTATTATCTCTTGGCAAAATATAGGAGAAATAAGTATCTTTGCACAGCTGCAGTCGGGAGCGGAGGAAGACGGTATAGAGGATTGTGCCAATGTGAGTGGGGAGTAGAGTCAGAATGGGGGCACGGAGGGAACGTTACTTGCAAGGCTTGTGAAAAACAAATTTAGAATGTTTGAAATGGATAGATGTAGCCTTACAGACAAACCAATCAAAATGCTAGGTGCTACATAAAGAAATGGGACCCAAACACATTTTGTGACCTGCCTAAGGTCATCTAGACATCAGCCGTGGGATGAGGAAGCAGGGTTTCTGACTTCTGGTCTCTTACTCTTGCAACACTGGGCTTCTCTCCACGAAGAACTAAAAAGCTCCCAACATCAGCCTGGCCAAAAAAGTGCAGTACCAGGAGTATCTTGGTTTTAGCACAAGATGCTAATCTGGTATACTTTAATATAGGCAAGGAAAAGGCACATTTTTTGTATTTTTATAAAAATAACCATGTCTCAGTTACTTCCTTTGTTGCTGGGACAAAATACCTGGCACCCACAACTTAAAGAAGGGGAGGTTTATTTGTGCTCACAGAGGTTAAGTCCATAATCAGCTGGCTGTAAGGCAGAGGAGCATGGCAGGGAAGAAGCAGCTCATGGCATGGCATCCAGGAGGCACAGACTGAAAAGGAAGAACTGGGAAGGGAGATAAACCCTTCCAGGCCATGGTCCTCCCAGTGACCCACCTTTTCCAACCAGACCCCTCCCCACTAGGAGCAACTTAGCTATAAACCCTGTTACAGCTTAGACATAGATATCTTCCCAAAGCTTCATGTGATCATTGAAGGGTCTTTTGGGAGGTGGCTGGATCTCCATTGTGTGAGCCTGGATTAAGGGTGTGTGATAACTGGATTAGTCCACTGATTAGGTTAGCATCTTAGTATGGATAGTGGAAAGTCCCACCCTGGGTAAGGGTGGTTCCAATCAATAGGCTAATAGCCTGGATGAAATATAAAGAAAAAGATGGAAGGCTGGCTCACTGCTTCCTGCCTACCTTGTTCTGAACAGTTTCTCCTCTGCCATGTGTCTCTGCCATGCTGCTCTGCCTTGGAGCACTGCAACCTCTACAAATTGGTAGTTAAAATAAACCTTTCCTCCTTTATCTTGTGTCAGGTATTTTGTTCCAGCAGCAATAAAAGTAACTAAAACAGTCCTCATAGTCCAATCATCTTCCAAAGCCCTGCCTATGATTGCATGAGGCTGTAGGGCGATACCTAGATATAAACCATAGCATTCCATCCCTGACCCCCAAAAGACTCATGTGCATCTCTTTATATAAAATGCATTCGGTCCATCTGTAAGAGTTGCCAAACTCCTAAGTTTCAGCAGTGCTGAAAAGTCCCAAGTCTAAAGTCTCTGCAACTCAAGGCAAATTCTTAGTGGTGAGCTCCTGTCTACCTATAAAAATCAGAAGAAAGTTAAATACTACTGACATACACTGGCGCAGGAGAAACATGCCTATCCCAAAAGGCAGAATTAAGGGTATATAAACTAATGGGACCAATACAAGATCAAAATCCAGCAAGGCAAACATCAGATCCTGTAGTTCAGCATCCAGCACCCACAGCAAGCTGTGGCAAGATGTCAACTCTGAAAAGGGTGCAGCCCCACCCCCTAGAGCTTTGCTGGTGGTTTGAGTTCTCATAGCTTCTCTGTGTACATTTGCTTCAAAATGGCCAGATCTGCTTGTCAAAGGGACTGAACCCAGGGCGCTTAGTACAAAACTGAACTTCACGAGGGGCTTTGAAAAGCAGGTGCTCCCGTGTGACAGATTTATCTGATATTCAGTACATTTCTGAGCAATCAAAGGCCCTATGTGATAAAGGAATGTTTTCTAGTGTATCAGCATTGCTTGGACCCTGGCTTTCCCACCAGACATCCTGGCTGGCTCAAAGGCAATGGCCAAGCACAGGGCACCAGGCTGACTGGAAAGCTCCTCATGGAAGTGATGGTGGAGGCTTGGCTTAAGCTAGCCAGTGCTGTTTTGGTTTTTTGGTTGAGTTTTTTAATCCTTAGATGGCAGGCATGAGGGGCTGGGGATTTAGCTCAGCGGCAAAGCACCTGCCTGGCAAGCGCAAGGTCGTGAGTTCGGTTCCTGGTACCGGAGAAAACCCAAAACAAACAAACAAAAAAAAAAGATGGCAGGCATGTAGCTACTCAGCTCATTGCTTTCTTCCGGGGTTCTTCCCTCTGGTGTCCTCGATCTCTCTTCTTGTCAGTTTTTCATCATGATAATTCAAGGACTTGGGCATTTTCTCAATTCTCACAGGATGCACAAGCACTTATTTCTAGTACTGTCCTACAGCAACTCATTTTCCCTCCCCTTTCTTTAACTCTGCACACATACACCAAACACACACACACACACATGCGCGCGCACACGTGCACACAGACAATCCACTGCAGATGCTTTACTTAAATATTCTCTGATCTCAGACGTGAGATGGGATGACCAATGACATGTCTGCAAGGCCAGGTGACTGGTGGGATATCTGACATACTAGTTTACTCAGTCATAAAGAGAACAAAGCTAATACTGAAGGTGAAACATATAGGGGTAAAGCATGAAGGGGGAAAGGAGGCTTTGAAAACTGCGAAGGGCATTACTGGGATAAGAGAAAGTCAGAGAGTGATCTATTCTTGGGTTATTCACACAAAACTGGACAAACTAGTTGTTTGTCCACTGTCTTTAATGAACGCAACACCACTCCAGAAGTATCTCCTTTCTCAGTCAGCCTCCTTGGAGAGAGTCCTCATCAAGTCAAAATGACAGTGCTATTCATGGGCTCAGGCATTCTTGTTCTCTCTAAAGGTTATTGTTGTGATGATGATGATGATGATGATGATGTTTAAATAATTAATTTAAATAATTTAAGGCATGAAGTTCAAAGATAATTTGAGAATCTGTCTTAAGAGGCACACATTGTCTTACTTTTAAAATGCCTTACTGTAAATAAAAGCCATTTTAGTAAGAAATGAATCTCCCTCAACTTCAGCATCTTGAAGGATAAATGCAGCACTTCAAGTCTCTACTTGGAATATAGAACTTGTAAAACCCTGGCTTTTACTGGTTCACATAAAGGGTCAGGGTCACATCTAGATCTAGATTTAAAATTTTGCACACTACTAGAATTACCTTTAGATATCAACCTAAAATTAGAATAGAAGCCAACAATGTGGACTGCAGGCCATGGAAAATGTTTGACATAAATATTTCCTTGGTGACCTTATAAATATGGATAACAAGTGCTGGAGATCAGCTGTCTGACTTAATTGTACAAGCAGTATAAGAAGAGGCAGGAAAAGTGGGTAGGAAAAGAGGACCGAAAATTTAGTATGTACTAAGCGGCAAACACTTCCCTTTAATCTCTCCAGTGACCACGTAAAGCAAGTAACATAAATCCCCTCCTTGATAAAACCGAAGACTAAGGTTTGGAGAGGCTAATTGGCTTCTCCAAGAGTCACACAGCAGTTCAGTGACAGGTCTAATGTTCTTTCACCTGCTGCATGACATGACCCAGCTATATCCTGTCAGGAAATGTGTGGCTGCCCATGATTTTTATTCTGAGATTCTCAGAAATAAGAAACAGAGAGCAAATATAGCTGAGTTGGGAGAGCACTAAACTGAAGAAATAAGAAATTACTTCCCCTCACACACTTCACATAAATTTCATTTATATTCTAATTTGAACAGGGTTGACCTTGGCCAACATTCCTGAAGAAGCCAGGCCTGGCAGCTTTTTTGAATAAAAGGGTGTAAAAAAAAATGAAAAGGCAAGACACTCAAAAACCAAGTCCTTTTCCCAAAATCCCTAAAGCAGATTCCCACTGGAGTCAGGACAGGAGCTTAGGAGTTCCATCTGGATATACAGCAAATTCATGTGGTACTTCACTGTTTATTAAACAACAGATCTGAGAGTTGGAATGAACCTCACTGGAACCATCCCCTAAAGAGGCAAATCAACCCAAAAGTATTCCGTATCTGCAAATGAAATGTGAACTCGTTAAGAATTAGCTTCCTCTCCTTTCCAAGTATAAATCCCTGGGTTTTTAGTTCATTCAGCTCCAGATCTGCTCCTTGATAAGCCACATCATTCCAGGCTTAGTCTGGGAATAAGCCACCACAGTCCCCTCCTTCTCTCTATTTCTTCAGGAGGATGATAAGTGGCAGGCAGGGTCTCCTCGCTTCCTGCTACAGTCTTCACATATATGTGGGCTTCTTGTGCTCCTGCTGTGTTCTTCATATGTGTAGGTGACCTCCTAGGATTCTTGAAAAAACAAATATATTTTTAAAATACCCCCAGAGACTTCTGCGGCTGTCCAAATTGAAGTAATACAACCATATTTACCATCCCACCTGAAACAACCAAAAATCAGGGGAAAAAATTCAAGCAATAGTTTTAAAGACACTGGACATCACATGAGGAAGGATAGTGATATTTGAGAGACAGAAAACAAAGTGAGGAAAGGTTTGCAATTGCTTCTCTGACTGCCTTTGGAACATTTTCAGGTCATGCAGTTCTCTTTTGCTCATTAGCGTAGAAGCTTTTTTTCCATCCTTTAATATTTAATCTACCCGAATCTTTATATTTATAGTGGGGTTTTGTATACATCATATATTTGGATCTAGCTTTCATAACCTGAGTATCTCTGCCTTTCAATGGGAGTATTTATATCATTTACATTTAATGTGATCACCAGTATAGTTGAGTTTAAATCTACTGTTATGGTTCAAATACAAAGTGTCCTCCAAAAGGCTTATTGTATTAAAGGCTTGGTTGCTATTTGATGGGATTTGGAGAAGTGATTGGATCATGAGGGTTTTAGCTTCATCAAGTGGATCAATCCATTAATGAGTTCACTAGCTGCATGAACTCTTCAGAGGTAGGGCCTAGTTAGAGGCAAGGAGGTGTGCCTTTGAAGGCTATATCTTGTCCCTGACCCCTTTCTCTCTAATTCTTTTCTTCCCTCTTTCTCCATTTCCGAGGTGCTATATACTGAAACCATTTCTATACCACACTTTCTCCCTTTGATGTCTTGCCTTACTTTAGGTCCACAGCAATGAAATCAGCTTACCATGAATTGAAACCTCTGAAATCATGAACCAAAATAAATCTTTCTGCCTTTAAATTGTTATTCTTGGATATTTTGCCATAACAATGCAAAGCTGACTGATATACTGCTATCTTCCCATTTGTTGTCTAACTGTTCTACCTGTTCATTGTCTCCTCTAAAATAATTTTCTGCCTCATTCCATATAGATTTTTGAAAAACCTTACTAAATTTCATAAAAAATACATTAGGATGTATATTGAAATTACATTTATTATATAGATAATAAATGAACCACCAGTTTGTAGTGTTTGACATCTTTGTACTAGTAAGTCTTCCTGTCTAGGAGCATGATACACAATCCTCATTGCTTAGGAATTTATTGTCGTTTACTAAAGTTTTGTTTACATAAAAGGATTACAATTTTGTTAGATTTATTTTTCAGCATTCTATATATTTTTATTACTACTGCAAAGTTTTGCAATGTTAATGTTAAGAAGTACACATTAATTTTTTAATTTAGAAAACTTGTTAAAATATCTTGTTAATTCCGATAACTTATCTGTAGAAATTTTGGCTTTTCTGTGTAGATGAGCACATCTTCTACAAATAATGACCACTGTGTTTCTTCATTTTTAGACTTACATTTTCTTTTTCTCTTTTTTTAAATCCTACTCTATTGGTGAGGATCTAAGGTACAATACTGAATACAAGTGATGAAAATCTTTGATTTATTTCTGATGAGAATGGTTTCAATATTTTATCTTATTTTATTTATTTATTTATTTATTTATTGGTACCAGGGACTGAACTCATGACCTTGTGCTTGCCAGGCGGTGCTCATGCCACTGAGCTATATCCCCAGCCCTTCAATATTTTATCTTTAGGGGTGACATTTGCTGTAATTTTTAAAAAGACTGTCAACTTTCAAATTAAGAAGTTCTTACTCTAAAAAAAGTTTCTACACTAGTTTGCGAAAAGTTCACATCACAAGTGACTCTTTTTGGCACTCTCTTCACCCCCAGAGATGGTCACACAGCTTTTTCCCTTTTAATTTGTCTCTGAAATGAGTTATGTTAAGTTGATTTTCTAATATTAAATAAACCTTGAATCCCTGTCTGGCCAGGGAGAACCACCTTTGTTCTTATGTTTCTTCTGGTCCTGTTTCTTTCACATACACCTACATCATATGATCTACATGAAAGTCCTTAAAACTCTTAGTATCACTAAGGTATGAATCATATATAGAGATTGTACTTGAAAGTTCTTACCTCGGATATCTTGGGATTGTCATAGATTTCTGAAATTTCACATGGTCTCTCACTTTCCTAAAAATTAAAAAAAAAAATGAAGGGTTGCAGCATTTCACCATAAGCATGATGAAAGTCAGTGATTCTTAAGCCTAAAAGCTTTAGAATCATGAGAATGCTTTAAAAACAAAACATGCACACAGATAATTACCCTTGCAAATGAAACAAACTCAAGAAACACCATTATGAGTTACTCAAAAGTAATTCAGAGTTGACACTATGAAGAAGTGGATCAGAGTAGAGATAAAACAACATTGACCATGAGTTGATAGCTGGATTCATTGAACTATTGCTTTCCGCTTAGTGTACATAAAATTATACTAATCTCCTTTATCCAAAGTTTTGCTTCCCCCAGCTTTAGTTAACCAGTGGTCAGCTGGGGTCTGAAAATGTTAATAGAAATTCTAGAAATAAACATTTAAAATTGCCATTCTGATTCTGAATAACATGATGGAATCTTGACCATCCTGCCCAGGATGTGAATAACCCCTTTGTTTAGTGAATCCATTCTCTATATGCTACCTGCCCTATGGCAGTTGAGAAGCCACAAACCACAACCAAAACTTTTATTATGATATATTATTTTAATTTTTCCATTGTTGTTAATATCTTATTGCCTAATTTACATATTCAATTTTATCATAGCTATGTGTACACTTAAAAAAATATATATATATAGTTCAGTAAGCTACATTGTCAAGCATCCTTTGAAGGGTATTGGAATGTAAACTTTGTGAACAACAGGGGACTATTTGTATCATTAATTTTAAAAAATTAACGTAAGTGCCATGGCTCTTTCATCTAGAAATTTTTATTAAATTGGTTTTGGTGACTGATGTATTTATGACTTCCTAGGTGATTTTAAAATACACTGAAGATTAAGAAACTACTACTTATATAGTACCATCCCCCACAATACTTCTTAATATGTTTAAGCTATAGCTTATCAAAGCAACTTTACATGATTTATTGTTGTGGCTTATATCCAAATGTCCCACCAAAGTTTCATGTGCTCACAGGTGAGGCTTTTGGGAGGTAGCCAGATCATGGTGTATGATACTGGGTTATGTGTGCAATATATTGGTTTACCATAGCTTTGGGTGTGAATAATGGGAAGGCCCACCCTGGGTATGGGTGGCACCAACCAAGAGACTTGTAGTCTAAATGGAATAAAAGGAAAAGGAAGATTCACTGCTTGCTGTTTCCTGCCTGACATGCCATGGACTCTTTCTTCTCTGCTGTGCCCCCTGCCATGGCCCCTTGTCTTGCAGCCAGCTGACTATGGACTGAAACCTCTAAAAACTGTAAGCTAAGATAAACTTTTCCTTTAACTTGTAGGCATTGGGTATTTTGCCCCAGCAACAACTAAAACAGATTTTGGTACCAGAGAATGGGAGTTGTTGCTATAACCCTACCTGGCCATTCATGGTTCAGAAGCCTCTGGAAGTGGCTTGAAGGAACAGTTTACAAACATTTGGAGATGCTAGCTGGAGAAGCAGCTCTAGAATGCTATAAACTGAGCATGGTGGGAGATTATGGTCAGAGTTCAAAAGACCAGAATGCTGATAGGAATGTAGCCAGTAAAGACCAGGCTCAGGAGGTTTCAGTTGGGAACAAGGACTGCATGGATGGTTGGACACCAGTGTTTGTAGCCCTTGTGGCTTCTCTCTTGGGTCACTTTGCTCACTCCTTGTGACTTTCTTCGGCAAATCCATGTTCCTGGCTTCCCCAAACAAACAAAAATTTGTTTACATTTTGCCCATGTCCACAGACAGTATGCAAGACTAAAATTAAGAGCAGTGGACAAATTAATCTAGCAGAAGAAATTTAAAGTCAGTCTAATGGTGAAGTGGTGGTATGGTTACTACCTTGAGACTCAAGAGCAAACAGTCCAGCAGAATGATTCAAAAAGTTTTGAGTATAATAAGAAAGGAAGCTCCAGTAATGTGGCAGGCTGCAAAGATGGAGCATAGAAGAGCTTGGTTACTGAAATGACTGGCATTGAAAAGCCAAGTACTGCACCTTGGAGCCGGACAATAGAAAAAATGGCCTGAGGGCATTACAAGAACCAGCCTTTGCAGCCTCAAGATTGCAAAGGTGAAAGACTTTGCTTTGAGAAGAGAACCTAAAGGGATCATGTTCCAGAATGGCAACAGCCTAGGGAATTTGTTCTTTGAGATGGGGTTTATAGTGCTCAGCCATCCAGACACTCAACAAAGCACCCTTACAACCAAGAGAAAAGGAAGCTTGGTTATTGTTCCAGCCAGAAGCAGACCTTGGCATCATCCATGTGGTGCTGGTTTTAGGTGCATGGAGAATATAAGAGTTGTAGGGTAAGGAAGGCTTCTATCCATTCCAGAAGAAGACTTGGAAGGCCAGGCAGTGTGATCCTGAGAGAGCAGTGTGCAAAACTGTGACTGTGAACCCCAAGGTGCAGTGAGGACCCCAGAAGTTTGGGGAAGCCAGGAACATGGATTTGCTGAAGAAAGTCACAAGGAGTGAGCAAAGTGACCCAAGAGAGAAGCCACAAGGGCTACAAACACTGGTAGTGTCATAGGGGCAGAGCCACCCAAGATTTTTAGAGCTCACATTTTACTACAGATTGCCCTTGGTGCTAGACATAGAACTATGAGGTTTAATATTTGTCCTACTGGATTTTGAACTTGCGTAGGTTCCATTCCTTTCTATTAGCATATTTCTACCTTTTAGAATGGGAATGTTTACCTTGTGCCATTGTATGTAATTTCCTTTTCATTTTTATTGGGGTTCACAACAAAAGTTTACCTTAAATCTCAGAGTAATGTTTGAACTTGCACTTTTCGGCAGTGCTGAAACTGTTAGGACTTTGGCAACTCTTAGAAATGGACTAAATGCATTTTGTATTAAGGGATGTGCATGCATCTTTTGGAAATAAGGGATGGAATGTCATGGCTTATATCTAGATGTATCCCAAACCCTCACAGGTGGGGCTTTTCGGAGGTGGTTGGATCATGGATGTGTGATAGTGAATTATGGTTGTATGATAACTGGATTAGTCCACTGATTGGTTTAGCATAGTTCTGAGTATAGAGAATGGGAAGGCCCACCCTGGGTACAGGTGGCACCAACCAGTAGGTGCATGGCCTGAATGGAATAAAAAGGAAAAAGAAGGCTCCCTGCTTGCTTCTTCCTGCCTGCCATGCCATAGATTCTTTCTCCTCTGCCACGCCACCCTGTCTTGGAGCCAGCCAACTACAGACTGAAACTCCCACACACTGTGAGCTAAAATAAATCTTCTTTCCTTTAACTTGTGGGTGTTGGGAATTTTGCCCCAGCAATGAGAAGGTAACTAAGACAATTATTGTCCATTATTTCATGTCATCCTTGTAATTCTGCCTGTCTCTTTAAACAGAGAAAGTAGAACTTTTTCCCCAGTAGAGCTGGTAATCAAATCTCTGGCCTTGTACATGGTATGCAAGTGCTCTACCACTGAGCTATGGCCTCAGCCTATGAGAGTCGTTTTTATAATACCTGTTTTTGTTTGCCTGTTTGTTTGTTTTTGTTTTCTCAAGACAAGATCTCACTATGTAGGTCAGTTGGTCTTGAACTCACAGAAATCCTCCTGCCTGCACCTCCCACATGCTGGGATTACAGGTAAGAGCCATCACTCCTGACCAATACCTGTTTTTCAGTTGAACTGGAAAAGCATACAAAATGTTAAGTTACATGTCCAGAATCATATAAATCATAAGGAGATAGAGCCAGGATTAGAACCTAGATTTTCTGTCTCCTATTATTGCTTACCAGTGTGAAAGCAATCATGAATATTTACAAGTAGAAAATGAAATTAGAACCCAGAGTCTACTTAATACAGTTCAGTCACAACCATAAAACTTTGTTGGGTTGTGGCCTGCATTGTCCTTGAATTCTGAGCATGACCCCCAGAGCAATATAGCACTGGATGAACATTCTCTTGCAAATTGTGCTTGTTCAGACCACACAGGGAAAAGATGTGGTCTGGACATATCCCTGCCACACACACACAGTACTTCTTTATCTCTTATTTTTTCTAACACTACCTCTGTACTTTTTGTGAACCTTGTGCTCCTTTCTCCCCCTCAACTTAGAAAATACACCCATTGTACAGAAATGTTTGCCATGGCAACAAACATCCCACTCCACTGCTGTTGCCATTCCACATGCTATCCTTGTTGCCAAGGATGTCCTTACATGACCTGAGCATTGTGTGTAAATTAGCTCTTTCTGGTGAAGAACAGAATTGAATGTAAAAAGGGACCTCTACCACTTTGTCCTCAGGAAATAACACAGACCCTCAATTCTGATACTTTTAGCCCAAAAGCCAGTTCACTGATATATTGATTCCTACATATCCAGACCCAAAAGAGCTGGTCATCACCTCAGCAGACTCACTGCTTCTTCTTCTTCGGTGAACCAAAAGAAAAAGTAAGGCCACCAGCAGAGCTGTGGCCACCAATGATGGGATGCCTGCTGCTAATCCAACAGAGGGCCCACAGTCCTGGCACAGAGAGAAAAACACAGAATGAAGGGAAGTTCAGATTCTTCAATACCTAAAGAAATTTTCAATATATTAAAAACAGAACAAAAATCTGCATAGACTATACATGTCATATACCAAATCAAAAGAAATGAAATACCATGGGGAAAAAATTTTTTTTTTTTTTTTTGGTTTTTCTATGGTACCATGAACCGAACTCACAACCTTGCGCTTGCCAGGCAGGCGCTTTTGCCGCTGAGCTAAATCCCCAGCCCCAGGGAAAAAATATTTTTAACATATGTGACAAATGACTCGTTGTCCTAGGACTTAATATACATAGTAATTTCTTGTTTGTTTATTTTTGTTTTTTGAAATCCTGGAGATCCATGAACCCAGGGCCTTCACACTGAGCTACATTCCTGGCCATTTAGATACAGGGTTTTGCTAAAATGCTTAGTTATCCAGGCTGGGCTCAAACTTGCAATCTTCCTGCCACAGGAAGAGGGCAGAGATTACAGGTATACTCCCAGCTGTTCAAATCAATTGGAAAGAGTGATAATCTAGTAGAAACACGGACAGTTGATCTGAAGGAGCATTCCTAGGAACAGAAACACAAATGTCTCCTCAACACAGGAAAAGCTGAGGTAAAAATCAGCACAACAATTAGAAGCCATGTTTATCTATCAATCCAGGAAAAAAGTAAAATCTTTTATTATATCCCACACCCTTTTCATATGATTTTTAGAAGTTATTTACACTAAATATATTAATCAATTTTCACATGCCCACTTTGCTTTGATTTGGGTAGAAATAATCATGCTTTAGCCATGTAAATTTTCAAATTTGCATATTTTCTAGAAATATTGACAACAATCTACAAAATCCCTATAGATGGGCAAAACTTGTATATTGCTGGGTTCTCCTTCCTTTTGGGGGGATATGGTTTTATGGAAAAATAACAAAACTCTATAAGCCATATATGTACAGGTGGATGACTTTTCACATGAATGCATCCATAAAATCAACAAACCAAATCGGATCAACAAACCAAACACAGCCTGGACCTCAGAAGCTCCCTTTGTCTCTCTGTGTGAATACTATCTTGAAATCTCACACTGTAGTTTTGTCTGTTCTTTATTATCACAGATACAAATAGAAGGTTTATATTCTTTTGTGCCTGGTTTCTTTTACTCAGACCTTTGTGAAATCCATCTGTGATTTGTGTGTTGTTTCCCCTTGGTTTTGAGCCTAGGTGGTCATAAGAATAACTGTTGAGACAAGTTCTGGATTCTAGAATTCACATATCAAATTTTTATCCTCAAAAAAAATGCATGAGATGGGTAGGCCATTATTTTTCTCCATTTTATAAATGATGCAACCAAGGGTTGATAATTTAAGTGATACTTACTGCTTCCTTCCCACCTGTAACAACTGGAGAGGAAGTCTGTGTGAAAAAATATATATATTACACATTACACAAGATAGTCTATCAAAGATTAAGCTATAATGTCTAAAGTTCACTCCTTGGGTCAGCTATTAACAACAGCTACCAAAGAGAAATGTGTTTGGTTCAATTCTCTCAGGTAAGAATTGAAATGAAAGTTGGCTACAAGTAAAAAGAATTCAGAACTTCAGGTCTTGTTACTCACCTTATGAATTTGTCATAACGTATTTTATATCTCAAAAAGATTTTCCCCTGTTCCTAGTTGCCATACCCCTTCCAGAACACTTTGGCTATAAGAGGAACAAATACAAATACTGGAATAAAGCTGTTTAAGAAAGCTATATTTGTTTTCAAATACATAATGAGGCAAATGGCAGCAGTTGTAAATTAGCTGTGCTCTTGGGAATAAGACCACATTGAATGAATACATTATGTGTTTCTGGTTCACATCACTCAAGGAAAGGCACTGGACTTCAATCATTTCTGCAATGTTTAAGACAAACCTTGATCAATGAACCTTCATCAGTAAAAACCTTCAGTAACTCTAAGGGAACAGAGTTTTACATGAGCATCTAAATATGTAAACTATGCTCTGTAGTGGCACGTAGAATTAAGAGCACAGATCCTGGTACTGGGGATATATAGCTCAGTAGTCAAGCACTTGTTAGAGTGTTCGTGGTCCAGGGTTTTATCCCTAGCACTAGGGAAGAAAAAAACACAGATACTGGGCTTGCATTGCCTGAAACTATAGTCATTCTTCTACTCAGAAGCAAAGAAGCCTCATTTCTTCATCTACGTAGGGACAGTAGTAGCTACCCTCCAAGGTTGTTGTAGGGGTCAAATGTGTACCATAAGTATGGGTTTTTGTTATCCCTTAAAATTTTGCAAAGCTCTGATCAGACCTATTTATTTAATCCGCTTAGCAACCTCAAGTCCTGGGGTCTTTTAATAATTACTATCTCTATTTTACCAATGCAAAAAGAAACAACAAAACAAAACAGACCTCAGGGAAGTTATGGCACTTGTTCAAAATTCCAAAGATAACCATAAATCTAACCTGAGCTTGCATGCTTGGATACTATTCTGAAAGAGAGGTATTTGATAACTAGGTGTTATGGCTTACGTCTAGATGTCCCCTCAAAACTTCATGCAGTCATAGGTGGAGCTTTATCAGAGGTGGGTGGATCTAGAGTGCACGACACTGGGATTAAGAGTGTGTGATTATTAAATCACACCACTGATTGGTGTGGCACCGCCCTAATCCTAGTAGTTTAGATGAATATAAAGCGACAGAAAGATGCTGTTAAGGTCCCTCCTTGTTGCTTTTGCTACCTTCTGGCTGTCACCAACTATTGCTCTTCTGCAAAATCATCCTGCCTTGCAACCAGCTGATTATGGACTGAAACCTCTGCAGATTGAGCCAGATAAACTTTTCCTCTTTAATTTTGGGTGTCCAGTATTTCATCTCAGCAATGAGAAAAGTAGCTAAGACACCAGGCACTAAGACTTGCTGGTTAAATGGTTACACTTTCACCTAAACATAATTTCCTCACCGCCCCCCCCCGTATTACTTTAACCCTGCATCTTATGTGTTTTATTTCTAAGGGTGTTGGAAAGAGTCAACCATCAATTAAGGTAAAATATTCTATTTTCAGTCGCAGAAATTTACTCAGGTTGGCTTTGGCGAAAAACAAAACACACAAAAAAAAAACTAAATGGAGTAGAGGATAATTCATAGGATACAAAGACCCTTTGTGGAGCTCAAGAACAGGTGGGGCTGGGGATTTAGCTCAGCGACACAGAGCCTGCCTGGCAAGCTCAAGGTCGTGAGTTCGATTCCTGGTACTGGAAAACAAAAAACAAAAAAAGGACAAATGGGGAGCTGGTTTCCCAGGTAGGAACAGAGGTAGGAATGGGAAACTGGTCAGGAGGAAGCCGCTCTTCTCTCTCTATCTCTCCTAAGAGCCTGGCTTTCTGTCTGTGCCCTTCTTTGCATGTTTACTTCCTCTGTCTGTATAGTTTTATAACATTTTCTGCTCCTACAAGTACTTACTAATTATATTTGCTAATGCTCATGGAGCACCTAATATGTACCAGGCTGTTCAAACATTTCCCATATTGACTCTCTTATTCTTCATAACAGCCAGAGAAGGAAGAGGAAGTTAAAAGAATTAAAGATATATGCACGTACCAACTTCAACTCCCCAGGATGAATGTAATCACTATGTACTGCAAACACATACTAATAAAATATTTTTAAGTTTTTAAAGAACAGCCAGTGAAGCAGGACTATGATTACCATTTCACAGATGAGAAAAGTGAGGCAGAGACATGAAGTAACTTGTGTGAGGTCAAACTGCTCTAGGTGGGAGACTTGAGCAGTCTAGCTTTAGGATCTAGGATCCAGGCTCTTATCCACTGTGTCGCCCTTCCTCCAAGGTCAAAAGCAGCAGCCCACCTCAATTTTTCACACTTGAGAGTTCAGTATGGCCCAGCAGGGAGTGACTTGTCTACACAGGTAGCGCTATTCCAAACTCCCTACAAAGGCTCTACTTCCAGGTTTCCATCTCTCCCACTTCCCAGTCGATTCCACTGCACTGATGGGCAGAATGACCACCTTTGGTGGTTTCCCAGAGAGGCCGTAGGATGTTCTGTACTAAAGCAGATGGTCTTAGGCAAACTAGGGTGGTTGCTCCTATACAGGTTCAAGGTGGGGAAGGGACAGTTTGCAGAGAAATGAGCTGTTAACCAAGACAATATTTCAAAAGGTGGCAGCTGGCACCATAAGGGCCTTCCTCCCGCCCCACTCACCCCTGCTGCCACAAACAGTGGCTTCTCTGTGTTGTCTTGATGTGATGAGCCAGTCCAGCAATATGACAAAGCCTGTGCTTCAACAGATCTGCAGGGTCCCAGCAGCCAGAGGTAAGTTCCACAGCAAGTAAAGGAAAAACTTTGCCAAATAAGGACAGGGATGGGGAATATGTCTACAGACAGCAGGGAGAGGCTGAAGTAGGGAGACAGGGCATGTTGGGAGGGTTCCACAGCCAGCGGAGAGGCAGAAGGCAGGGGACCACTCCCAGGAAGGTGGAGCCATACTGGCTGGGACACAGATACTCAGAACAGATGGTGGTGGGCACCAGAATTTCAGCAGTAAGTTATAAGGGTCTAAATTCCTTCCACTCTCTGTACCTATACCCCCATGTAAAGTAAAACTAAGAACTAGTTTCAGGGTCCTCTGTTTTTTGGTTTTTTTTTTGGTACCGGGAATCGAACTCAGGACTTGGTGTTTTCCAGGCAAGAGCTGTGCCATTGAGCTAAATCCCCAGTCCCTCAAAGTCTTCTCTCTTTGCTGTAACCATGTAACTTACCAGAAAAATTTGGCATGGTCGAATATCTAAAAATCTGGGCCAGGAAAGCATTTCACTCAGTCACAGCATACGACTGATCAGAAAATAACTGTGGATGTTAGTGTTGACTCTACACAACATGCGAATGGAAGCTGGAAGTTCAACTGTGGGTTGAAGCTGTATGCCCTCAACAACAGCATTCTGTTTTGACTTGGAGCTAAGTATCATAATGAAGAACCTTAACATGCCCATTCATGCTGACCCAATCATTCCCGTGCCAGAACACACACTAAGGAAATAATTTTAAATACAGACAAGGTTTATCTGTAGTGATGTTTATTACAAAATTATCCCTAACAATAATCAGTTAAAGAAATAATTCATTTAAATAAATAGCATATGGCTATCTTCAGTAATGGTTATAAAGACTGACTGAAAATAAGATATAAAATTACATGTAAAATAAAAGCACAATAATACAAAGAAAACAAAAGTCGAAAGTTACATGAAGTCAAATAGAATGAAAGAGGTTACATTAATGTTTTCTGCTAGTGGGAATTTAGGGTTTTTTGTATTTTTCAATTTTTTTCAAAATGTGCATTTGTAAGTTTTATAACTGAAAGATTGCTCTCAGCACTCCTCAAATTTCATCACTGCTTTTGTCAGACACCATTGTGTAATGGGTAAGATACAATGAATGTTTAAATTTTAAAAATGTTATTACAATAAAAGATACACTGCCAGTAATCCCTCTCAAAATACTGAAAATATTCCCCCTTGCTTCAAGCACACTTACCCCCTCATTCTTGGCAATGTGTCTTATACTGTAATAAGATTTTTTTAAAGTTAAACACTCACCATCATTTTTGATCACCTCTTGTGCACCAGGTGTGTGGGACAAAGTTCTGGGATTCCCATGTAAATTGTGCCTGGACCTTTGCTGCCCTGCTGGAGCAGCTTCTGCTATACTCACCGTGTTAGCCGGCAATGTGAAGTTTAATGAGAAACCCTGCAAGAGAGTAGGACGTGTTAAAACTCCCAGGAATGGTTAACGTAGGTCCTGACCCCCCCCCTAAACTCACCACCCTGGAGAATTCCACAGAAATGTGTTGATCCCATAGACAGGTTCTGCCAGCCCAGTCTCTGCTCCCAGGCTTGGCTCCAGAAGGAGGGGGAGGAAGAGAGAAGCCTGAGGTAGTCACAAGATTCTTCCTCAGCAAAAGTCAGTATTGCTCCTTCCCCTCCAGGTCTCCAATCGGGGCTGGATTAGGGGACCAATGAGGCTCTAGACTAAGGGGCCCTAATCCACAAGGGCAGTAGAGAAACATCACCAAAAACACAGCAAGGTCCTGGAAACCCACCCCCCACTGGCTGAGAACTGGGTGAATCTATTTATGCAGTATTTCCTACTTACTCTAAAAGGTAAGCCCCGTAAGAGGGATGGTCTAACACCTGAACTTTAATTTCTGCTTAGGAAAGACTAGACTTCTGTTTGTTCCAAAGCTATGGAACTGAATGGGTCAGAATCGCAGGGCAGAAGTAACCAGTCTCTGCCCTCCCCTCGCTTAGCACCCCTTCTCCCTCTCCTCTACATGTGGACTTAGTATTTAGATTGTGGACTCAAGTAGGCTGCCCAGGAGCCTACTTATTTGGGCCAGGCCAACGCAGAGAAGTGGTGGCTCTGTTTGGCTCCCTGTCCCCACCCCATGGCCCCAATTTGGGTTCATGCTGCTTCTTTCCAGGCTTCTCTTTACCAGGTCCCCTCCTTGCCTGATGAGAACAAGGCTCTGATGCAGCTGGTCCTAGCACTTTCTGCTCCTGGCTCCCTGGGTTGAAGTGATCCTATTTCCACTTTCTAGACTCTCAGCTCTTCGGATGAGTGATCCCCTAGCTGGGCCCTGCTTCAGCCCCAGCCTGCCTGATCAGCCAGCCCCAGCCTACATCAAGGGCTCAAGACAACTACAAACACTTCATGATTTAGTCTTCTCCAGGGCTAAATTCTGTCTTGCTGGAAATACAGGTCTGCTACATTTTAACACCGAATATTATCCAACAATAGGAATATTGTGAAAGACTAACGAATCCTACAGAAGCACATTTCAGATCTGATGTGTCTCAAAAGTCATTTTACACCTCAAAGCCTCATTTGACAGGAGAAAACTGAGACTCGGGGATTTTACAGAACTTACTTCAGGGACAACTGAGAATAGTCAGAGCTTCACTGTGGAAACAAGCCAAATGAACTTGGTTTATGTGATCCAGAAAGATGGTTATAGAACAGCAGTCCCAATATGCACAAAACTAATGAAACCTTTATTTTGCTAACTTACTGGTGAGTTAGAATTCAGTTGGGTTGATGAATGAAAAAATTGTCTATAAACCAAGAATATTTTAAGTACCTACAATGTAGACTATTCCCAAAGATTATGTTCCTCATTTAAGATGACCCTCCCCAACCTTATACATCAATGGTAGTTTTGCCCACTTCTCTTTCTCTTAGCAACGGAGCATCTTCACTCTACAAAGATCCCTTGAGAGTGGAAATGAGTTGCGTAAGTCCACACAGCTAGTCAGCTGTCACTAGAACCAGGGTGGTGACAGCCTCTTTCCAATACTCCACAAGGCTTCCAAACAACTCCTGCAGTTTCTGCAGATGAATTAAAGGCATGGTACACCTCTTCTTCCAGAGCAATGTCAGAGCGAGGGGAATACCAGGGTCTCAGTTCGCGGTCCTCTTGCCACCCTTCATGCTGACATCAGTCAAGCCCACAAGTGCAGCGGTGACCCTTGGTGGTCGAAGCACTGAGTGCAGCTGCCCAGAGCTTACCTCACCAACGCGTGGAGGACACTGATGTCAGCAGGCTCAGGACAAAGCTTTCTTTGGGTGGACAGCAGAGAAGACAAGCAGCAACAAGTGGCCCATTTCATGCATTGTTTATCAATATTTAGATGACGAAGATTTTGGCCATTTTCAGACAGATATTTCTATTTTGTAGAGACACAGTGCAGGGCTCTCATGGAGAGAAAAACATGATACAGCACCCTTTGGAGACATGGCTTGGTGGAGTAAGGCAACCTGGGCATAGAGCCACCTGATCTGGGCCAAATCCCAGCCTCTACCATGTAAGTGTAGATAAATCGTTTAGATTCTTAGGTATCCGTTTCCTCATAGCACATCTATTCTCCCAGGCTGAGAGTTCCCAAATGGGACGCTGAACTTGATTTGCTGCTCCACCCAGTCAACGTAAGAGACATGAGGTCTGTAGCAGCTTCCAGACCTGTCAAACACTGTGGTGTGTGCAGGATCACATGGTGTCCTGTTCTTCGAGGGCTGGTCAGCACAGAGCTAGGATGGGGAAGCCCCTTGGAAAGTTTTGTTGTAAGAAATTATAAGCATGAACTAGCAATATTCAAAGTGCCGGAATTTGATGCAGTTCACTCCTTACTTATTGCTAGTCTGACTGCGGTATAAAACCCACAGAATGGGTCCCAAGGCACCTGGAGAGTCACAGTGGCTATGTCTTATTGTGAGTTTGCTGTTTGTGAGGAGGAGGGAGAGACAGGAAAATAAATTGCTGTTACTGAAGGTGTGCAGATTTCAGACACTGTTGTCATAACCTCCTTATGAAGGGAAAATTATTATTCCCATGTCATAGGTGTAGAATAAGACAGGTTTCTGTAGGTCACCAGCTTGTAAGTGGTAGAGATCAGGTTAGAACACAGATCTTCCTAACTCCAAAGCCTGATCAGCTCCTTTGAATAATCTTCCCTTGTTTCCAAATTCCACATACAAGTGAGCTCATGCTGTATTTTTCTTTCTGTTTCTGGCTTATTTCCCTGAGAATAATGTCCTACAGGTCCATCCACGCTGTGGAGTATCAGTATCTCTAACCATTCTTCCACTGAGAGAAAACTAGGCTGTTTCTATATTCCTTTCATAAAGCAACAGCAGAAGTCTCTCCTGTCTTCCCTCCTAACTTAGCAAACATCATTTGACTAAGTCTCAACCAAATATGTACCACAAATCATAAGAAAGGTGGGGAGTTGCTGGTGCAATGTGTGCACATCCACATGGCTGATATATCGCAGAAGGCAGACCAAACACATAGGAAAGATAAAATTATCTCCAAGTGAAGCTAATGAACAGACCCAGGGCTTCAGCCAGGAAGCAAAGTAGCTGAAACATCTACTCTGTGCCTTTGTATAGAAGGGGTTAAAACTTAAATCTTTATATCAAAATAAAAGATGGCATCAGCAAATATTAGATGGGAATTTTAAAAACTAATTCCAATTTTTCACACAGGAAAGTGTTTAAAAACCAAGCCCCTTGACTTCACTGTACCAGGTAGAGTTTTCTTTGATTGTACTAGGAGATTTAAGATTTAAAAGCCTAGGAACTGGTTTTTATAGAGACAGAGGAAGGTTAGCACAAAAGAAGATTAGCTCTCACTCACCATTTCCACCAGCCTCCCAAGAGCCTTCTCCACTCACTGCCTTCTGCAAGCTCCTTTCTTGCTGGTGGTGCTTTCTTGTGTCTCCCACTTGTGGGAATATCCAACTGGGAGAGCTGGAGAGGCAGGGCAAGAGGTGGCTCCCAGAGAGCCCTGGCCGAGCCATTTATGGTCAGGGGAGTAGCCAAGCCCTCAGCCCATCCCTTGGGAAATATAGGCTCCTCTTCCTTGGCCACTGTATACAGCTCTGGTCCTTCATCCTCTTTGCCTTTGTTTTCTGTCCTTTTCACTTTTCAGGCAGCTTCTTCAATGTCAGCAAAGAAGCCACAGCTGCTCTAAGGGCTTGGCTTCCTTGTGGCTGGAAGCTCTTTAGAAAAGTGGGTCACAGGGCTGAGGCTAACGACTCTATGCCCAGTTGACAAGGAGCAGCATTAACCACGCTACTGGCCATGATGATGTTAACATGCCACCAGCATCGGTGCAGAGGATGCCCACAGGACGGATGATGGAGCCGCCTTGCTGGAGGTCAGGTTATAGCTGACACAGTGAACAACACACTCAGTAGTCAGTAAGAGGCCTGGTGGCAAGTTTGTGCTTCCTTCTCTCTATCCTTACATTGCAAGTGGGAGCTTCACAGAGCTGAGGAAGCTATCAACAAATAATAATATGGCCGCCACATAGCTTATCATTTCTGTCATGAGTTTGTCTCCTTAAGACAGTGAGTTGCCAACAAAAGAATTATAGCCAGTAATTTGGTCATTTAAATGGAAAACAACATGACAGGATCAAGGAGAGAGTGACTGGAATGACCAGGGAGGTCATTCCTTTAGACAACCCCAGGAGATATTTCAGCTGCCCACAAAGGATGAAAAGAGGGTGGACATGTGAAGGGCAGAGGGAAGAGGGTCACAGGCAAGAGGGAAGAGCAGATGCAAAGCCCTGCAAGTTCCTGGTGGGATGGAGGCTGGTGCTGCTGGGCCAACTGACAAAAGCCAGGCAGGCGCCCTGGGACAGGTTAAGGACAGAGTGATCTAGGCCTGATGGCATGGGCATGGCCGGCACAGGGAGATTTTCACTCTCAGAACAACGGGAAATCTTTCAAGGGCTTTAAGTGAGGGAAGGGGACAATCTCATTAATGTTGCCAAAGTGTACTTGGCTTTTCTGTGGAGTGTGGGTTGCAGGGGACAAGAGCAAAGGCAGTAGACTGGTTTGAATGGGGTTGTGACCTGCTTTGGAAGTTGAGGCAGTGAGACTTGATGATGGAAGAATATATGAGGTAGGAAAAGGGAGACAAGGTGAGGAAAAGAACAGAATAAAGACAGCTCCTGGGCTTGATGCCTGATCAACATGGGTAGAGACGACACTTGTTTAGGGAGCTGACACTGGGAAAATAGATTTGGGTATGGGGACCCAGAGCTCTGTATTTGCTGCCTTAAACCTGAACAGACTGTGAACTATCCGAGTGAATGTGCCAAGTGGTGACTGGATAGAGGTGATCTGGGGCTGAGGATGGCTTAAAGCCACACGTACCGGTGGGCAGGTGGACAGAGCAGAGGGCCAGGACAGAGACCAAGGACTCAGGGACATCAAGGGCCTGTCGAGGAGATAAAGCAGCAAGGAGACCAAGTGAGACAGGAAAATCTGAAAAATCTGGGGTCACAAGGAAGAACTGTTTGCAGAGGGAGCATTTAAATGTATTTGTTACTACTGAGAGAGAGCCCAGGAAAAGGTCAGAGCAGCTGCCCGGTTGTCAGTGGGGCTGCTGGCGACCCCAACAAGAAAACTGGCTGCAGCGTGGAGAGAACCAGATCGCCTTTAGTCAGGTGGATCCATCCCCATGGCACACTTGAGTCAACTGGGGCTTCTAAAGACAGATGCCTGAATTCCCGCAGCAGACTGACTAAAATGGTCAGAGTGGGTCAGGGGCACCTCCACGTGAAGCTAATGAACAGCTACTGTCCTAATTAGTCATCTGAAACATGACAGGCACTTGGGAACTGGAATCCTCCTGACCCTAACTGCCTCGGGAGGCTTCTGGTTCCCAAGATCATCATGACTGTCTAAAGTGAATCTGCTAGTTCCTGGAAGTCACAGGTAACACAGTGAGACCTTACTGAAAGCCATACTTGTCCTACTGGCATCTGGATAGCCTTAGCCTTAGTCTCTTAATGTATAAAGTGGGTATGTTGCAGTTTTCAGCAGCTGCACTATTTAAACCAGCACAACTGGTACAAACTATGCTTCTAACTTTGCTCAACAGACATGGAATCATATCCAGAAGAGAAGATGCACTGCTGCTCATGGGCCAGCAGCTTCTGGCTAGGCTCTGGACGTGCAAAGCCAGTGAGATCCCTTTTAGCTCTGCTTTCTGCGCATCCACTGATCCCAAACTCTTTCTTCAGTGGACATCTGATCATTCAGAAAATTTTGCTAGCACTTACAGTCAAGTACGATGATGCCCCAGCCTAAGTGTCCGTATCAGGCAAGGTCCTCAAGTTACAAGCATCAAAACCAGATCTTGGTTAATATAAGATAAAGAGGAATTCATTGGTTAGGTGCAGTGGAGCTCACAGAGCAAAGAGTGGGCCATGGAATCAGACCCAGAGAAGACAGAGCAAGGTTGCTTCTGAGGCTTCAGCAGCAGACTCCTGGACAGTCCCCTCAGAGTGTCTTTCCCAGAAAATAGTGTGCAAAAATCTTTCTCTCTCTCTGTCTCTCTCTCTCTCTCTCTAACACACACACACACACACACACACACACACACCACCCCTTTCAAAATTTGTATTCCATGTAGAGGATCTAGTTGGCCAGACTTGTATCATGTGCCCATGGAGGATACGTCAGCTGGCTGATGGATCCCCAGGCAGGTCCCTCTGATCCTGAAGGTTGTTCTACAGAAGGAACCTGGATGTGTTACCCAAAGAAAAGAGAATGGGTGCAGTGAGTGAACTCCCTGTTCTGGATATACAAGTGCTCCTCAATTTACAAGGGGGTTGTGTCCATTAAACCCATGGTAAATTGACAACACTGTAAATTGGGAATGCATTGGATACACCCAACCTACAGACCATCCTAGCTAAGCAACAAAATACCTATGGAGCACAGGTTGTTTCCCTGATGATCATGTGGTTGACTGGGAGCTACAGCTTGCTGCTGAGGCTGAGCATCATGAGAGACTATTTATCGCATATCACTAGCCTGGAAAAAAATCAAAATTCAAAGTACAGTTTCTACTGCAATATATTGAATTTTTCAACTGCACTTTTCTATTGAATGTATATCACTTCTGCCCCACTGTAAAAAATCAGTAGGTTAAACCACTGTAAATTGGGAACCATCTGTATTAAGCCTGAGGTTCATCTTTCTAGAATTGTAGAATGAAGGTCTTTAGTGGGTGAGAAGTTTGGAAAATCACTCTGATTTCTTTCTATCTTCCCACCATTTAAATTTATACAAGCCCAGTCACACTGAAGATTTCTCAGGCAATAACTTGATCAGTTTAAAAAACAGGTCCATTCTCAATGATGACTGGCTGTCTTGGTCTGTGTGGCTGCTATAACCATAGACTGGGTGCCCTATAATAACTGAAAGCTTTATAAACACATTTCTGAAAGCAGGGAGTCCAAGATCAAGACCACAACAGACTTGGTGTCTGGTTAGGGGCCGCTTCCAGGTTAATAGCCATTGTCCTCAAATGGTAGAAGGAACAAGGGAGGTCTCTGTAATCTCTTATTTGAGGTACTAATCCCTCATGACCCAACTCCCCCCCAAAGGCTAACCTTCTAACACCATCACATTGGGAACTAGGATTTCAGCATATGACTTTGGGGAACATAAACTACCTATTGCAGTGGCCTTATTCTAACTGTTATAAATATTTATCTAAAAGTTCATACATAAAGTAGTGAAGAAGTAAAATGGTAAACAGAAGGATCCTGACCACTTCCGTACTTATGAATGTTAGGTGTGAGAGTCATTAATGCTGTCTGCAAAATATTTCAAGTTCACTTTGTTGTTACTTGAACAGCAACTATATGACTTGTGTTGGCTAGAAAAATGTGAATACAAGTAATATTACATTTCTAGCAATCTTCTACTTTTTTTCCTCTGATACTGAGGATTGAATTCAGGGACTTCCCACCTTCATACTGAGCTACATTCCCCAGCCACCATGGTTGCTATATATATATATATATATATATAGATAGATAGATAGATAGATATAGATAGATAGAGAGAGAGCCCTCAATTTGTTCTGCGATTTTGGAAAAGATGGCCACATTTGTGTGTGTGTGTGTATGTGTGTAGGGGAAGGGTGGTCATGTTTGTTACCTGATGCAGAATTCGCAAACAAAAACAAAATTTTGCCAAACGTTTCTGTTTGCAATCCAAATTGTTTGCAAGCAAAAGCATTTCATGACCTGAGGTCATTTCATGACCACTGTGTATAATCTACCTATTTGTATATTTCTATCCACCTAACTCTATACCTATATATGTACAGTGACCGAAAAAAGTGTAGAAAATTCATAAAACCTATATCTAGCCCAAATCAGATGAGTTTTGCACTGAGACCAACCTGAGTGATAAAACATGGTCCTATATTCCCTCTGCCTGGTATAAGCCACAAAACTCCAAACATACCCCAAAACTTCTTCATCCAGCCAACCTAAAAAGGGTGGCCTTCATTGGATGGAGTCTTGTCCTTATGTTAGAAATGACCCCGTATCACTCAGGAAACAAGTGATAAGCTCAATTTACTACTTTTCCAGAAGAGTTTGTCAAATTGAGTATTTATAGAGATCTGCCTTGGGAAAGTGCAGTACCTCATGTTTAGACCCGGAGGATCTGCCTGAAGGGGCCAGTGGGAGGAGGGGCTGCCAGAACCCAGAGAGGGAAGAGCACCTTCTAAGGAGCCACGATCTCCAACCTGAGTCAGTTGTGGTCCGCAGGCACAGAGCCAGGTAGAGAAGGACAGATTCGGAAGCACATCTGGAGCTACTGCAGCAGCTCTTCACGTAGCTTCTCTTCACCATGCTTAGGCTGTCATATTTGCACCTTGTTTTGACCCAAGAAATGGGGCAACTGTGAAAGCCATCTTCAGCTCTGATTAAGTCTGCCTTTGTGAGTCCAACAAGGAACTGCTTTGCAGCCAGGAATTTGGGTGCTCAGCAGAGAGTAGAAGCCCACAGAGAAGGCCCCCTTTAACATTCTTCCAAGATCTTGTGCTTTTGGAGAAAACTATCGCCAAGAGGACCCATCTTGTCTGAACTAGGAATGCAAACCCAAGACACATCAATGAATCCACATTCTTTAATGAAACCATCCTTTTTACACAGACAGGTGTTAGCTCCTCTCCATGATCTCTGTGAAACCGGCATTCCATGCAATGTAAAACTATACAAAATAAAAAATAACCCATATCTTCATAGATAATACTTTAAAAATTTTTAAAGAAAGCTTTTAGGTACTTGGGATTATTGTTCAAGTTCAGTCTACAAAAAAAACTTTAAAAACACCCGAAAAAGCCAAAGAAATATTTGTTCCCAAACTGAATACTAACAATACCAAGGATTATCTGAGAGTTATCAAATGCACCAGACAGATGGTAAATTCCCATGTGAATTTGCTAGTTAACTATGTTCAACAAATTATTCAAACAGGCTCAGCAACTTCTGAATTCCTGGTACTTTAGAGGAAAAAAGCAAAAGAGAAACAGAAACTTTAGAAGAAAGGAGTGAATCAATGTATAGCCTCATATCCTCTGTTTGGACAAATTCTACTGACTCATGTTAATTCCAGATCCTAGCCCTGTCCTGGGATGCTTCTGCTAGGTCAGAATAGATCAGAATGAGACCAGGCCGGACACCCAGACCCCAAATACTTCATCATGTCATTTGTTACAAGATAATTTTCTAGTCTGGGAAATCTGTGACATCACTAAGGCCTAACACTCAGTTATAGGACAAAGCAAGCTGGAGAACTATCCTCTAGCTCATTTATCTACCTCCAGGGATGTTTGCAGTCAGGTCACTGGGGCACTGGAAGAGCCAAGGCAGGGGCTTGGTCTTTCTGCCGAGTGGACTTTCTCTTGTGAAACCAGCCTGTGGTTCTCTGCAGGACCTGTGGCTTCACAGAGCCCTATATATTCTGGCTTCCAGAGGAGAGGCCTGTCCAGCCCCAGATGAATCAGAGCTTGTCTTCTAGGAACACATCACTCACAGAACTAAATAAATGTTTTCATAAGGGTCCCATTGTTGCAAAGGGCCATGCGGAGACAACTGTTGAAGCTGTGTGCTTCTGAAAATGATCATACCAAAGAGCAAAAAGAAAGTGTGCCACAAGCGTGACAAATCCTGAAACCAACTCTGTTTCTCCCTCCCTCTTCTCCATGGAATCTGCTAATCTCACTTAGATTTCTAATGGTTAAATACACAGAATTCTCATCTCTCTAGAGAGAAACCTTAATAGCCACCTTATGTATCCTGATTTCTGTTTCAATTTTGACAATATAAGACAAAATAAAACATCCAAAAATACAAAGTTTAGAGAAATGGAATCCACCAGAACAGGCAGGTGGGGGTCTGAGCCATAAGGTAACCCGTCCCATTTATCATGACAAAGTTTACCCTGGGCAGGGTCTGCCATCTATTAAGATATGAGAATGAAATGTGAATCTCAGCCCAGGGCTCAGAAAGGCCAGAACAGAGCTTGGTGAAAGAAGCATAAAATGTAGGGTCAGGACCAGACAGCCCACACAATAAAGCTACAGCCAGGGGTTAGCATTTTCCACACGGCATTGATTAAGGCTTTGACAGCTGATCCTTTACATACATACATATATACAGACATATATTATTAATAATACTTTGTTTTTTCTGCTTTAAGGAGAAATATTCCTATGCAGTCCTTTTACTCTTCTTTGTATTATTCTAGTTTTTAGTCCCAGCAATCATTTTAATTGGACATAGTCTTCAGTGGTATATTCTGACTTTTAAAAAATATAATCTTTAGCCATTTACAAATATTTTGTGTAAAATGATGACCTATCCCAAAGTAATTTTGGTGCTTGGGATTTACCTCGGCTTTAATTGGAAATACTTTCATGTGCTGTCCTGTGTTCAATACCAACAAAACAGGACCTGACAGTTATGTAAACATTATTTTAAAAATATTCCAACATAAATATTCTTTAAAGCTAACATACCACAGCTTTTAGCTCATAATGCCCATAGATGCCTTAATGAAATGCCATTCAAAATTACCTCACTGTTCATATTATACCTCGAGGTACTAAAATTATGTAAACATCATCCTCTATACTTCTCAAGAACAAGTGCTTCTCACGAACAAGTGCTAAGTGTTGTGAGTTCTGACTCCAAGTTGGTGACTGAGTATGAGTTAATCTGAGCAAAGTTACCAATGCGCTCTTTAAGCTGTTTGATGACTAGGAGTTAGTCGTGGATGGACTTGTTCCACAGGTGATGATTCCTACATAACTTAGAATTAAAGTTTTCAACAGTGTTCACCCCACGAGAGGCTGACTGGCCCCTTGTGAGAGGTCTTTGCACACCCCACAGACGCAGTGTGAATGGGCTGTCAGGGAGGCAGTCACCACAGCCCGCACCTCCACAGGCAGAGGTTCTTTAGAGGCTTGGAGCCCCGAGCACAGTGGCATCTTCTCAAAGTCAGCAAGCAAAGGAAAGTCAGGATGAACCAGGATGTTTCCTTCTCAGTGAACGGAGGTTTCTCACCAGCAAGTGTCCTGCTGGAATTCACATGGATGCCTTAGCTCCTTAATGCAATAGGAGATGGGAACCATGAAGGGGACAAGGGGAACAAGTGCTGCCGAAGAAAGGCTTAAGGTCTTCCAACCTCACAACGACAATTCTGTGCTCAAAGATGCCTCTGTGTGCCGCTGACAGGAATGCCTTGTCGTCCTGACATCCACATTCGCATGTTTCTTGGGTAATACATCCTAGCAGAGAGAAAGCAAAAGTTTCCAGACAAAGCTGTAACACATCAGCCACCACCAGACTTTTATCCTCATTACTCAGTGTAGACAGAAGGCAGTCTTAAGTCTCCAGGATATAGGCACACTGCCTGGCACCTATGGAAGCATGTTCAGAATAAAGAAATGGCCAACCCCAGGGCTGGACTTTTGCCCCACAAGAGCAAGGGACAGAGAATGGGTAGAAACAAGCACAGCTTGAATAGTCAGTGACTTTAAACCTTAATCTCCTTTAGAAGCCCATATTGATAACATCGTAGCTGGAACCAAAAGAACATTTACTCTCCTTCTTGTTGGCCAGACTTAGATGTACTCTCTTCCAGATATGTACCTTGAATACTAGATTTTGGGTTTTTGCTTGAGAAAAATACTATACACTTGTTTTAGGGCTGATTCTCAAGGTGCTACTGTAGAAACATTCTCGGTTCCTGTCTTTCAAGGACTTTGGTGCTATTTTTTCATGTGCAGAGCATCCTGGAACTTGGTGCTGGTGTATCGAGCATGAAAGCCTTTCTTGCCGATAGTGTCATCCGTGTGGAACCGTATCATCAGGGAATCCCCGGCCGAATAGATTTCTTCTAATGGCTGAGGAAAGGAGAAAGGAAAACCAAGGAACTTTCGGTCAGTGAGTTGTGACTGCAGCTTAAATGAGGATGGGAAGGACTGTACACAAGGACTGGATGGCCAATAGCCATTACTGCCATGCAGCATCCCTGAAACCAGAGATTCTCAAGTGCATCTGAAAAAGCTCCTTTTCAAAGGAAAACTACAAATTCTGCTCCAGGAAGCTCCCTGGGCCTTGATTTTCCAAAAAGGATCCAAGCTGCATCACTTGTATGGAATCTATCACTTATTAAGAGCACAGGTGGGCCAGGCACTACACTGAGCACCTCCAGATCTCAACCTCATCTTATATAACCTTTACAAGAACCTTGTAAGGCAGGTACTATTGCCATTTTGCACTTAATGGAATTAAGACTCAACTTTACATAGGTTGGCAGGACCTGAGCTCGGGTCTTTCTGACTGAACTATGTACCGTGGATCATCCAACTCTCTGTGGTTTCACCACTGTGACATGTCTCCCAGGAGACCTACAGCAAGGATCATTTTTCAGATGAACGCCCTGTCCAAGGACAAAAAGTAGAATGGAGCTAGTACATTTGTGAGCAAGGTTCCACCAGGTGGTCTGTGAATAGGAGCCAGGTTCCAAGGCTGCTGCCTGCCAGATCCTGGCGGAGCCAAGCACAGCTTGCTACTTAGCATACTGCTCAGCCCCTCCAAGGGCTCCTCTCCACAGACCCAAGGTTTGAAAGGCTTTATTCAAAGCAGAACACTGTATAAGTCACACTTTGTCAATATTTTCTGGCAGGTGAGGGAAGGTGGAGGAAAATTATTCAGATATAAATGTAATATAAGCCATTATAATTATTTGGATATAAATACGACATAAATATCATGTCAAGCTTCTGTTTAGCACAAAGAGCACTGGGGATTTAGAAATGACTCAGCATAAGTCCAGCCAATGGCAAAGAAACTTACATGATTAGTCCTCGTGCCCAGTGTGGCCAGTGTCGTGGAACATGACCATGGAGTGACCAGGACAAGGTACTGGCTGGTTCAAATACATCCACTGAACATTGTATACCAGACCATGCATTAGGTGCTGGGAAAACAATGAAAAAAAAACAGGCTGCCCTGATCCTGGGCTGGTGGCCCAGGAAAGAGGCTGAATGAGGAAAAAAGTAACAATGATCTTCAGTATAAAAACTGTGTTTATAGTAAAAGTATGATATTTGATTTTCATAAGCATCTGGTTGGACTTGGGAAGAGAATTTTAAATATGAGGAATATACAAAAGAACTAGTTAAATAATTTTTAAAGCCTAAAGGCAAAATAAAATGAGAGAGATGCCCCTTTGCAAAAATAGGAGCAAAGTCCTAAAAGGCAAAATGTTCTTCCCTAGCTGCCTTCTGTCCAAAACCTTCGTAGACCCTCTCCAAGGGTTCTCGCTTACCACTGTGCTCTGGCAATAGCTAACAAGGGGGAGGAGTAGCTGGGACAGACCAGGTGTATCTCATTCCGCAACCTATGCTCTGAATCTCTGTGTTTTGCCCCCCAGCCCTGGCATCCCCGAGACTCACCCCAGAGCCACAGAAGCGGCCAAGCCTCGGTGCTGAGCTGTCGTAGCCATCGTACGCCTCCATGTAGTCGTAGCCACAGTCGGCTTCCTCCTCAACTTCGAAGGTCTGGAATATTAACTCCACACCATAGCCGTCCTCTGCCACTATAACCCATTCGCAGTGGGCCTGGGTCGGGTAGTTGTTGTCCCCAAATTGGGCATGGGAATAGAGCTCCATGGTCTGCACTTCAGCCTTCAGCCTGCCCCCACACTCTGGAGTAGAAAGAGAGTGGCAACGTCCCCTCCACAGCAACAGCCCATGTGCCATCCCACCTGTTTCCTCCCAGCTTCTCTACAGAGCCTGTTATGTGCCCTGCAGGAGAGGCTAAGAAACCCTATTATCTGGTCTCAAGAGAAAGCAGAGGCCCTAGCTCCACGGCCACTGTTCCTGGTGGTCCAAACTGGCCCTTACGAGCCATGGTCTCATGTTCCTATGATGGGAAGTCCCAAAATGTGCTGCTTTTTTTCTCTCAGCCATTGAAATGAGGTCAATGGTTGGTCTGCCTGACTGGTCTCTGGATCCTGACCACTTCACATCCTGGAAGAGCTGAAATGGAAGGGCTCCTGCTGACTTACTGTAACTCCTTTCTGCCAGCAGAGGGTGATAAAGCACACTAGAACTGCGGATGAACTTCAAAATTTAAGAAACCCGAGACACTACTACTTGCATTTGAGAGAACTGCCTATGGGTGGGTCCACTGTGAGGTCCCTGTGGGTGTCACAAGAGAGCTCCCCTCAGACTTTGGCCTTGGCTTGTTTTGGGTTTGTTTGCTTTGCTTTTGTTTTTGTTTTGTTTTGCTTTTTACTAGAGCAGTACCTCAGATCAGCCTGGGTCTACACAACCTTGTGTCTAGGCCACATGAGTCCACATAGTTAAAATGTGTAAATAAGACTAGTCCAGACTAGGAAGCACCAGAAATTCAGGCGGAAAATTCTTCCACAGCCTGCCCTCAATACGCTTCACACCCTTGGAGTCTGTGATGATTCTTGGGCCCCTGGTTCTTAACACTCCCAGGACAGTGAAGTTGCACCCACTGGCCTGGCCCCATGCCTCTCCAGCTACCAGCTCTTGCTCCCACATTGGCTCTGCCTGGAACCTTTTCCAGGCCTAACCTGTCATTGGGAAATTTCGAGTTTGTGAGACAGGATAGCAGTGGAAGGAGCACAGCACAGGGCAGGATGTCTCCTTTCCTGTCAGTCCGGCCCTGGAGAGGCTGATTTCCATCCAGTCCACACACATGGCCCTGGCTGATGGAGACCACTATGTAGCAGCTCTGAGCAGGATTTAATATTAACCAACTGGATGTCCATTGTTTACTTGTGAGTCACTGGTCCCTACTGAGGCCTGTGATGATAGGTGAAGCCATGAAGCCTCAAAGGACAAGATAAGGTCACAGCTGAGGACATTTGGCTCCAACCCCAATTAACTAAGAGGAGACTGCAGCTGCAGGCATCTCACTGCTGCAGTGAAGGCCTTCCTTGAGTTAACTTAGTTCTCCTAAATTAACATAAGTGTTACTTGGAGAATTCCATAGTGGGTTTCCAAAGTCCTGCCCAGATTCCTGCATTTTCTTCAGTATCCCCCTTCTTTATTTGAAAACCTAATAAATAAGGGGAGCCCAGGGAAGTCTGGGTCTTAACCCAAAGAATCTTGAATTTTGTAAGAAAGTTGGACCCTCCCACAGCCCTGAAATCATTTCATTTGTCTCATTCATTTCAACGCTTGCTGTCCACTCATTTGGGAAATTTTGGGCCTGATCAGCCTGCAATAACTAAGTGTTATTAACCCAAAAATTTTGCCCTCTTTCTGCCTTGTCACTGGTTTCCAACACTGGAAGCACCAGCAAGTCAGAGGGAGAGAGGAGTCAGAGGTTGGGTGCATAGTCCTGGGCGCTCTCCAGAGCAGCTGGAGACCTCTGCATATGTCCATGCATCCTGTCACCAGCCTCCAGGACCCACTTCTTCCTCTTGCCTTCTGGTCCTGGGGTGCTAGCATCCTTGTGGTTCCAGCTTGGTAGCTGCCCTGTCCTTTGAGGTATCCCCACACCGGGCTCACCCCTTTGCAAACAGTTCCTTTACTAAACTCCACAAATATTGCCTGAGTGTGACCCACTTCCTGCTAGGACCCTAACGTACTTCAGGTGCCCCCATTCCAATCACTGTCTGTAAGGACAAAGGGAGCCATCACTGCACAGCCTTTACACTTTCCTGGGGGAAGCCAGAAGTCCTTGAGGAACTCGGTAAGCTAGGAAGGTTTTTGGCTAAGCAGGGGCAAGTTGAACTGCCTGGAGGTGCTGGATGCCATTTTGTTTGACCTGATTTCTGTTTTCTGGCTCTGAAAAACAACTGGAAGGAAGGGGCTGTTAAAGGAGCACAGGGTCCCACGATCATTGTCTCAGAGTCAGCATCTCAGAAGTTGAGTGCATCTTGGACACATTGGCTCTGCTACAGTCCAACTCCAGGGTCAAAGAGCCAGCACTGCCCCCATGAGCACCAGTCCCTGGCGATCACCAGCATTGTAATGGCTAAAGACAGTCAATTTCACTCTTGGCCTCCTCTGCCTAACACCTTAAATAAGGTATAAGCTTGCACACTTTCCTCCGAAGGACCCAACAGAGCTATTGACGTTTTCAGTAGAGGAAAACATAATGGGGAACAGAAACATTTTTCATTTTCTAGAAGTGCTCTGTAAAGGGTAAAGGGAACTGCACTCCCGCACTCAGCTCCCAGACAGCACAATTACAAACACATTTTTAAAAGGAAGGAAAGAAAGAAAGGAAAAGGTTTTGCCCACATTAAATTTTATAAATTAAGAACACTAAAAGAGGTCTCTTCTGCCTATGGCTGCTGCTATTCCATTTCACTGGGGAAACTGTATCGCAGGACCTCCCCTTACCCTCCCTGGAAATAGGTGGGAGGCTTCCTTCCCCACCCTTAGCCCCTCTGCCGCCCACCCAGGGTTCAGGCTGAGGTGGTGGCCATACCTGTGCTGTGTGCTGCCTGGAAGCCCTTCCTCTGCACCGAAGCATCCGAATAGAACCTCAGGAACAGGCTACTGCCTGAAGCCACCACCGGGTCAGGTTTGTTGCTGCCACAGAAGCGGCCGAGGATGGGTGCCAGGCTGTCAGGTCCATCGTACATTTCCAAGTGGTCATAGGCACATTCCTGGTGCTGCTCAATCTCAAACTCATTGAACATCTGAGGATGGAGAGCAGAAAGTAAGGCAAATCCTGGCCTCAGCGGGGAAAAGGAAGGTCCAGGCAGTGCCCAGTGGCAGCTGTCCAGACAGCTGGGCAGGGGGCACGGCCATCCAGATGCTTGGTGATGCTGCAGAGAGGGTCTCCTCCACCCACCTCTTCTGGGTCCCCAGAGCAACACATGAGCTACATGAGCTCTCGCTACCCTGACTACTTCATAGCAGACATGGACTGACTGCCCAGATCTGTCTTCCTTCTAGCCCTCAGTACTGAGCATCAGCAGTGACTGAGTTCTTACCCTGTGCCAGCAGCTGTGGTAAGCACTTTACAAGTGAAGGCCCATTTAATTCTCACGACCCTTTCATGTGCCTAATCTCCACTTTACAGATCAGGAAACTGAGGCAAGGAGACATAAAAGGACTTGCCTGACTTCACCCACTGGTAGAGCTGAACCATAATCTAGAAGCTGCGGCTTCAGAGATGGGATCTAAACCTCTTCACTGCGCTGCCCGGGACAGGGCATGCTGCTCTGTGCTGGCATCTCTGCTGTCAGAGCAGCTGACATTTTGGGATACCTTTCCCATGCCAAGCCTTTCTTCGCATTCTCCCACTTAATTCTGGTGATGCTGTAGGGAAAGAGCTACTGCTGTATCTGGTAGCTGAAGGGAAGCTGAATCTTAGGAAGCTAGTTGACTCGCCAAAGTTCATACAACTAGAGGCAGATGGGGCAGAACTTGACCTCCAGTCAGTCTTTTCCATCCCACACTCTTTTTATTAGGGTGGGGGGTTTGAACCCAAGGCCTTCACATTGTGCTACATCCCAGCTTTTTTCCTTCAAATTTTGAGACCAGGTCTCACTAAATAACTAAATTGCTTAGCCTAAACTCAAACTTGTGGTCCTCTTGCCTCAGCCTCCCAGAATGTGGGGATTACAGGTGTACACCACCATGCCTGGCTCTCATCCCACACTCTTAGCCATCACCAGCTCATTTCCCTTCTCTCTCTCCCCTCTAAAAGCTGCTCCCTGAAGCTGGTCAGCAGAGCCCCACCGTTCCAGGCCACACACAATGCTTTCAGCCCTGGTGTAGGCTTCTCTGGAGCTGGGCTGATGGTCAACTGATATGAAGGAGATGGGGCAAGGTAAGAAGAGTCTTAAGGCTTGAACCAAAGGAGCAGGAGGAAGGACATCAGTGTGAGAAGGTATAAATCCAAAAGACAGGGGAGAGATGGAGGCAGAAAGACAGAAGCAGCAAGAGCACTCTCATTTCACAAGAATGACAAGCACCACAAATGGACAAAGCTCTCACAATTTAAGAGAAAGGGAGCGGGACAGAAACACCAGGACGGAGCAGGAAGGGAGAGCAGGGGCACGCAGGGACACATGCAGTGGGAGGAAGGGGAGTCAGGCTAGGGAGGTGGGAGCTTCCCCAGAGTCCATGGGACACCCTGTGGCCGTCCCCATACAGTGAAACACCAACTCACTCTCTATAGTAGCAAAACATAGAGCACAATCAATATATCCACACCACTTCCCAAGGAAACATCCTTAAAATATGTGTAGGTGCCTCCGAGAAAGGATTCCTGCTGTGCCTGTTCATGATTCTATCCCAAGGGGTCGCCATTCCCTCAGTCATCAGAGATAATGTTATTGCGATCATTTTCCAGAAGATGGCAGTCTGTCTTTCTCAAATGCACTCAATTCATCCTCACCCAGATTCCAGGGTGTTCCTTACCAACCCAGGGCAGCAGCTCGTGGGAGCACAGCAGAGGAAAGCCATTCCGACAAGGGCAGCTCATCCCAGAGGTGCCCACTGAGGGGGCCACTTCCCCACTCCTGTGTGTCCTGGGAGCCCACTCACTGCCTCTGGCCCTCACCCATGGCTCTCAACAGTAAACTCTCTCGCAAGTCCCTGCACCATCTGCTCCTGAGCCTTCTTTGCTCCCTGCCTTCTCCCTGAATTAGCAGTCCATTGCTCTGTAAGGCCAGCCACTCATCTCCAGTCAAGTGACGCATTAAAAAAAAGTCTGTCAAGAGTACAACCAACCCTGTAGCTGGCAAAGGATTGGCTTTAGATAAAAACTCCAGGATCTGGGAGTCCCTGGGGACTGAGAAATGGGACTCACAGGAGAGATTCGTTTCTCCTTTAAAATAACCAAGCTTGGTGGAGTAGACATGTCAGATATATGGATAGAACTTTAAATAAAGATGTGTAAGGTGGTTGTTGTTCTTTAATTCAAGAATTAGCATAATGTCCCTATTGTTAATTGAAAAAATAAATAAGCTATAGGAGAATATGAATAATACTTCATCTGTAGAGCTGGAGTAAGAAAAAAGACCTGTACTTCCCCGTGCAAGTACATGCGCTGTTTGTGCACAGGAAATTCCTAGGGATACACAAGAAAGTGCTGAGGGTGAGCGATCATTTCTACAGTAGGAATGGCGGATCTGCGGACTTTTGATTTTCCCTTTCAACTGTCTATACAGTACTTATTACACTTTTTTTACCTTGAGAATGTCATGTTTTGTAAAATAAAATCGAATCTCAAACAGCACTGCCAATCTGTGTGGTGGGTGCCACCTCATGCCACCACTGTGGACAGGTGGCAGCTGTAGAACTCTTATGCATGCTCTTTTCATCTGCATAGCAGCCCCACAAAGCAGGCTTCATCAGCATTCCCATTTTCTGAAGAGTGAAACTGAGACCTAGAAATGTGGAGTCATTCCCCCAAGTTTCACAGCTGGGAAGTGGTAGGGCAGAAACTCATGTCTTCCTGACACCAAAATCCATGTTCTTCTTTTTTTTCTCCCAAGAGAAAGGAACAAAAACAAAATAACAAAAACAAAGACAAAAACAAAAACAAAACAACACAAAAACAATGGAAATGATACAGAATTCCAGGAAAAGATGATAGGAAATTAACAATAGTTCTTGTATTACACATTGTTATCTTCAAAGTAGTTGCTCAGATTACCAGATACAGGCATGCAAAAGTGATCAAATGTTAAATATTAACTGTTCCTTTCAATAAACCAATAGAAATTAGGAGTACAATTGTCTTAGCTATCTTGTGTGTGTATATATTTTTCACTTCCTTCTTGCTTTCCTTCCTCCTTTTGCTCATCCCAGTTGTTCTGTTCTTTTGAGCAGTTTCTTTCCCTTTCACAATATCTATTGCACCTTTCTGTGAAAATCAATGTGGAAATTCCTTTAAAAACTATGATTAGAGGTCCCATTCAACCCAGCGATTCCCCCTCTGGCTATTTTTTCAAAAGAACTGAAAACATCATACCACAGCGATATATGTGCTCCCATGGTTATAGCAGTGCAGTCTGTAATAGCTGAATCTTGGAAACAACTCAAATGTCCATCCACTGAGGAATGGATAAAAAAGATGTGGTATTTTTATACAATGGAGTATTACTCAGCTATAAGGAAAGACCAACTTGAGGATTTTATAGGTAAATGGATGCAATTAGAGACCGTATTCATAAGTGAAATAAATCAGATCCACATGTGTAAACATCGCACTGTCTCACTATTGTAAGAATCCGAAAGTGTTAATCAAATCTGAAAGTCCATGTTCTTAACAAACTACTATAATAACTCACGAGCTTCACCCTGTGTCCTGCTGTGGAAGAGATGTTCCAGGTACACTCCTTCCGGCTCGGATACTTGTCAGGCCAGTTGGGGCTCGCCAGGGTCCCCTCTGCACTGTTGATCTTGTGCACACAGCCAGCTGGGGTGGTGGTGGGATATACAGAGAAAGAAATCATTCACTTGTGGACAGCCCCAAAAGGATTCATTCCAGGGGAGTCTCTTCCCCTCTCCCTTACTTATCTCAGAGGTATCCAACATGGGAATAGCCAGTCTGAACCAAGTGACCCCTGATACAGAGGTGAGTTGACTTGTTTGAACTGGCTGTATGCCTTCCCGGCTGTAGCTCAAGAGCTAGGTTACCTTTCCTACTGTTACAATTCACATCAAGATGATAATCTCTGTAAATGTGGTAGAATCAGTACTAAGTTAAGAGCCCAGGCCCTGAGATCAGGTGAATCTCAGTTCAAGTCCTGGTTTTACCGTCTAGGTCCTTATTTATAAGAGGGGTAGATAACATATGTAAAGGGCTCAATGAGTGCCAACCTATGTTGCGCGCTAACAAATCTCCTTTATCTCTATGCCTTATGTCTACCTGTGCCTTTCAGTTTTTTCTGAGCAGTATCTTTCGGAGACTACCGCTTTGCTACCACTTAGTTACAGTGCTGTTTGCAAAGTGTGGTGCCAGGGCTTGCTCAATAGCTAGCATTTTTTACCAATATCTAGAATTTGTCTTCCTCTGTAAAAGCACCGTGGTAAGCATTTTGCATGCATCCTCTCATTTAATCCTTCGCATTTCCAAAGAAGAAAATAGAAGAGAACAATGGTCTTCACATCTTCCTTCACCCTCAACTTCCTCTGTGAGGCTCCCGGCAGGGGCAAGGCCCGGAGGCCTGTGTTTATCACAGATGCACAAACTTCCCTCACTGGGCAGGACAGGAACGGAAAAGGTTCTTCCCAGTGATTGAACATTCATGGCCGTCTGGCCCTGCAGAACTCTCAGCGCTGAACGGAGCACAGAGCAGAAGTTTTCCCCCACCCCATTTCACCACTAGGCCTTCACGTGGCAAATAACATTACCACATAGGAGGTCAGTGACTAATACTTATTGATATCTGAGTAATACATATCAGGCTGTCTGAGATACTTCCTACACATTCTTTCAATCCTTACAAAAACTGTGAGAGAAAGGTATAGTTAGCTGACTTTTAGCAAAAGAGGAAACTGGCTCAGGGAGGCTATGTAACTTGCTCAAGGTTAAGTAACAACTAGTGAGTGGCAAAGCTAGGATCCAGGACCGGGTAGTCTGACCCTGGAGCCTACAGACTTAACCACTCTGCAGTATCACTCAGCTTGCAGCACCTGAGGCCCCGCGTGCCTGCTGAAAGCCCGAGCTACCTGGGAGACGCTGTCCAGTAAGAGGGCCACAAGGAGTAGCCAGAGAAGGGCTGATGCTGAGCCTGCGCTCAGGGCTTTGTGCTCCACAGGCCTGGGAGGCTTCCTAGCCCACTGCCCTCCACTGCTTGTGACCTCTCGCACAACCAGTCTAAGGGCCTGCAGGTAGCACTCACCCTCCTTGCAGTCACGCGCATTGTCGTGGAGCCGGTAGCCATTCAGACACTGGCACAGGTAGCTTCCCAACGTGTTGACACACTCGTGCTGGCAGCCACCATTGTCCTCGGCGCACTCATCCTTGTCTGGGGAGATCAATGGATTCTCCTAACAGGAACTGCCAACTTGGAAATGCCCCTCTTGGCTCAGAAACCCGGCTCAAAAGTAGCCTCCTCCAGGGAGGCTCCCTGATTGCCCATCCCCTTATTGTGGAAGATTTTCTGGGTCTTACTGGGCACGTGGTGAGTTCTCCATGCCCCCGATGCACTTCAATGTACAGTAGGTATGTTCTCTTACCCTGCCCCCTGCCAAAACCGAGGCACACCTTGAAGGATGGGCTAATATTAATAGCAATAGTAACAATTATAAAAATAACTGCCACATATTTACTATAGAATGAGTACATTATCTGAGTTAATTCTCAGCTGTAGGGGGAAACATTTGTATGCATGCCCTCATTTAATCTGTACCCACTTTCCAAGTAAGGACACTGAAGTTGAGACAGCTAATGTGCCTAGAGACACTCGGCCCGTGGCCTGTATGACAGGCCTGGAGGTTAAAGCTCACACCCCAGACCACCCACTACTGCACGCAAGCCCGTAAATGTGAGGGCCATGGGCCAGGAGGTAAATGCTTCCCTGCCCGTCACTTCTAGATGTGGTGACCACTGGCAGCACCTGCCTTTGTGCCTCAGTTGCCTCACAGGTAAAATGCAGCCAGTAATGGTGTCCTCGCCTCAGAGGCTGTCGGGGGAGGAAATGTGCAGGGAGGAGAAAGCACTGGGGCAGTGTGCGCCCACGGCAGTGCCGGTGTCTGTGGTTATTACCGCGTGTGAGCCCCAGCACTGGCTCCTGTCACCCTGGGGCTCCTGGGCTCAGCCAGGGTGGCATGCGGCCCTCTCTAAGCCTACTTCGTCCTGCAGTAGCCAAGGGTTGGTCTCCCTTCCCTCCCCCACCAAATGACCCCCCCACACACACCAAATGCTTAGGGCTCAGCCGTGTTGCCCTCCCTCTCTCTGGCCTGTCGTCCGCTGTGCTCACTGTCGCCAAACATGTTGCATTTCAGCTGTGCCCTCTTATTTCATGGAGGCAACTCAATGCCCTCAGAACGCAGGACATCCAGCACCACAGTAGAAGCCACTCTTTTCCTCCCCGCATGCTTCTACAGGAGAGGGCCAGGTCCTCACCCACTTGGACCCAGGTGCTCTGTCCTAAGATTCTGTGTGAAAGCATGAAATTTTGAAGGCCATGTGTTCCCTCCTCCCAGGTGGCGCCTGCCCCATCCTGCTCCTCTGGCCCTCCTGTCTCCACACTGTCTGGCATGGTTTGGTCAGATATTTTTTAGGCCGCCCCTGCCCAGGAACTGCAGAAGGACCCCTTTTCTATCCCATCAAACCTTAACTCTTTAGCCAGCATTAAGGCTGTTAATGACCCAGTCCCACCCAGCTGGGCTCACCAGACACCCTTGGCTTCCCCGCATGGGCTCTGACTCGTATCAGTCTCATCTCAGTCCTGTGCTTGCTTGAGATGCGGAACCCGAGCCACACTGCCTCTTCTTCCTGGGACTTTGGTCACCACCTTTTCAGTCATCTTATTACCGCCTCAGCCCCTCCCATCGCTTAGGACCTGGCCCAGACCATAATGCAAGCTGCAAAAGACCTTCACCCACTGCTCCAGATACCCAGGAGCTGCCCTCTTCTCCAAACACCAACCCTGGTCACAATGCCCTACCCCACCGTGCCCCAAGCAGGGACTTTGCAGGGTGAGTCTCCTTGGGCTCCCTAGCCAGGATTTAAGTTTGTGTAGAGCTGGGGCACGTTCCTAGCAACCTGCCCGAGCCTAGCACTGTACTGTGCCCACAGCAGACACTCAAAACAAACCATGACCACAAAGAGAAACAACCAAAACAATCACAGAGACAGAACTCTGGGTACCTAGCAACAAATAATTGGTTTGCTTTATGCTAGTGCTAAGAATACAAAAAGAATCAAACTACAGTTCCTACCCTTAAACAGTTCATGCTCCAGTATGGTGTGACGAGATATGTGATTTGTGGGACCCAGTGTAGATGAACATGGGGGGTGCCTTTTCCACAAACAATTGTGAATTTCAGGATGACAATACCAAAGCCTTCATCCAACCTTGAATTGATACTCAATCTTTCTGAGTGGGCCCTGTAGGACTGCACAGGTCCCAGGCCCATGGAGCTGCCCTGAAGATAAAAGCTCTAGTGAGAAGGAGGTGGCAGTGTTGTGGTAGAAGAACAGTTAGCGTGCTGAAAGTGGTCGAAGCTACAGAAAATGACACATGGAGTCCCCGTGTCTGAGTGGGGGAGAAGGAAGGATGTCCCAGGAAGAGGGACCTCCCTGGCTGTGGGTGGAGAGAACGGAGTGGGTTGAAGAGTGCAGGGTGACATTACAAGAAGGCAGAGGAAGATTACTGGTGATCAGAGTGTCCACCTACCAGAAGACACATGGCTGGCAGGAGAGGTGGGTAGGAGCAGAGACCAGCATCAAATGTTGTACACTGGAAAAAGGGCTTTTTTTCTACAGCTGCCCAGTGGTCTTAATGGCTCATGAGCTTCAATTTGAGAACTAGGGTTCAATGTGCCACTGTAGGGAGGGGCTTGAATAGTGTCCCCCAAAATCGACACCCACCTATAACCCAGAATGTGACCTTATTTGGAAATAAGGTCTTTGCAGAAATAGTTAGGATCATGAGATAAGTCATCCTTGATTTACAGTCAGCCTTAACTCCAGTGACTGGAATTCTCATAGGAAGAGGACCAAGAGAAGAAAGCCAGGCGAAGATGAAGACAGTTTGAAAAGTGGCACCCGCAAGCTGAGAAATGCCAAGGCTTCCCCACAGTCACCAGCGCTAGGAAGAAGAGAGGAAAGGTCCCTCCCTACAGCACTCAGAGGGCACCTGGGCCTCCACCCCTTGATTTCACACTTCTGACCCTCAGAACTAAAAGAGAATAAGAGTCTGTTGTTTTAAACTACCCAGAATGAGGTAATATTATGTCAGTTCTAAAAAACTAATGTATCCACCACTATAAACAATCCTGAGGGCCAGGGATATAACGCAGTGGCACAGCACTTGCCTGGCAAGCTTGAGGTCATGAGTTCAATTCTGGTACCAAAAAAAAAATCCTGGGTCCATGCACGCCACTGCCAAGGCAGACACACTAAGAGGGAAGCAGGAGCAGACAGGAAGAGGGTGGCCAGGGACCCCAAAAGCTGGGAGCCTGTGCGGCCATCTCACCCCCAGTTTCATGCCCTGCAAACCCACATACCTGAGAAGAAGTGGGCCCGGAAGCCACGTTTGGAGACAGTGTTGTCAGACTTGAACTCCACGCGCATACTGTTACTCTGTGAGGTGATGACCTCAGGCGTCTCCGCACCACAGAATTTGCCATGCAGCCTGGCATCAGGGGACAGGCCACTGCGCACCTCCACAAAGTCGTACTTACAGACCTGCGAGGGAGTAAAGGGGAGCACATCCTCACCCCAGAGCTGAAAGCTGCGCCTCGTATGCGGCTGGGGGATTCAGGGAAGCCCAGGGGGACGGTCCCCTTGGTTCTCACTGTGCTGGTCGTGATGTAAGCTGTGGAGAGCCCAGGAAGGGCCCCTGCCTGGTGTGAGAGGTTAGCGCTCCAAAGCCTGCATCCCCTAACCTGGAAGGTAGCTTCTCCTCACTTGCTGCATTAGATTTCCATATCACATTTTGCTTAAAGAAAGGTGCCCATTGCTAGAAGGAGGAGGAGGAGGAAAGGAAGCAGAGAGAGCAGCGAGGGAGGAAGGGATGGAGGGAGGAAACCTTTGCACACCACTTCACAGCCCAACTGCGTTAGATCTTCATGCAGAGAAACTAAAGCTCAGAAGGAGAAATACCTTCACAGCTCAGGCACGGTGAAGCCAGGACTAGCATCCATATTGCCTGCTCTGAAGGGCTGAATGGTCAGGTGAGACCCAGGGCAGTGCTGTTTTTAGGATGAGAACCTCTTTGCAGCTGGGGCAAAGAAGAGGGGAGCACGGAGAGGTTCCTGTCTGTCCTGAAGGGGGGTCCTCAAGCCCCCGGCGCAGACAGCGGGCACTTGTGACTAGCAATCTGACTGTAGGGTTACCGGGCCTCACCTGACTTGGCCACCCATGAGCACTCCTAGGACAGGAACAGGCTGTCTCTAGCATCCTTCTCTCTAGCTGGTCACTAGCTTCTCCACTTCCCTCAGCTGGACAATGAGCCCCAGATTCACACCCCAGGGTCTGGCCCTGTGCTGCCTCCACCCCCAGCACCTGCCCCCTTCATCCTTGTCCCAGTTCTCCTTGGATTTCTCAGTGACAAGAGGGGCTGGGGGCTGCACCTGCAGAAGGCACCGAGCCGAAGCTGCGGGATGAAACCTCCCCAGATTCCTCCCAGCTGAGGTCCTGTGACTGTCTGGAAGTGGCAGTGCTAACGCTAGCCCTCCACCTCCCTGCTCTCCAGCTCTGAGTCCCCGCTCAAGTCAGAGCACAGACATACATCATTGCCTTCCAGTTCAAACACTTCAAACTGCAGGGAGATGCGGTACTGGGCGGGGGCCACCACCTGCCAGACACAGTTCTTGTTCGTGGGATACTCCTTTGGCCACCCAGGGCTGGTGATGGTTCCGTTTAGCTTGGTAATGAAACCGCCACAGGCCACTGCAAGGGAGAAGCAGAAACAAGATTCATTTGGTTTTAGTTCCAAGTGACTGCAATTTCCCCCAAGCAGCAATAAGCCCTGCTGTTCTCTGATAATAATGAAAACAAATTCAGACAATCCAAACTGGTTCAGTGTCCTGTTCCCTAGCCTAATTGTTTTAACTGAGATTTTGGAAGGACAAAGTTGGAGACAAATCTTTACTGCTTTTAAAAATGACAGTGATGCCTCTGACCTGTCACAGCACACGGCCTGTGTGAGCAAGTAGATTCATGCAGGTGGGTGAGGTACACAGAACCCAAAGGGGAAAAGGGACAAGTGCAATGAGTGGTCAGTGGGGATCCATCAAAGTGCCCATAGATTTCCTGTGCTTTTCTTTCCTACCCTAAAAATCACTGTGAGTTTTACATGGTCATGGAAGAAAGGGAACTGCGGCCCAGTTTCAGTTTCTAGGGTGGAGCCTGTGCAGTTTGGGCTATCCTCCCACATTCACGACTGTTATCAATGCGCCTGTCTCTCCAGGAACTAGGTGGATCTTCTATCACATCTGTCCAGAGTTCTTCCCAGCTAGCCAGCTGCCCACTCTCCGCCCCGCTCCCCCACACGCTGTCACTCCAGCTGGGCAGGTCAAGCCCCGACCTTCACATGTCTTCTTATCAGCAGCCAGCTCATAGCCGGGGTCACAAGCACACTTGTAGCTGCCGAGCATATTGACGCAGCGCTGCTCACATCCGCCGTGGTCTGGCCAGGAGCACTCATCTACCTCTGTTGGGAAGGGAAAGGCCTTGGTTAAACGGCCCCACGGCTGCCTGGTCTCCCAGCCCTTCCGTGCTCTCTAAGAACCAGAGTGGCTCTTGGTGACCACCTCCCAAGGAATCGCATGTCCACATTTGAAAAACTGGCAGCAGCAGGTATACTCCAGAGCGGGGTCCTGACAACACAAGAATACCCGGATGGCCAGAACAGAGTCTGCTCAAGGGGATGAGGCCTGCAAATTCAAATTCCAGGGGGCATCTGGTCAGCAGCATGTATAGGTGATTGCCAAGAAACCTCCCAAGGTTCTATCTGTATCTATCCATGTCAGTGCCTGGAACTGGGGATTTCTCCCTCATAAACATAGACCTTCTCAGAGCCATCCCATAAAGGCTACAGCTGCAGGACACAGGATATTCTCTATGCATCAGAAGCAGAGCCAGCCATGTAATACTTTTACAGATGTTCTTAAGAAAGGTGCAGACGGAAACCAGCAAGTATACGGAAAACACTGGGCTCTGAAGCTCCACACTGCAGGGAGAGGCAGGGGCTGGGTCAGCATGGAGAGCAGGGGACCTGTAGGCTCGGTGCCCGTAAGTGTGTAGTCATGCACTTAGGGCATCAAATAACGGCTGATGTCTGCAGGAAGAACACAGGACCCTCTGGAGAGTCCCCTGAACACACCAGCCCACGCACAACTGACAAGAAAAAAATCCAGCATTAAGCCTCTTCAAGATAAGCATTAGAAATAAAAGGAAAAATATTATTCTCCATTGTCAAGCCATGGTATATCTGTCCTGAAAGAGGGCGTGTAGGGTGTGGTCTGATACCTAAAGGAGTTAGTGAAGAGACATCTTTTAAAAAAAAAAGTCCAATCTAGGGAGAAGAAGCGGGGCTGGCACAGGAAGGAGAGTACTGGTCCACAGCAACACGTCAGAAACAGGGCAAGTGTGTAGTTGTTTGCCAACCTGAAGGAACACACTACCCGTAAAATAAATCAGGACAGCTCAGAGTAGTTGGAGACCTGAAAAGATATCCAGCTGTCTTGCCCCCACGACCAGGGATCCTTTCAGTAACAGTCCTGATAGGCTGCTCTTCAGATCCTGCCAAACACTCGCAGGGCTAATGACTCTTGCAACTTTTTGAAGGTGTTTTTTGGATTGTCTGATTTTCAACCTCTTGGTCCTGCAAGGGCACAAGCTTTCCAACCATCACTCCTCCTTGTCACTGCCCCTTTCCCATCTTTCTTTTTTTCTTTTCCTGTCTTTCTTGACTGTGATGCACGACCAACCCAGCTGGTCTTCACTGGGTGAAGTGTGGCTTGTGGCCACTCCATTGTTTCACACAGTGAATAGTAAACCAGGGTAATGCTGAGTGTGGGGTGTTCTTGGGCTCAACAAAGGCTTGAATGAATTTGCCAGGAGGGGCAGCTGGGTTTAGGAGAGATGTTCTAGGCGGGGAGTTGGAAGCCTCAAATGAATGCAACATTATGTGTGCTGAAATAATAAACAGTCCTGCAATTACTTGTCTATCACCTTACAATACGTAAAGCAGTGCCTTAGACATGTGCTAGGTTTGGAAGGAGGAGAATAAATAATGAAACCAGCCTTTAAAGTGAATCAGGTCTGGGTTGAATCTACCAGAGGGTCTTCACTCATCAAATTGTGGGGGCTGCTGGTGATTTAATTTCCCTGAGCTTCCTTCTGCTTTCAAATGAGAAGCATGATTCTTATAGTGGTGATAGAAAATGATGCCTGTGACACACCCAGCAGAGTCACGCATGGTGACTGTCACTACAGAAAACCGTGGTGTGGACTCTGGGATCCCAGCGGGTAGGGGAGAGCGGCAGGAGAACATCATCTAGACACAACTCGGGGCAGAGAACGCAGTGCAGGCCTGAGGAGGGGAGGGAGACAGGGAAGAAATGTCAAGGACGGGTCAGTAAAGGAAGACCAGAGGGACAGGATGGACACACAGCAGATTCAAGGAGCTGGCTGGTGGGCAGAGGGAAACTAAGGCCAGGACCCATCAGAAAGGATGAAGACACAGGCAAGGTCGGGGGGAGCCTCTGATGCCAGGGACGCGGTGGCTGTGGCAGGACACACAGGCAAGAAAGACAGGGCCAGTTTCCAGGTGTGGTCTTGGGCAGATGGAAAGGGAAGAGTGGATTTAAGCCTAAATCAAAGGGCGTAGGACTCCTCCAGAGTCTAGAAGGATACAATGTTGATGCAACAAGGTGGATAAAAGGTAGGCTTTGCAAGAGCAGCAGATGTGGCCATTTGCAGCTGTGCTCCAGTGTGGACAGATGCTGCGCAAGCTCCGGGGTGCTGCTCTCAGGGGGGCCCCACTGTCTGCAGCACTTGCGCGGTGCTGTGAATTAGCATCTGTGTCCCGCCTTCTGGCCTGTGCTTGTTCTGCACTGCAGTGGCCAAGGCCAAGCCCTCTAGAAATGATCTGGGAGAGGGCGAGGGTTGGAGAAGAGGCTGGAATCAGAGTTCAGCTTAGCACAGCAGGAGCTCTGGCTTCTTATCCTTCAGGTGGTATTAGGAAAAGAAGGGGTCGTTCTGGGGCTGAATAGTGAGACCGGGTCAGGCAGGATCCCAAAACTGTTTCAGAAAGGTTAAGCAAAGAACACAGTGCTCTAGGCCTCTGAAGAAATATGCTGAAGAAAGCCAGTCCCCAACACCACCAAACAACGCACAGTGGCCCATCACACTGCGGCAGTGGAACTCAGGGATCCATGTGGAGCCCTCACATCCTTATGGGAGGACGTGTGGATCAGAATAGTTCAGCCAATGCTTGAATGCCACTGCCATCCTCCCAGAGCAACCAGGAGTGCAAGGTGCTCTGCCTGTTGCCCAGCCAATGGCCTGTGAAAGGCACTGCATCTGGCACCAAGAGAGGGGTGTGGAGGCCAACTGGCACCCCAGCCAGCGGCAAGAGCCAGCTGGGCCCTGGGCAAAGCCTGCTGCCAACTGGCACAGAGGCAAGAGCCTATTTGGCTCACTCCCACTGTGCCACAGGCCTGGTACATGCTTCCATGTTCTTCCACTGGGGATGTCCTGACACAGGAGCCTGAGTGCTTGCTTCGTGCCCACAGGACTCTCACTGCTGGCCTCACTGGAACAAGGCTGGACTAAGGAAGCCAATTATGATTCTTGCTGTTTTTTCCCAGGATGCCTTAAAAAGGAAAAAACTAATAATCCCACCTCGTGTTTGGTACTTGTCAACTTATAAAGTGCACCTGCAGCTGTCATTTCATTGGGGCTTCACAACAACTGGTAGAGAACAGAGGCAGATTGCCTTCTCATAGTCTACAGAGGGGAAAACTGGGGTTTCAGTAAGGATACATAGCTGCCTGCCTGGGTGGCACAGCCTGCAGTAGATTCTCCTGACACCTGGTCCCTTCCAATGCAGGACCTAGGAGAAGGGTCTAAAAAGGAGGCAGAGGGGAGATAGGAAGTGAGGTCAGAGACTGGGATTTCTGCTTTTTCTTGAAACAGGGTCTCACTATGTAGTTCAGGCTGTCCTTGAACTCATTCTGTAGGCCAGCTGGCCTTGAACTTTTGGCAATCCTTCTGCCTCAGCATCCTGAGTGCTGGGATGATAGGCACCACCACTATGCCCGGCTTTTGGGCCAGGATTCCTGGGCTGACACAGCCAGTCCTAGGAGAGATGGGAAGGGAGTGAAGCAGCCTGCCCGAATTGGACATGAAAGGCTGGGAAGCTGGCCAAGTGGTGGCACTAATTAAGGAGTCTCAGCTGCAGAGGACAGGTCCCCTCCTCCAAGACCTGCTGGTGTGCCACTGGGTGCCCCGTCACAATTCACAGACGAGATCCAGGCTCTCCTCTCGGGGGGTGATCTGCAGGACTTCTAGGAGCCCAGAGCAGAGAAGGAAGACCTGCCATTCAAAGGAGGCTTGGAAGCCCATTCTGGGGTCAAGAACGTTGGTTCTGGGTCTGGTTCCATCAAGACCTATGGGGCAGCAGGTCCTCAAAGCAGCAGGAGGGTTGTTCCCAGAGCCCCCCTCACTCTCCTCAGCCCCACGTCCCTGGGGACAGGCACAGAGGCTGGGGCTGCTGCCTCTCCAGCCCACACTGAGGGATGTGAGACAGTGCTATAGAGAGTTTGGGCTCTGGGGTGAGACTGGATTTGGATTCTCAACCTGCCACCCAGCTGTCTGAATGACCCTGAGCACCCCATCCTGGTGCTGATCAAATGTGATCCAAACCTAACTCAAAGGGCTACTTGGAGAATTAAATGGCCAGGTGAATCAAGCACCTCCACAGGCTCTAGACACAGTAAGTCCTCAGTTAGTGGTAGTCCGTGTAAGTATGTGTGGTTATCCATGCTCAGCTTCATTACGGCATAGTTTGACCTTATAAACTTACTAAGTCGAATTTCTAAGTACAGAATAATCTGTTCCGCAGAAGCCCAGGCTGAGCCCTCTCCTGCCTGAGATCAGTTGGGAACTCCACAGGGGCCCTGCTCATAGCTCTGAAATGGGTCACCGCCTCCTCCCTGCAGGGAGTCTTGTCTAGTGCTAAGGCACCATATGGGTTTTGTGATTCTCAAGCCGGGGGAGCAATTTCTTCTTGTGACTAAAAATGGAAACAAACTGCTAATTCATACCCTTGAAAAAGTTGGCCGCAAAGCCCGCCTTGTTGATGGAGCCATCAGACACAAACTTCACCCACAGTCTATTCGAGCTGGACTTCACATCCTCTGGCTTCTCGTAGCCACAGAAGTGACCAATCAGAGCGCTCTCCTCCGTGGGGCCATCGCGGATTTCCAGGTAGTCGTATGAACAGCTGTCATGCCTTTCAATCTACAGGGAGAAACGAGGCCACCTAGTTAACACTGAAGGGATCATCTTGGAGATTTTTGATTTAAAGATGGAACCTAAACATCACCCTCAAAATCTAACCAAGCCAAGTGTGCCCTGGGTTTCTCCTAGTTGTATCCTCATTGCAGAAGACAAGGTGAATCCAACCGAGGAAAGACTAAGAGAAATAGAGAAGAACAGTTCTACAAGACTTCATTTGACTCCAGGATAGCTTTTTTATGGGGGAGGGGTAGGTTGAAACAGTCTCACTATGTAGTGTAGGCTGGCCTTGAACTCACTATGTACCCCAATCTGGCCTCAAACTCACCATGATCTTCCTGCCTCAGCCTCCCAAGTGCTGGGACTACAGGTGCACACCACCATGCCCAGCTCAGGCTAGCTTTTCACTTTCACTGTTCCTCACCCTGTCCAGCAGCTTTCCAAAAGGAGGTGAACCATATGTCAAAGGCTGCAAAAAGTCTGATATAAGATGTCCAGGCACAGCTCACCGTGGGCTTAGCGTTTAACACGGCCTCTTAGGATCCTTTCTGCAACCCAGAAATTGGAAACCCACCTTTACAGAGCGGAGGATAACAAGCAAATTTGTCACTTACACCTTCAGGAAGACATCCAAGCTGAGCTCACCTCAAACGCTTGGAAGGTGAGTGCCACATGGAACCCGTCCGACACCGTGATCCTCCACACGCATGCCTTGGAAGGGCTGTAGTCATCCGGGTAGTTGGGAGATTGGATCTGGCCAGCATCTTTGTTAATGTCTCCCCCACATGTAGCTTAAGAAAGAGCACAGGAGGGGAAGGGGGTTCCTGGTCAGAGGAAGAGGGATACCACTTATCACCACTAGGTGGCTCCACGCACCAACGTTTTCATCTCCATCCGATAGACTGTGCCTCAGAAAGGCATAAAACGCCATCTGTTTTCTACTCTGAATCTTTTTATATAAAGAAAATAACCATGTGGCACCTTCACTGTGCATCAGAACCACCTGTAAACTGCTGCAGCTGTAAGAGCTTGGGCCACATCCCGGGGCTCCCACTCAGTGGGTTGCGGCGAGCACAGAGCGACAGAGCTCCCAGGGATCTCTGATGTCCGGGCGGAGGCTGCTGCCACTTACGGACACACGTGCGTGCACACACATGGATGCACGCATGCACACGCACAGAGACATGGTTAGATCTTTTACAAAAACAAAACTTGCCCCCTCCAAAATTACAATCATTTGAGGGCAAAAAGGGCCCTTCATCATTTTTTAGGAAGGTGTCACTTTTGAGGGGGCAGGAGGGGATGGGAGGGGAGTGAGAAGTCCAGCTTTTGCCTGGGGCAGCTGCCGTGTCTGCTCAGCCCTCGGGGTAGTCTCACAGGCCCTTCTAGGAAATGCAGCTGGACCTTTGCTGATGTCCAGTCTTCTTTCCAAGAGCGAAACAGAGGCCCAGAGGGGTCAGCTTCTTTGCTTAGGCTCACACATTCCCAGAGACCGCTGCCCTTTGCACAGGGTTTTGGATCCCTGACACCACCCCCATGGGGGGGAAGCCAACGCCCCAGCTGGACAGAAAGGATTCAATGCGCTGCTGACAGGTAGGTGACAGTTTCTGGGGTGAGCACAGCTGGCCTCTGCGTTGTGAACGTGGTGGAAGTGGCTCGCAATGTTCCCCATCCCCGTAGTGTTAGACTCCGGGAGAGAGGAGGGAAGGAAGGGCTGGAGAGGACACAAGGGAGCTCCGCCAAGGACCTGTCCCGCCCTAAGCTGCCCCTTGCAGCAAAGGCCCCTACGCTGGGGGCCCTGGCAAACTGCCAAGCACAACTGGAGTGAAAGAGGGACAGGGAGTGCATGGGAAGGACAGGGCACAGTAGCAGCCATCCAAGCGGCTTCTTCTGTCACAAACAAACCTTCGTACACTGCGAAGAAACCTTTGCCCAGGATGTTGCTGCTGCTTCGGAACTCCACCCAGAGCCGGCTGTCTGAGGAGATGAGGGGCTCAGGGACTTTGTCACCACAAAACCTACCTGAAAGTAGAAAAGACAGTCAGGATGCCTGGGGCAGCGAGAAGGAGGGCGATGGCGACTGAGACAAAACCATGATTCTTCCAAGGTGGGCTGAAGTGGGCAGTAACCCTCAGTGACTGCTGTTCATATCATACACGCTGGATTGAAATACAGGACCGAAGGAATCACAACACCTCTGTACCTCATGCAGGGAACTCCAGATTCTGGTCACCCAAAGCACCCAGGGTACAGCCAAGGTACCAGCCCTCCGAGCCCGGCATGGCTCTGAGGTTTGGTGGAATCGTGGCCTGAGACAGTGATGAAGATGCATTCTTCAGTGTATCCTGTGGCATCCACGCCCTCCCTTTGGGACCCTGCACATTCTGCTTTCCTTGCCTCAGAATGGGAGGCAGAGAATACATGACAGAAATCAAACCATCGTGGCCTTTGAATAGCACAAGGCTAGTCACAATTGCAAAGATAGGGAAGACTGCACAATGACTAAGAGAATCGTTCCTCATCCTTGTAGTAGTAGATTCCAGGAGAGAGGAGGGGGGAAAGGCTGGAGAGGGCACAAGGCAACTCCTACAAGGACCCATGCCCTGTCCCACCCTAAGCTGAGACCCTGGATAGGAAAGGACATTAGAGATCCCAGGTAGGTTTAGGGATCTGGGAGAACCAGAAAACTATGTCCCAGACCCTAGGCAGAGCCTGAAGGGGTAAAAAAGATTCTGGATTCCCCTGCCCCTCACAGGGCTGAACAGAAGTGCTATGTGCTTTGTAAAGACCCTTGGCCATGAGACAGGTGCAGAGCTTCTTAGGCAAAGCCCGGTATGACTATGATGGCACCAGTGTGGCTCTAAGCCACTGAGGGGGCATGGCCATGGCTTTCCCATAGCACAGAGGACTTGGGGAGCCATAGAATGCGTCCCACACTTGGAGGGAGAGGTGGACCCTATTCCATTCTTAACTGGCCTCGGGCTGAGGCAAAGAGGAGCACAGCAGCAGCATCCGTGTGGCCAGAGCGCTGGGTAGCTGGGAATGAGGACTTCCCAGCAGTCCTCGTGAGGACAGCAACACGGGCACCACGCCCCGGCCCCACTGCCATCATGTTACGGTTTATATCTAGATGCACTCATAAGGGGGGCTTGGGAAGTGACTGGATTATGGGATGTGTAGCCTGGGTGGAGCAGGTGGGTCACCAGGGGTGTGGACGGGAAGGGTTTAATCTCCCTTCCCAGCTCCTACCCCTGATGCTCTGCAGAACAGAAGCAGCTCCCGTCTACCGAGCCCCTGGGCCATGCTGCTTCGGAGCCCGCTGACTGTGGACTGCAACCTCTACAAACTGGGAGCCAAAACTCCTCTCCTCCCTTAGGTTGCAGGTGTCAGGTACTGTGTGATGAGACAGGTGACAAAGACACATAAGAACATGACTTGGCACAAATTACTCCCCCACTGGCAGCCCCTTCCCAGGGAAAGGAAACAAACTGACTGAAATTAAGTTCCTACTACCTAATGGAAAAGAAGCTAGTAATAAATATAAACTTTGGTTATTGAACAAAAAAACTCAAGTTTCTTATGCACTTGTGCACATGGTCTGAAATTTAGACCCTCTACCAAGGAAAAGGAGAAGGCCAAGCTTCCGAGTGTGTGGTAATCTTTGGCCATCTTGCTCCTAATGCAACTTAATAGCCCAGGGAAAGAACAGAGTTGGGATTGGGTGGGAAGTGAGTTGAGTCTTCTGGTTGGTTCAGAACATAGACCAGGGGGGCGTGGTGGCACACGCCTGTAATCCCAGCACTTGGGAGGCTGAAGCAGGAGGATCGACCTCAAGTTTGAGGTCAGCCTGGGTACATAGAGAAACCCTACCTTAAAAAAAAAAACTACCTGAAACAAAACAAACCAGAACACAGAACCCCAGAGGCTGTTTGGACCAGAAGTCCATGGTTCTGCCAAGAATCTACTGGAGGCATCACTAAAAGAATTTTTTGGTCTGGAGATATAGCTCCGCAGCATAAGTGCTTGCCTGGCAAGCCTGAGGTCATGAGTTCGATTCCTAGTACCAAAAAAAAAAAGAAAAGAAAAGAAAAGAAAAAAGAATTTCTTTAGCTTTGTATGAGAAGGAGATAGGGGGTAGAGTACTAATGGCTATGGATTTTGGGAGAGAGGATGATGAGAATATTCTAAAATAGACTATATACCTCTATGAACAAACTAAAAACCATTGACTTTAAATAGTTACACACATGGTATATAATTATATATTCTTTTTTGTTTTCAGAACTGGCCTTTGCACATCCCTAGCCCTTTTTTTCTGTTGGAGACAGGATCTCACTAAGTCGCCTGAGCTGAGCTTAAACTTGTGATCCTCCCGCGTTGGGTTCCCAGAGTGCTGGGAATACAGTGTGAGCCACCATACTGGGCTCTCGATTTTTAAAAAGTCCATTTAACAGATATATTGTGGACAATTTTATTGTCAATACTCTGTTGGGCCCTGGACAGGCTATTTAAAGCTATTTCAATTCTGCTTTATCCTTCTGAGACAAGCAGGGAGCACTGAGGCTGGAGGAGGAGACCGATGAAGGGCGTTTCCTAGTGGCCAGCGATGGCCTCCATTCTTAGGGAGAGAGCTGCTAATCTCCTCGGCTTCCTTCTGACTCTGGCCACCTGTAGCTGTTTGGATTTGGTGAGCTTAGTGTTCAGAGAGATGAGAGGAAACTGCTGCTGAGACTTTGGCAAGGAAAAGCCCATCAGAGCCTATAAATTTTCAGTAATGGCTCCTCTGGTGTGGCCAATTAGTGTCTATTGGTTTTTGGAAAACAACATACAAGCAGGAGAACGTTGGCTCGCCATCAGGGAGACAGCACACCAAGCAGCGGTTAGGCCACACCAGACTGCTGAGCAGGGTTCCCGCTTAGCCTCCCCTGAGTTTCTAGACCAAGTTTCTCCTTTCAAACCCCAGAAGTCACAGCCACTGAGGGATGTTTCCAAAGGAGAGAGGGCTCTTCACCGCTGCCCTACTCACAAGCTAGCTGAATAAGAAGAGCCCCCACCCCCAGGAGCTGGAGGACAACCTGCCTCTGCTCCGCACTCTGGAGCAGGTAGGAACTGCAACTCAGGTGTACTTGACGGTCTTGCAGAGCTAGACTTGATAAGATAAATGACAGGTCTGAGCACTCTCCTCAAACACTTTGCAGTTCTCAACCAGAACTCATTACTCTGTCCCTGGACTGACATCTCAGAACCTTCACGTTCACCATAGCACCTCTAAGAAAAGCCCTTTTGTCACTGACCAAGTCTATGCCAGACACTGTCCTAGCATGTTACAAGGATTATCTCATCCCCTTACTACCATTACCACCTGAATTAGGGGCTGTTACTTATCCCATTTCACAGATGAGAAAATTGAGGATCAGAGCATTTATCTCAAAGCTGGAAGTAGAAGTAGAGTATGAACCTCAGTAGTCTGAGATCTGGGCTTTTATCATCAATATCACCTTCATCATCCTCACCATCACTACCACCAGCACCATCCAAAGGAATTTGGGTGAAATTCTGATCACTGTACAATTTTTAATAAACAGACACTAGGTTTCTCTTTCTCTCTCTCTCTGCATGCCTCATACCTGTTCCCCGTTTCCCAGTTTAAACACAGACAAGGGGCTGGGGATTTAGCTCAGCGGCAAAAGCGCCTGCCTGGCAAGCGCGAGGTCGTGAGGTCGGTTCCTGGTACCGGAGAAAAACCAAAAAAAAAAAAAACACAGACAAGTACAAATGAAGATCAGAGCAAGTCGGGGGAAACACCAGGCTCTGCTGTTGGCCTCATTTCTGCTCCTTGGGGAAGCTGCCTTGGCCCAGGGAGCCCCAGAACAAGGACCACATGACACTGGTGGGCTGGGCTGGCCCTTCTGAACTTCCCTCCTCATTTCAGGGAAAGGGGTGAAAGGGCTTTTGTATACATTGTGGTGATCCAGAATGCCCAAAGTTTGTCAGTTCTGCTGACAAAACTACATTGTTAGAGTAATTCCTCGAACGAATAAGAGAAGGGAGTCCAATTTCCAGGATGGTGCTTCAGGCTACTGGATGAGTTTCCCATGCAGCCATCACCCCTTTAGGTACCATTTCCTAAGTGGCACTTGAAATCTGAAAAACCTGGTTGAGATCTTTACCCAGCCATGAAATGTTCTCAATCTACTTCATTTACCCTTGCCATCCCTATGAAAAACCTGGGTCCCAAACAGCCTCCTTCCAAGGAAGCTAAACAGGCTGGAGAGAAACTGAAGTGCAGAAAAGGTGTCAAATTCCTAAACTGAAATCTGGTTCCTAAATGTAGAGGAGGAGTTTAATAAGGATATCAAGAAGAGGAAATGCAGATGAGGACACTATAAGTGGCCTCCGTGGGGAGTCATAAAGGGTTCATTCATAAAAAGTTATGCACGTATTATGCCTGGATTTTCACACACTGCCCTGGGAAAAAAATGTGTTGCATAGTTTTTCAGAGCAAGATGCATACTTTCACAATCCGCCCTAATCCGCTGTCCCTCCTGCCAAAGGGGCATTGACCTGCCTCCTCCCAACAGATTTCATGGCACTGACCCCTCCCAGGGACCAGCTCAGCTGACACAATGCACTTGTTCCAAACACAAAAGTTCACTAACAACTGCATTTGGAAACATCAGAGCAGGCCAAATAGTTGGCAAAGGAGAGCGCCTACAAAGGAAGAATGACGGCTAGAGGCGCTGAGCCATGCTTTACTTGCCACACCACACACACACACACACACACACTCACACACACTCACACCCCCCAGACCACAGGCATGCACACTGTAAGCTGGAAAGATATGTGCCCTAACCTCCTCCAAAACAAAAAATACCCAAATCACTACCTACAACAGTAAACTGTCAAAATCCTGTCCCACTAATGAAAGTGTCGCCAGATATATCAGGATTTGCGGTAGGAAAATGCCTGCTGTAAGTTCAAGCAAAGGGAACGCTCATTGCTGGAATGTACCTTGGCCTCCTCTGGGGAACTTCAGTAACAGAGAGCTTCCTCTATTCCACTGGGGACGTGTGTGTATGTAGGGCTGCCAGGCTTAGCAAACAAAACCCCAGGAAATCCAATTAAATTTGAATTTCAGATAAACAACACATAACGTATCTTATCTGGCAAACCTAAGAGGCACCCTGCTCAATTTTAGCAGTCACCTCTCCCGCTCACCAGGACATCGGAATTCTGATCTGATCTCTCCCATTAGCTGTCTGTGTGACCTCAGAAAGCCGGTGTCACTTGGAGAGCTGGGCTTTCTCATGAACAAGCGCAGTCCAGTGACTCAACACGCTGAGTGGTCTGTGACTGCTCAATTGCATGTGCTCATGAAGTTCTTCCACACGGCTCCGGTAAAATGCATTCTTGTAAAAGATCCAAACAATTGAGTTTTATACAAAACAAAGCAGGAAGCTGCCCAGCACCTCCACACTTCCTTTCTCAGAGGCAACCACTGCAACAATTTGATGAGCACAATTACAGGCCCCTTTCTGTGTATTTGGTACTGGACATGGGCACATGCACCATATATTTATAGGTCAGCATGATCATTTTCTGACCCAACCTGTGGGGATTCTGGTTAGGTACTTTCCCAGGACTCTGGTGATCAGCCAGGTTTGGGAAACTCTATCCCAAGAATTCATCTCTCTGTCATTTTGTTACATCAAATCAGTGCTACCTATAAAGCCTCGCCCTCTGCTGGCTACTAACACCTGCCATATCTGCTTACATTAGGAGGAAACAGAAATCAGGGACAAGACAGCATTTCCCCTTCCAAAAGGGGGCATAATTCACTTGTCCTGCAGCGTGCACATTCCTGCGCATGCTTGGCATGGAGGTGACTTTCTTGGTTGCCTGTTTGGGCTGCTACCTGACAGATTCCTCCTCACTGGGGCAACCTGGCCCCCAGAGTCTGCCCTGGCTGCTCCCCAGCTCTTTGGAGCTCCTAAGGATAGGAATTCCTACCTGTTTTACTGCGAGGAATTCAAACTCATGGCTCTTTGGACACAGGTGCCTGTGTGCTTTTCCTATCAGTAGCTTATCTTAGTCATACAATATGAAGTACAATCAAAATATAGAGTGAATATTTAACTTACTACAATAAAAAACACATTACCATTAATCTCCCTGAAAATACTCCTTTCCTTCAAACATATTTATCCTATCATTTTAGCACATCTGGAAGCAGTTCTGGAAGTCCTCTACTGTGTCTTTCAAGGTGTGATCAAAAACTGCAGTGCATGCTGCTGCTAAGTGCCGTCCAATGGAAAGTCAGCCTCTCAAAATACTATGGTGAGTCGTCGTCCACCTTATTCACTGCAGCTAGCACTATGGGATTTCTGGCTCTTCCCCAAAGCCAAAACGTCCGTGAAAGGTAAACGTCAGGGCGTCGAGGCAGCCACAACAGCACAATGAAAGACACAAAAGAGGACTTCTAGAACAGATGCAGACAGCGGTAAAAACAATGTGGTAAATGTGTTCAAAGCAAGGGGGAGTATCTTGAGGAGGATTAATGGCAATGTGTCTTTTACTGCAATATACTTTTAAAATTTTTAAATGTTCACTATATTTTTTATTGTATCTCATAGCTTCACATCTGCCAGGCTTCCTGAAGTGCAGCCAGACCTTCTATCTCAGTCTCTTCTGATCCCATCTGCGGTTCCCCAAGACCCAACATGACATGACATCAGGCTTGATTTAGCAGTGAAACTTCCCGGCCAAGTCCTCTTCTTGCTTTCCTAAGCAGCATCCTCAGCCAGCTGTCCCAGCAGCCGTTCATTCTCCGGCTTGTCAATCAGTACAACAAGAGTGGCTTTGCTCTTAATATGAAGATTGCCAGGGACCAAGTCCCCACCAAGTTCTTAGACTTGTCCATCCCAGAAGCACCCTGAAGACTGCTCTAACAATGAGCACAACCAGTTCTCAGCTGAGACTTTCTATCTGGCTCCTTCTCTATGTGTTCTCTCCCCAGTCTACCGTGGCTGCCTTTCCCACCCTTCTAAGTCACAGTGTCAGCTCCCAAGCCACAGGTCCTCCTCACAGTCTTAATCTTCCCTGGACACTCATGAGAGAGCTCTCTTTTTATGACCAGTCCCGAGTGAACTCTTTTCTCTTTACACTCCCTGCCCGCCACCCCTCACTCAAAGACCCCAGCTGCCTCGTCATGTTTGAGTTCATGCCCTGTTCATCTCCCAAAAATAATACATGTGATCATAAAAATTTGGAAAATATAGCTAAACCAAGAACAGAATGAGATTTTTAAAAATATTATCCTGAAATAACTATTATGTATGACTTATTTACATGTGTAATTTTACTTGATATTTATATGATAGAACACAATATGGTTTTTTCCAGTTGAATTCAACCTGCACCATGTTTTAAGTAATTTTGTTTTGAATGATCTCAGACAGGATATTCAGTATTCAGTCCACCATACTCCCACCACTCCTCATTTTATTATACCAATCCCATCTCATTCACTAAGACCTTCTATAGCATCTAATTTTGCAATGTTCATACATACATACATACATACATACATACATACATACCTTGGTTCACAAATGCTTTGCTTGTGAGCTATTGAATTTGTACACAGAACTATTTTTCAAAATTTTGTTTGCAAACTCTGCACTGGTGTTGAACACAACCATGGCCATTTTTTTCCACACGAAACACAAGTGTAGCCATTTTTCCAGAATCATGGAACAAATTAAATTCATGAAATGAGATACCACTGTATATATGTGTGGTCAGATATTTTTAAATTAATGCTACTCCATATTCTGTTCTGTAATACACTTTTTTGCATGTAATAGTTTTTAACCAACAACTTTCTATACCTAATACGTAGTCATCTCCAACTTTATTTTTAACATCTAGAAAGTTTTCCATTGAAAAAAAGGTATCATAATTTATTCACCTAACCCCTACTGTTGAACATTTAAATTGCTTTCAATTTTCCCCACTTCAGTGCACATCCCTGCAGCTAGAGCTTTGCACACTTCCTTAATTAGTTCTCTAGGATAAATTTCAAGAAGTGGAATTGAGGGGTCAAAGGGTATTCACAGTTTTAAAAGCTTTTAACATGTGTAGCCAAATGGAGTGTTCCAAGGTTTACAATGACACAGGCCGTTGAGGGCTTCCTGTGACTGCCGTCACGATGGACCCTTCCAGACAGTAACAGCATCCCAGAGAACACTCAATTGCTCCTCTCTTAAAGCTGTCTAACGTCTACTCACCCAACAGGGGGGCTTTCCTCCAGTACCCATCCCGGACCTCCACATAGTCGTACCAGCACAAACGGCTCTTAAACAAATCCATGGATGTGAAGTTTAGGATGATCTGTAAAGAATTACCATAAAGTGAGTCTGACCAACAAAGCCTGAGGAGTTCTGAAAGATGCGCTGTGCATACCAGTATTCTCATGTTACCCTTTAGCATACAGAGCCCTCAGACCACAGTAGGAGTGTCTTCTCAAAAACACAAGCACAGGAAGCCTCGTGACATTAAATAATAAACCTTAGGCAGGATGGGGAGTAAAGAGAATGAGATGGGTTCTTTGGCTCTGTCTGGGGAATCATTTGAGCTTTTGAAGTCACTGGATGGTTTACAGAGAGTAAGATGCATTAAAAAGACAAGCCAGGATGTGTTGAGACTGGGGACTTAGAAGGGGGTCAGTGAAGTTCAGAGATACAGAAAGATCTTATAACTTCATCAATCATTCCAAAGGATCTGGGGTCAGTCCAAGTGCATCCCACCACCTCTGTGATCAATGTCTCCTTGACCATGACCTTACTTCTGAGATATGTTGTATCGAAAAGTCTTCCTACAGTCAATTCATTCATTCATTCACTCATTCATTCATTCTACCATTGTTTGTTGATCACCTACTGTGTGCTCATCTGCGCTGAGAAATGGAGAAAGATCAGTAAGACAAAGTCCTTTCCTTTAGGGAGCTCAGAGTGAGAAGAAAAGGTAGACATACCACACCAATGAGGACTCCGTGACACAAATGTTGAAAAGGGAGGGTTAGACAGCCCTGATGGGAGAAGTAAATTTTGCCTGGAAAATTCCTGAAGGTTTCTCAGAGGAGGTGTGATGTAATCTACAAGGACGAGGAGCTCCATGGCACAGGAGTAAAGAGAAACTGCTATGAGTTGAGGCAAGGTGCTGTTTGAGGACCTGGACCACAAGCCTGGCGTAGGGTGTGTGCGTGGAATGAGGCAGCGGAAGAGGCAAAGAGATAAGAGTGAAGGCCAGGGTAGCAAGGGCTCAGCTGAGGCTGGGCATGAACATTCCAGCTCTCTGGGACACCCCTCAGGGCCCTCACTGGATCTCCAATGGCCAAAAAGGTCATTATTTAGTGGAGAGAGCAAAGCAATCCTGCAAGCTGGCCCTCAACACACAGGTGCTGCCCCACCGGTGGGCCCTGGTCCCCCAACTCCCTCCAGCCTGGGACTCTCTCAGCAGGTGGATGACAGCAGAGCCCCGGGTTCTGCTCTCCCTTTGCCACTCCCCCACCCCGTCAAGCTCCACCCAAGAGGCACCTGTGCAGCCCGGCACTGAGAAGCAGTAGCTTGTCTGGTCAGAGCTCTAGGCTGTCTCTCTGCAGCATCTTTCTGGTCCATCACTTCTCAGCTCCTCCTGCTCCCCAGCTCTACCCCAGCCCTTGCACCCTTGACCCTATCCCTTTTCCAGTTCTGGGGACTTTGCTCTCAGTGGCTCACCAGTCTCCAACATCTTCACCCTCTATCCCTTTCCTGGCCACTTCTTTAATATTCAACTAGCCCAGGGACAGTATCTTTAGGTAAATCTTGAAGCTGGAGGGGCTACAGTCCTCCTGCCCAGATGGTTATTTGTCCTCAAGTTTCCAGGCTCCCTTTGGACTGAACCTATTCTATCTGGTTGTGACCATAGTGGCCTACCCCCTCACCACTGTCCTCTCTCGCTGGCTGGCGCCTGCCCTCCTTCTCCCCACAAGCCATGAGAGCCCCTCAAACCCAAGCATTTCCTACCCCACCTCCCTGACTGTAGGAGACCCAGCACCCCAATCACTCAGGCAGCATGCCTTGGTGCTATCCCTCATTTCCTCTATTGCTGACTCTTCCCATATATGTATAGCATCTATGTTGATGTCTCTTTTCCCTTTAAGATATCTCTGTCCCTTCCCTCCAACCCAGTCTTCCTCCCCTCAATGTCTCTTCCTGATTGCTGCTGCTGAGATGCTCTCCAATCCTCCCTGCTGTGCCCCTAAAATTCTGCACACTAGGCCTTCAAGATGAGTCTTCCTCGGGGCTGGGGATTTAGTTCAGCGGCACAGTGCCTGCCTGGCAAGCACAAGGTCATGAGTTGGATTCCTGGTACCAGAAGAAAAAAAAAAAAAAAAAAAAAAGATGAGTCTTCCTCATCTTCAACCTCATGTTTACCAGATCTCTCCCACACTTAGGAAACCTCTGCGGATCCTCACGTCCCTGTCTCATAAATTAAACTCTACTGACTCTTCACAAACTTCAGGCCTAGACTCTGTCCCTTTTTCCCAGGTCTCCCCACACACCTGCACTAATGAAACCCTGCCCTGACCCAGCAAAGTGTCCCCTGCTTTCCAAGCCCATCCCTTACTGCCCAGTGAGCACAGTCTGATCTCTGCATTTTTGGAACCCCTCACTTTCTCGTATAGTGATTCTGAGCAGGTGTCTCCTACAAGTGACTCACCTCCACCAATTACCAGCCCTGAAATCTTGGAGAAACACCTTACTTCTTGGACCTCTAGTTCCCCATCTTCAAATCAATATGCCCACTATTGGGTTGATGAGGGGTCTGCACAAAACACTGTATAGAGTTCATAAGAGTGCCAAACCCAGGTTATAGTAAGTACTCCATAAATGGCAATTACAAATCAGTACACTGGTGTAGCGTACTATACTTAGTGTTGTGTGTACCACAACTGACACCAGCTGCTCCTCACAGACTGCCCATCTTCTCTGGCATTAAAAGTGCCCACCTCTTTCCTCAGAGCAATCCTGTCCAGCAGTCAGGTCCCAGGACAAGTAGCATTTTCCCAAAAACCCTGCGATCTCCCAGGCAATGAAGAGTGGGTACCGTAAAATAACAGGCCAGCTTACTCTAGCCTTATGTATGTGCTCATGTGCGCATGCATGTGTATAATGTCACTCAAACTACGCTGGCGTTTAAAACCCCACTTGCACATTAGAATCACCTTGGAAGGTTTAGGGGAAAAGCTGGTACCAAGAAAATGTCCTTCCTTCCATTAAATCAGACTGCCAGGAATTCGGGGGCCCCAAACTAAACACTGTCTCTTAAAGACAGGGACGTAACTTAGATTTCTCTCAGATCCCTACAGTGCTTTTATTCAGGTGATCAAGCTCTGGAATACTTGTAAGCTGCTTGCACAATAATTCTTTAGCCTTTGCTTTTTAAAATTACAGAAAGGAAATGTTAGTACACCTTCCTTGGTAACACATTCGTGATCTAAATGGATGGGATAATTATTCGGGCTAATTATTTTAAGTATGTTAATGAACCATAAAGACCATAGAAGAGGAGGTGATAAATGAGAGGTGATACTCAAATCAATCGAGTTTGTTAATTACTAGGAGCTCTGGGGAAGGCGGGATGAAGCAGAAATTGGACAAACCGGTGCAGGAATTTCAATGATGTATATTCTCTCTGCTCCCAGTGAGTACTAATAATTGAGGCTTGGTGAAGCTTACACGGTTCAAACATATTACAGAGCCTCTGCTGTGCAGGGCAATTCAACAATTTGGGGATTACTAGACCCTTTCCTCTTCCTCCTCCTCCTCCCTGCCTCTCTCCTGTTAAGCGTCTCCAGCAGAAATAGAGCCGTCACATCCACCCAAGGCAGAAGGCCTGCAGTCTCAGATACAAGATGGCATCTACACAGTATTAAACACATAGAGCCAAAGATTTGGTGCATGTGTGCATATATGAGTGCACTGTGTATTGTAAGCTCATGCTCAAATGTCTGAAAATTTGCTCCATCTGTGTAATAATATAAGATGATGAGTAACCATTCAGACTCTCAGAGTCCAGGTGCCTGGGTTCAAATCCTAATTCTGCCATACACTTAGTAGCCTTGGGCAGTTCATTTTCTTCCCTGTACAATAAACAAAGTAACAGCACCTAGCCTGTGAAGTTAATGTGAGGATTATATTGAATGATCCCCGTAGCACATTGAGGATAGAACCCAGCCACAGAGAATGTTCCTAATGGCGCCTAAGTATTTCTCTCTAGTATCACACTATGCTTAACTCAAAACGTCATTTTTTGAAGCTATGATGTAACAATGCTTGTGGTTCTCTACGAGCACCTGAAAAATTCCAACACACCCACTGCCACCCTGGCTACTGGTTTTTCACTCGGCCCCCAGATGCATCTCCATATCCTTTGAACAAACACTCACTGTGTGCCATACACTATGCAGGGTGCTGGGACTGAGGGTGGACAACCTGTCATCAGTGAATTTAAGGTTAGAAGTGGGACAAATATACCAGCAGGCATGATACTACGGGACATGCCGTGAAACTGTGACACTGTAGAGATAACTGGGAACACAGGGGGCATCCCCTTACCTCAGCCCAAGGAAAAGACAGTTGCAGCTAATCTGAGAAAACATGAAGAACACTTGGATTTGCAGAGACATAGAGTGAAAAGATAAACTTTGGAGTACAAAGCCCAGGCTCTCCATTCCCAGTTCTATCTTGCAGTGAACTTTGGTAATGACCTTAATGTCCCAGGAATGAATCTAAGAATATGTACCCAGTCATAGGGTTGAGAACACATCACCCGTGGACGAGAGTAAACAGGCCCTGGCCTTGGGCTCAGCTCTAGGTGGTCGTGGAATCTTCGGAGCCACAGAACATGTCCATGCAGAGCTTGTCTGGCCTCTAGGCCTCACTCCAGGGACCTAGGACCTGAGATCCTGAAATTCCGTCCAAAGAGTGCGAAGCCCACTTGGAGAACATGCAAGGGCCTCTTCCCTGGATCCCTCTTCCCAAAGAAAATGCCCATCTGGCCAGTCCACTCACTGGACGCTTAGCTAGGAAACAGCTGTATGCAAGATAGGAATGCATGGTGCTCAGGAGTGTGGGCTGGGGGTCAATAGGGGTGCTCCAAACCACCAAATGGTGAGATAGAGGGGAAGAGAGAGGCTGGCTGTGCTCTGGAGCCAGCTCTCCCCACATTGCCACCTTCCAGACCAGCACATCAGGGTGTGAATGAATTCTAAACTGGACTTTGTCCTCCAAGGCATTATAGCAGTTATCAAGGAAGGAGGATAGAGCCTCCTTTACCTTAATCTATAACTTACATGGACAGTTAGCAAGTGCCAGGGCTCTCTTTGTATGAGTGAAACTAGTGGAGGAGTCCAGAAATAATGAATGCAAAGCAAGCAGCCTGTGCCTGAAATGTGCTGTGTGCTCATAACAAAAGAGTTTTTATTACTACTAGTGACAGTAAGGATCAGTCCTCTTGCCTCACCCAGATGGCCATGATTTCCCAGGAGGTTTCTTGCCTATCTTTAAAAATGTATTAATTACTATTTTAATTATATATATATGTATGGGGTACAGCATGATAATCTGACACATGTGTACAGTGTGCAATGGTCACATCGGGGTGGGGAGCGTTCCCACCTACCTTCTCCCCTGGGGTGACGGAGATCCTCCAGACGCAGTGGGAGTAGGAAGGGTAGCCATTTGGAAAGCCAGGTGCAGAAAAGTTTCCTGTTGTGTCCTGCAGGGTCTCCCCACATGCTGCACAAGAAAACAACAACTGTGACGCTGGCATGCACACCAGCTCCACACTTGGGCAGCTCCTGCCTGGCACTGCCAAGCAAACACATCCCTTTACCAGCCAAACACCTCAAAAGGGCTGGCATGAGGCAGCAACATAGAGAAAGTAGCATACGGTGCCAAAGAGCAATACTCAGGGCCCTTCTGAGCCTCTCAAGACTGATCACGGCCCAGAGTTAGGTTCAAACCTCAACTCTCCAGCAGACTGTGTAGCTGCGGGCTGGGTACTGATTTTCTTATCTGTAAAATAAGCAAGGAGGACCTCAGAGGCTGAGCAGAGTCATCTGTATTACACACAAAGGGTCCACTCGGTGGTGGGCACCTAGTGAGCGCTCCAGACACTGGGGCCATCATGATTGCTATGGTATCTGGGGTAGGAAGATCACGGAAGTGTAAGCTAGTGAAGCAAAAAGAAAAAATACACTGTGAAACTCAATTCATTTCAGTTTTGAAACTCCTTTCAGTTTTTGGTTTAAATCTTGCCTCCTCTTCTTGGCTATGCACCCTTGAGAGAGCTATCAAATAATTAAGAAAGCAGAGAAAAGTGTAGAGGCACAGAAAGCTAGAATATTCTGCAGCATGTGATTCTGCCCTCACATGTTTGACAGTTGTCTGATAATGAATCTAAAACATAGGATATACATGTGAAAATATTTCACCTAATTTGTCCTAAAAGAAAAAAACAGGAATATCTATACCTTGGGAGCTGTAGGCTTTGTGTTTCCCTGAGCCTTGGGATTACAACCCCAAAGGCAAAGGCACTGGTTTGTCAAGTGCCCCCGGTCTTGGGGACCACCTCCAAAGAGTGGGGAACAAAGCATTTTTAATCATCTTTTCCTACAAGTGACTCAACCTCTGAAGAACAAAAGCCTTAGCTTTCAGTTATTACTTGAACTTCACTGAAGCTCCATATTTTCCAGAGCTGCAGGAAGGGAGAGATGGGGAACTACCCATCACTGGCCTCAGGAAATCCTGGATATCAGGGCTTCAATATCACATTACCGAACAACTGCCAGGCATCACGAGGATTACGCCCAGCAGTCAACAACCCCCGAGGGTTCCATGGCAATTATATTAGAATAATCATCAACATTCTGCAAGAACAGATACATTACTGTGTGACTCTATGGTATTTACCAGCTGCCTTCAATCCTTTTGGGAAATAAGCAGCATATACATGATAACTAAATAAGTACTATGGCATTTCTCAGAGAATGCTATAAGGTTACCCTTTAAATTCAGCGAGGTTATATGATATGTGTGTCCTGCATTTCAGCCCTAACTTGCCCCTAGATACCTAATGGCTGGATGGACATATTTCCTAGTTTCATGCACACACAAGCCCGCTCAGCACTTTGCAAGGCCCATAGTCCTGCCCAGTGGGGCAGTGTGGCAGCCTAGGTTTTCTCCAGTGGCTCCCATTTCAAATATTCCATCCTATTATCAAATTCTGCACCTAAACTGGATGGGAAGGGAAAGGAGGGGGGGAGGGGAGTGAAAAACAGAGAAGGGGAGGAAAGGGGAGGGGAGGGAAAGAGAGGAGCAAAAGACGAGTATGCAGTACCTATGAGCCCCTTTAGGCATAATTAGTTGCTCATGGAAAATAGTGATCTATTAGAATGGCTAAAGCTCTACTTTACTATAAAATGGACTTCTAGCATGAAAAATCCCAGTTCCTCCTGGGTTTAATTTTATTCTTGTGACTTCCTATTTAGGACCTCAGAATATTCCTTGACTCATTCTTGTCTATTAGTGTCAGAATTTTGCCAGTATTCACCAAATGTCTCTTCCAGCCCCCACCTCCCATGCTTGCCTGTTCCAGATCCTCCTCTCTGTCCTCCACTCTCTTTGGTATATTCTATCCCATCAGTGGTGAAACTCGGCTGCTTAGACAAATGCTTTGCTCTGACCCAAGGCATTCTCACCAGCACCAGCACCACAAGAAAGCAGAGCATGAGGATAAAAGTGAAAACGGCCAATTCAAACAGAAAGGAGTGCTGAGCTGGCTGCAGAAGAGGCATTTTCTCCCTCCACAGAGTGCTGTTTAGTCTTGAATGGAAGACTGATGGTCATGACTGAGCCCATAGAAACAACCTCATTTATAGCACCAAGACTTCCTCTTCCAGCAGTAGTTAGGAAATGGACCCCCACTGTCCCAAAAGTATCTTTCCTCATTCTTTGTTTTCCTGCCAAGTCCTTCTTTGTTTTTGTGTTGCCAAACCCACATCCCCAGTCCTATAGAAAGGAGAAGGTACTCTCATTGTTACAGGGTCACTCCGCTTGGGTACCTAGGTCCTACTATCCTATGCCTTCTTCTCCCTAGCTTTGCCAAAGAAGCCCAGAGCCTGCCACAAGTCCAGCTGTGGGCTCTGAGACCTACAATTCCCATCACAGTTCTGCCTTTCTACACTGTCTAGCACATCTTAACAGAAGCACACCAGAAATTACAGCTGCCAAGGAATGGTCCTTTTAGGTTCCCCAAGTTATTATCCCAGCAAGGGGAGCTGTGTGCAAAAGCATGGAGTTGTACTCCACAGAATGCTGGGAGGTATTGGGAATCCCCAGGGCTCATGGTTACCTGGGCATTTGTACAGCTTCCTAGCTTGAGCTATGTCTCCCTGGCTGAGCCGCACACGCTGGCCAATGGTTGGCCGGATGCCACTGTCGTCTCGACGGGGGAGGATGGTGTCTAAGAAAACTCCTCTACAGAAAGAAAAAAAGAGAGAGAGGAAGAAAAGTCAGGACTGTCTGGCTCTACAAGCTGGGATTTACAGTCTTCATTTCCTTGCCCATAACCCATCAACATTCCTACTCGTGGTCTGCATCTCCCTGGCTAGCACAACCGGAGCTGTGTCCTTCACTCACGCTGGCATTTCATCAACTGCCTGCTCGCTTTCCAGTGGGAAGGTGACTGCCAACTTGAAATATGCCTCTTTCAGTAGCCTGGAGCCTTCTGTACTAACGTGTAATGAGCATTTCCACAAAGCCCTTGACAGCCCCGGGCCTCAGGGTCACCATGCTGCACAGGCAGCACCACTGAGAGCATGCTGAGTGGCGCCCCCTGGGGCTGTGTATTGGGCAGTACCGTGTATAGCTAAGTCTTGGAGCCGCCCCAGAGGAACTGGTCCAGTGTAAGGCTCTGCAAGGGGAGAGTTGGCAAGTGCAGGTGGACGAGTTGGTGAATGAGAGTTGGAAGGGCCTCGCTGGCCGGAGGAGCAGTCAGAGGAGCAATGAGATAAATGCAGAGACTAAGAGGGAGTCAGAAGAGCCTGGGGCTCCAGATTTCCATGCGGTGCCTGGCTCTGCCAGCTGAGTGAGCTTGGCAAGCTCCTCGTTCTCTCTGAACCTTTCTGAGCATCAGTTTATTCCTCTGTACTATGAGGCGGCCTAGATGGTCATGACAGCCCCTCCCAGGACTAACATCTTATTCTACTCGCACATGAATGACATCTAAAATATCTAAGACACAAGTGGAATGCAAGATACCTGGCCAAGCATTAGCCCTATTCACACCTCTGTGTAGGTCTGGTTCCTCCTTGAGCCCGAGCCCGAGCCCCTGCCCCTGCCCCTGCCTCAAGATCTTCTAACTGGGCCCTCTCCTGGGAGTCAGGCCTTCCCTTGGACCAGCTCCTTCTCCAGGCATCAACCTATTTCTTTCTCTCTTAACCAAGTTTCTGGAAAGAATCATCTCCATTCCCTGCCTGATGCTCATCTCCCCCTCACCCCAAATGTGATCAGACCATGTTAGTTTGGACTACTCGTTCTCCAAAACCCAAGCACACACTCACCAGTGGGTGCTTCTCAGTCTGCATCTGTCCTCTCTTCAACCCTGGGACCCCTTGTCCCTCCCTCCCCACTCTTTTCTCCCATTTTCCAAGGCACTGCTCTCTGAGCTGAAAGACAGGGGCCACTTCCTCTTCCTGATTCCACGACACCCTCAGGACTCTGCTCCCACCCTATTCTCCCTCCGTGTTCTGACTACTTATACAGGCACCACCTGCAAGCCCACAGCAAATTTCCTGTTTCCAGGTCAGAGCCATCTGCACTCAGGACCACCTCCCTAGAGACCTCTAACGTCTAACACCAAATTTGGCTCACAACCAGATTTATTCCATCCTTTTGTTCATTCTATGACCCTCTCTCCTGAGACAGGCTCTAAAGCCCCTTGGCCCCTCCCTGTCCCTCAGACTCGCTGGAACTAGGAAGAAGGTGCTGTCCCCTGTGCCCTTGATATGTCCTGCTCATTCCCAGACCACTACCTTGCTCAGGTAATCCATATTTCTTCCTGAGTTCTTTCCAGTAGCTTCTTAACTGCCCTCTCCTTGTAGATTTAGCTACTTCTGCTCCACCCCCACCCTCCAATGCTGCAATGAGATCCTCCCAAAATGCATAAGTGGGTGCATGCCCTCTTTGCTTAGCACTGTCACTAACCCAGATCTCCAAGCCCTTTGCTCCCTCCATTCCTGTTCAGCCCCATCTCCTGACACCTTCTTACAGTCCCAAACAAGTCTCGCCTACACTGCCCTCTCCCTAGGCTGCCCGTGCCCCAGCTTCTTCTTTGCTCAAGGACTACTCGTTCTCCAAAACCCAATCAGATGTCTCCCTCTGTAACGTCTCCCCTGGGCACTTTGTAGCTCTCCTACTTAAGCATCCCCTCCGCTGGCCCTTATTTGTCTAGCCCCTTCTTAGCATACTGTATGTTGGTTTTTTATTTTGTTTTTAGGAATGATGGCATTGTCTTCTCTGCTGAAAATAAGTTTCTGAAGCACAGAGATTGACTTTAGGGACTAGAACATAGCAGCTTTCGAGAATACTTCTTGAATTAAATTATGCTGCGAAGATACGGCATGGTCTTCAAAAAATTTTGCAAAGTAGCTATTTACATCCAAAAAGAAATGCTGAAATATACATATATTACCTAGCCATCAGCTGTGTGCCCTCTTATCTCCCTTTCAAGCCTTGTTTTCCTAAATTGCATACTTCCTTGGAAAACGTATGTTACCCTTCTCTTGGTTGCGTTACTTTCCTCTCTTTTTCATTTGCATATTCTTGCTTCTTCAAGTCAGACTTCAGGCTCACTTTCTCTCCAGAGTCAGCATGGGGGAATCTAGATCATCCGCTGATTTCCTTTTCACATCCCACACCTACAGTTAACCCTCCACTCTGGCTTGCTGTAATTCCCACCACCTCATCTCCCAGGCACAGTCCTCTAGAGCAATTTCAGGATAACCCATGATCTCCCTCACTGACTTTTCATGAGGTGTTAAACCATAGGTGACAACTCTATGTAAAGCTCTAAATTCAATAACCTACTGCTCCAAAGACAGGCACTTCTACCCTCACTAAAGATGGGGCACTTGTAATTATTTTCTGAAGAAAGGAATTCCACAGCACAACATAGGGATCACCACATTCTCTAGACAGTGCGGGCTCACTGACCCTGTGGTAACGACCGGCAGTCACCAACAAGCCTGGCATGTGGACACCATGTTCTCCCCTCGGACCTCCTTACGTCTGAGTTGGGCACTTAATGTGCATTATCTCATTGAATCTTCATAACATCCTAGGAGACAGAGCAATTTTTACTCGGCTCTCCCCTCTACAGGTGAGCCTGTGGGGTTCACATGACTTGCCCGGGGACAGACAGACAGGGGATTCCTGAAGCCCACCCCCGGCATCTTCCTCCTTCTGGCCAGTGTTTCCTACTCTCCAGGAACAGTAAGACTTAATATGCCTTAAGTGATAGCATTAAGAATACTGGAGACTTCAAACCCAAAGTAGCCGGCACAACACTGACTCACACTCAGCAGTCTTTGGAACTGGGCCCTCCCTGCCCCTGTGCAAAGCACTTCGGTAAGGCTCCCTCCCCCTTTCACAGAGGAGACTCCTGGCATTGCCATTCTGTGAACTAAGAAAGGGTTTGGCAGATGCCTCAGGGAATAAAACTGTCAGTTCTGAGATCTCCAAACAAAGACATCCCTGTACTAGGGAACTGTCTCCTCCACTCCTGGACCCGTGCCCAACAAAACCTCCAAAGACGCCACTCCCTGCAGCCTGGCCCAACCAAGGGGGAGGGGAGAAGAAATGCAATAAACCAGAGGGGATAAAGTTGGAAGGAGAGAACTCAGTTGTGAGGAGACACGAAGACTGGGTTTCCCATCAGCAGGAAAAGCCTGTGCCCCCAGATGGGAATAGTCCTGCAGGCTATTTTCTGCCCTTTTGCAGAATCAAAGACAAGATACACACAGTATAGCTCCAGGGCATACGTGACCAGGAGCAATAACCTGAAGTTAGGAAATAAAGAAACTTTGACAAAATCCCTGAAAAGTCCATCAATAAAAGCCCATGGAACAAAACAGTTTCTTAAATCCACACCAAAAACTGGCAGAAAAAATACAGCAGGTATCTACCTGCAGCAAGAGAGATTTGCAAAAATAATTCTGTACTCAGGAGCAGAGGGGAGAATGGAGCAGTAGATTGTTGAAATAATGAACTGCATTCTATCTATATCCCTTTGCAACTGAACTCTCTACTCCCATTGAGAAGTAGTATCTCCACTAACTGGAGTCTGGGCTGACCATGTGGGTTGGCTGGACCAATAGAACGCAGCAGAAATGATGTCATGTGAGTTCTAGAACCTGGGTCTTAGAGGCTAGTAGCTTCCCAGTGTGCCGTCTAGTAGCTCAGAGTCCTTATACAGTGAAAAGGCTGGTTGATCTACTGGGGGAGGAAAGGCCCGCAGGAAAGAGAACCACACAGCACCAATCTGCCAGATATGTGACTGGCCATCTTGGACTCCCTGGGCCAACCAAGCTGTCACATAACTCTTGCTGTTTAACCCCAGGCAAGAGCAGAGAAGAATGAGCCAGACTAACTCAGATATCAGAAAAAAAAAATAAGTTGCTGTTTTAGGGCACTAAGTTTAGCATCAAATAATTCTACAGCAATCGGTAAGTTAATGGTAGCAGGAAGAGAAGTTTGCCTTTAGGGGAGCTGCAGTGCTCCTGGGTGCCCTTCACACACAGGTGCTGCCCCTTCATTAATCTCCCTCCTAGGGAGTTCTAGATGCTTTGCATGAGGAGCGATTATTTCATGGGTTTGGCCCATGGATCTCCATTGCTGTGCGGGTGAAATGGTTCACACAATAGCCTTAGTAAGGGTTATCTCCTGAGGGGCAAAAAGGATGGCATCGTAAGCTAGGGAGCACAGCAAAAAGAGATTTAATTAAAGAAAAAAAAAAAAGAACAAGGAAAAAATGCTGATGCCAGAAAAGCCTCTGGCTCCTTGTTTTGGAGCTTTATGCAGTACCTGGCCCAGAGCAGGCCGCAAGAAGGTAGTGCAGTCCTACAGCCCACACACAGGAGGGACTTACGGAGTCTCTGTACTGCAGTGACCACCACGTTTATGAGTATGTGGAAGGAACAGCAATGAGAATAATGGGAATTTCCTCCTTCATCTATTCCCCAGCACTGTAGATGTCCTAGCCTCTATGAACTCAGGCATTAATGTACTCATTTAGCAAATATCTACTGAGTAAGGACCTGCTATATGCCAGGCACCTTACTGGGTCCTAGGGACCAGCAGAGAATGAAGAAGTCTCTGTCCTCAAGGATTTCAGGGATAAGGGAATGCGACAGATAACTATTAACAGATTAAAATAATAATTACAAATAAATTATAAAGCAACATGAAGAGTTACGGCAGCTACAGAAACAAGATCCAAGGTACAAGCTTCTCAGCTGGGCCAACCTGACAAAATTAATACCTGTACTTTGTCTCTGTGTAACAGCTTGCAACCCCTGGATAATGGCAACACTTCATTATTTCCTGCACAATTTCCCAAACTGCTGAGTCAATTCAACCCCAATACCTAACACCTCTGCCATCTGTGGCATGGGCGTCATCCTGCCTGCCCCAAAGGCTCCCCGAAATTCCCCACACACAGCCCCAGATTTGCTCCTGGAAGAGGAAGCTTCGCCAGCTTCAGGTATCCTCTAGCAGTGAGTAAGACCCTCGCTGTCAACCTCTCACCCATCTATTTCAGGTTCAGACACTGCAGCCTGAAGGTAGAGCTGGAAGGGGGTCTGAGAACACCCAGTCCAGCCCTCTCAGGAGGAGACTGAGGCCTGTAGGGCGAGGAGTCCTCCAGTCACACGACTGCCCCTCAGTACAGTCTACATCTCCCTCCACGGCCAGGCTAACAGGAAGACTAGGGCTGGAACTCCCCTTCCTGCTCAGTGGTCTCTTCCCACACCATGGCACCCCTGTATGTTTAGAGAAAAGCTAGAAGAAAAGTGGCTCAGCCCATGTGACTTCAAAGTGCTGCCTCAGATGCCCACTTGGGTGATCTCTCCCACTGGCACTTTGGGGACTCCTGCCCGGATGCAGGAGAAAGGTCATGACCATCCAGCTGTGTAGCTAGAGACCCTGAGATGCTGCTATGTATCAATCCTGTGACCTCATCAACTGGTGCCTCTAGCAGCCTTATCCAAGCCCCAAAGAGCGCATGGTGACTAGTTTCCTTCCAGTCCCAGAATGAGGTCTCCCGAGCCAATGGCTGATTCTTGTTATCTTCATGCACACAGAGACTCAACCTGTGCCACTCTCTGCCTGCCATAACAGCGAGCATGCACACGGTAGGACTTGCTGACACCCTCAACAAAGCGTGCATGTCCTTACAGTCTGCATTCTGATCATTAAGTTTATTCCAGGCTTCAGTGTAGTTTTCTGTCCTTACTTCCCTCTCATCTCTCCCAGATTTCTCACCTATTTTGCCCAACTTTTGCACCTATTATTTTTTCTTGTTGTTCTGAGTATGTATTGGAAGTCATCTCAAATCTTTTTTGGGGAAGGATTAAACAAACAGCTGGTTTGAAGAGGAAACTGAAAAGAAAGTCCCAAGTGAGCAAATATTTGTACTGCGTGTCTCATTTAACTCCATGGTGGGGAAGCCCTACAAAAAGAAGACTAATAGGAATAAACTTCTACACATAAAAACTTAATAATGCGTTAGAGGCTGGGGCAATATTGAGATTTCTTAACCTCCTCACAGCTCATCAGAACGGACTCTGCCTGTGCCAGCCATAAATAACAGCATGTCCAACCCCACCCGGCAGTAGCGTCCACCATCAGCCATAACCTGCAGGCAAGGAGGCTGGAGCTCTGTCCTCATTCTGACCCCAGCTATCTGTGCACCCTTGGGCCACTGGAGCCTTGTTTTCTTTACTCTAAAGTGAATCTTAGCCAGGCGTGGCGGCACACGCCTGTAATTCCAGCGCTCGGGAGGTTGAGGCAGGAGGATCACTGCAAGTTTGAGGCTAATATGGGCTGCAAAGTGAGTCCAAGTCCAGCGTGAACTGTATAGTGAAATCCTGTCTCAAAAAATAATAATAATAAGATAAAATAAAAAATAAATAAAGTGAATCTATGACTTATAGTTCTCCCAGTTCTGCCACAGCCTAATTTCCAATAAGCCAAATCTCTTCTAGAACTGGTGAGCACTATCATGCTTATAAAAGCACATGCTTTAAAGACTCCCTCATCTATGAGAAATTTTACACAGAGCTGCTAAATTATTAGCTCCACCAGCCCCTCAATAATTTTTCTTTTCCACTTGCTGCTTGGGACATTACGGCATGATGGAATGCCAGCTTCTCAATGGGATTCAAACTTATTAGCGGAAATTTGATTAGATTACATTTCACTGCAGCCCAGAGGCCACTATATTTCAAGGACAGACAGGCCAGCCATACTAGCAGCACGCAGAGACCTGCTCACTCTTCACAGACCACAGGAATCTGACCCAAACCTGCAGCAGGCACAGACACAAACGGCACAAGCAAGGGTTCCAACCTGGAGAAGGTGTTCCGGGCGTAGTGCATGATGCTGTCGAAGTCATATGTCTCTCCCAGAGAGCTCACTTCCCCAGCTTCCATTTTTAAGAAATTATACTCCTGACCTGTGACACAACACTGTGTTAAGGCTTTTGAAAACCAAGGCAGCACCTGAAAGGAGGCAGAGGAGGAGAAGTCCCCATAGAGACTTCCTGCAACTCTCTTACTTTGTCAGTGGATAACAAGAGTTTTGAGGGGCCTTCTGGCAGTGTTTAATAGGTGAGAAATCTGCAATTTAGAACAAACCCTATCTCCTACCAGGCCCACCACGCCACACCCTTCCCAAGTGCCATTTGAAACTCTTCACTTATGTTTGCAGACAGATGAGTGGTCAAACAAGTATTTTTAAATCCAAAAACAAATATTTCTGCTTTTGTCATTGAAAGAAAAGAAAATGCATCAAAGGGTTCAATTTCAAATATCTCACAATTCAGAATCTCTAAAGCAGCTTTAAGGCAACCATAACAAGCTATTTTCATTTTCAATATCAACTTTTATATCAAATTATCTAGCATGAAAATACTTTCTTTTTTTTTTTTTTTTTTTTGTCTTTTTGAGACAGGGTCTCACTACGCAGTTCAGGCCAGCCTTGAGCTCACTTTGTAGCCCAGGCTGGTCTCGAACTTGCAATGATCCTCCTGCCTCAGCCTCCCGAGTGCTAGGATTATAGGCGTGCACCACCATGCCCAGCCAAAAATACATTTTTTAAATCTAGACATTTTACCTGCCTTGGGGTGGAACGCTTCAAGGCAGAAACACTGCTTATACATTTATCTTAACTGTAATGCAGTTTCAAGATGTCTTGCCTGAGTCAACAAGATGATGCCTGACTGGAGCCAGAACTTTCCTCTGACTGACCAGCCTTAAGGCTGAACCATGTTCTGGTCAATTTTGTTCCACTTAGGAAATGTGACTGTGTTTCACTGTCCTTTATAACATGGAAAGTTATTATTTCACTTTTATCCAACCTATGATCTTCAGCAAATGACTTCTCAGGAAGGACACAGGTGGACAAAGGCAGTGCTGGTGACACGTCCCCGTACAGTCAGAGAGCTGCCTCCTAGTTAGCTATTGGCACTGGACAGCTTCCTGCTGGCCCTTTCCTCCACTCCCTCCTTGACCGCGCAGATGCCACCTTCCTAGCCGGTGGCTTCCAGACTCCACGCAGGCCTCCTTACCTGGCTGGATGTTTTCTCGGATGATGGTAACATGTTGGTCTCTATCTGGCCGTGTGTGTTCATGCCAGAACCCAACCACATGGCCCAGCTCGTGAGCCACAATGCCAAACTTGTCACAGTTTTTCCCAATGGATATGGCCTGTGGACCCCCTCCTCGGCGTCCAACGTAAGAGCAACAGCTGGACAATGGTAGAAATACTCAGGTCAGCAGGAAGGGGAACATCCACAGCAGGATGCAAGCACTGCTCCACCCTTCCCGCTGTGTACAAGTGCACAAAAGAGGTGAAAAAGCTCTCATCATCTACCTTCCCACCCAGTGCAGAAAATCCTCCCCAAAAATGCTTCTCCACCTCTGAGATCATGGATCCTCTTGAGAATCTGAAGGAAAAAATGGTCTCCCTTCCTGGGATAAAGCACATATCACACCCTCCCCCCAACCCTGAAGCTGCACCTGGGTCTGCTGCACCTTTGCTGAGGACAAGGAAGAGACAGTGGAAAGAGGCAGCTGAGCTTCTGGAAAGCAGACCTCTTGCTACCATTGTCAGAGGAGCCTTAGAAATGACTCTCTTCTGGGCATCATTATTCTTTTGAGTAATATTTATTCCTTGTATTGTTCTTACTACACTGGCCAACACTTTATCAAACTATTTTGATAAAAGAATTTTAAAAATTGAAGTGGTCCATAATCTCACCCTAATGTCTACTGAGCACGAAAAAGAACATGACCATATTCTAAAAGATTTTAGTCCTTTGCTCCGATATCTAATTTGTTTATCCAAAGATACCCATGATTAACGATTCCTTGGATGTCCTCCCCCTTCCAAATTTTAGACAGATAAAGACATAACTATAAAGACAGACACACAGATATATCTAATACTTTGTATTTTTTAATTTTTTAAAATATTTTTTAATTGCACAATACACCACATACATTATTCTTCATTCTGTCTCTTTCCCTCAATTTAGAGATTTGTTTAAATAGCACATATCCTTTTTTTTCTCGAGGCAACATAGTACTAATTTTGTCATGGCACTAATTTTTGATAGTACTGATAGATATTTTTTCAGTCTCCTACTTATGAACACTGAGTTTTTGCACTTTAAATAAAGCTGCAGAGTAAAAACATAAAACAACAAGAAAAACAAAACAAGGAAATGATTGGACTTTTGTTTGTTCATGGTAGTGTAAATTCCTAGCAATGAGATTAGGGGATAAAGGATATACGTATTTGAAATTTTGATTATGAGACAAAGGTGTATTTTCTTACTATAAAAATGTATAAAACTATGTATAAAAACAATTTTTTATTAATTTTGTGATCAGTCACCTTAGAGTCTTTTCAGGTTTCTAACAGTTTTCAATTGGTTTTCTGGGTATACAATCACATGAACTTTCAATAATGTAACCTTTGCCTTGTTCTTGCCAAAATTCATAGTGTTTATTCATTCTTCTGTCCAGCTCTATTAGTATTTTCAAAACAGTGTTAAATAATAGTGGTGACCATAAACATATTTGACTTGTGCCTGATTCTAACAGAAATGCTGCAAAGAATACCATCAGTAAACATCATTTTGGCTTTTGGTTTGAAATTATGTACATATATATGTGCTATATGTACATGTGAAAACATATGTGATATTAATTATTGTTCTATTTTTGTAACTGGCCTCTATTCATGTGCTTCCTTGTCTATATTTTTAAACAACATATACTGAATCTTGGAAACACCTTTCAGCACTAGCTGAGATAACACATACAGCTTCTCTCCTTTGTTCAATTGATCCATTAATCATATGAGTAGAGTTCCTAATATTGAACTAACCCTGTATTCTTTAGATAAACCTCTGTGGCAGACTACTCTTCTTTCTTCCACTGTAGAATTCTAATGTTTTATTTGGGATTTTTTTCTTTTCTTTTTTTTTTTTGAAACAGGGTCTCTCTATGTAGTGCCTGGCCTTGAACTCACTATGTAGCCCAGGTTGGCCTCAAACTCATGGCAGTCCTTGCCTCATCCTCCCAAGCGATGGGATTACAAGAGTGCACCATCATGCCCGGCTATTTGGGATTTTGCATGTTTATTCATGCGTTAGATAAGTTTATAATTTATTCACTTCCTTATTTATTGTTGGCACACTTTCCCACATTTCAAAGTAGCAAATCTTTGGTACTTTCTTAAAAAATTTGGAAATGTTCTTTTTCTGTGCTCTGAAAAGTCTAAATAGTATTAGAATATGTTTCTTGAAAGTCTAAAAGAATTCTCCTGGGGAAATTTGTATTTGGCTCTTTGGAAAGGTAGCTTTTCCCTTATATTTTTCCATTCCTTCCCATTACTGGTCTGTGCCAGTATTTTATATTTACCTTGAAGTCATTCACATTATCCAGATCTTTGCATCTCGCCTTGATTGTGCTACAAACTATGCTTTTATGATTCCACTGTGTCTGTGGCTTTTACCCATTTTTTGATTTCTAATCTTGTGTATTTCTGCCCTGCCATTTTTTTGTCTTAAACTACTAGATGGTATATCTATTATCTTCTGTTTATGCAAAGAAGTCATTCTTGAATTTATTAAGCCTATAATGTTTTAACTTGTCCATTTCCTTTTGTTCTTATTAGTTTTATTTTGTTGTTGTGCTTGTGGTGGTTTATATTTATTATTTGTTTTGGATAACTTCTTTGAACTGATATTTCACTGTCATTCTTAATTAGTGTGTGGACAGAGCTGTAGGCTTATCCTTTTCATCTGAAATTGTATGGCTTTTACCATCTAGACATCCTGCACTTTTAATATTAACTTCTTTATAATTTAAGAGCCATTTTTTAAGATGCAAAAGAGCTTTTAATTTACCAGATAATGTTTATTGTATTTTTGTTACCATGTCTACTTACACTGCTTTACAAACTGAGAATATTTTAACACTATTTCCGCCTTTTAGGACTCATTGAGATGTTCTTAATGTTTGATAGATGGACAAGGTCTATAAGCCTGCAGTATGCACTAAAAAATGTGTTACAGATTACAGAATCAACTCTATTAATTATACTTTTTAAATTCTCCATGAATTTCTACTTATCTTCTCGTCAATTTGATGATGACCTACTTGGGCTGATGGAAACAAAATAAATCTCCTGCTGTTGGAGTTTTCTGTTGATTTCTCCCTTGACTTCACCAGGCTTGTTTTATGACTCCTAATGCTATGCTATTTGGTGCATAAATATTTATGACAGTTATATTCTTACCACAGCTTGTACCCTTTCTCATTATAGTCTCCCACCTTTTTAAAAAAATAATTTCTGACTTTAAAAACAAAAAACAAGGTCTAGGGGTGTAGCTCAATGCTAGGACAATTCCTAGCATGCATAAGGTCCTAAGTTCAATACCCACCACCACAAACAAATAAATTTTAAAAAACAACAAAAGCCTCTTCTATAACTAAAATTGTAATCCCAGTTGCCTTTTGCTAGCATTCATTTGTATACTTTGTTTCTGTTACTTTTAAATCTCTCTGGATCATTTGTACCTTATGTATAGAACACACAGCTGAGTTTTGGTTTTGACCTAATATAGGAACTTTTTTCTTTGAGTAGGAGAGCATAATATACTTGTATCTTTTGGAATAACAGATATCTTTCATCTTAATCCAGTCATTTTATTGTTATAATTTCTGTAGGAAGCCTATCATCCCACTGGACCCCTAAAATTACTTGCCAAATTTTGTGTCTATAAGGCCAGGCATGGTAGCATATGCCTGTAGTCCCAGCACTCAGAAGGGTCAGGCAGGAAAATGGCTGTGAGTTTAAGGTCTGAACTCCATAGCTCAGACCTCCATAGCTCATAAGGTCTGATTCAAGACCAGCCTACATAGTGAGATCCTGTCTCAATAAGACAAAAAACAACAAAGAATTTTACATCTATATAACCATTCTTTGTTTATTTTGATGGTACTGAAGATTGAATCCAGGGCCTTCTCATTGAGCTATATCCCCAACCCTGTTTGTATGTTTTTTGGGTTTTTTTGTTTACTGGTTTATTTTTTGGTACCAGGAATCAAACTCACAACCTTGAGCTTGCCAGGCATCCAGCCCTGTTTTTTGTTTGTTTGTTCATCTTTAATTTGAGACAAGGTCTCACTAAGTTACTAAGTTGACCAGTTGCCCAGGTCAGCTTGAACTTGCAGTTCTCCTACCTTAGCTTTCCAGAGTACTAGAATTACAGGTTTATACCATTGCACCTGGCCTGTGCATCCACTCTGGAGGGAGGAAGCCTAGTACTTTACCAGCTATCAGATTCTCAGTGGAATCACTAACCCCAAGAGATTGAGAACCATTTCCCTAAAGCTTTCTCCATATGAAACACTACCAACCACTCTCCTGGTGACAGAATCCACCAAGAGTGAGTCTTCTGGAGTCATCCCCGGGACCCACCTGCTTTGCCAATGGATGGTGCTGTCACTGAGGGCAATGAGAATGTCTGGCAAACTCTGAACTCTTATAAATCACAGCTCATTGGAAACACTAAGTGTTAAAGAAAACATTTAAGACTAATGCACCCTCCACTCTGTTGACTCTGATTCTGCTGAGGTGGATTTGCTGAGGTGGATTTGCTTTTGTGTACTTACCCACAGGTTCTATAACTGAACACAATAAAGCTCTCCTCGTCGGTCCTCTCTATGAAGGTCACACAGGTATGCTTCTCCCAGTGTCTCATGGCCTGCTTAAAAATGGCTCTCTGGTTGCCTGAAATGACAGGGCAAGCGCTGATCATTTCATTCCTGATCATAGCTTCTTTAAATGCCTAAGGCATGCTGGCTTAAGACAAAACTTATTTTTGATGATTAAAACAACCTCTTGTTAATAATACCTGTATTAAAACCAAGAAAAAAAAGGGGGTGGCTGGGGATTTAGCTCAGCGGCACAGCGCCTGCCCGGCATGCACAACGTTGTGTGTTCGATTCCCGGTACCGGAAAAAAAATCATATTAAAAAAAAAAAAAAAAACCTGCATTGGTTACTTGAAATTTAATGAGATTTTTTAAGTATCCTCCCCCATCCTCACACATACACCCAAAGCTGGAATGATGGAGAGGGATAGATGTGTTAATTTGTTTGCGGTGATCACTATATACCTATATCAAATCGTCACTTTATATTCCTTGAATATATAAAATTTTGTCGATTAAATATTTTAAAAACCATTTTGAAAGCTTGTTCTGGTGACTCAGAAGAAAAGTACACCAGGAATAAGGATTTTCCTTGCTAAAAATAAAACATACTTTTCCTGAGCAGCCAAAAGCTGCTAGAGAGCTAAGTTATTCTTAGAGGGTAAGAGTTTGTGAATTGGAAGAAAGAGTAAAAACAGATGTTCAGAATATCCCAGGCTTCCCAACTTCTTCTTCGTATTGAAAGTATTTTTCTAAACATTTGTAAAACTATACCCAGCATATTCATTTGGGGAATGCAGGCTTCTGAAGTGGGGGAGTCTGTGCCCCCACACCGCATCCTGCCTTCATTTCTGCCTTTCCAGCCAGGGGGTGCTCTCAGGCACTTTACAGTTTTGCTTGCGTGCATATCCATGTGCTTTGTGTGGGGTCTCAGTGCCTTCTGTGGGGTCCTTGGGCCTGATTTTCTCTAAGGCCTTGAAAAACAAGAGAGTTTCATACTTCCTCTGAACCTATCTTCATAGTTCCTTGATTAGAAATTTGATGAATAATGAAACTCCACGCTGACAGTGTGTTTTTTGTTGTTGTTGGTTTTGTTTTGTTTTTGTTTTTCTTCTGGTACAACGCTGACAGTTTTGTACAGTTGGTAAGAATTTTTTTCAAAATCTATGACTTTGACTAAAAGAAAGCTATTTGAATTTTGTTAGACGCAATGGCGAAGTTCTAGAAAAAATAATTGTTTGGGTAGCACAAAAGGGACTGGGAGTAGAGACGTGAGTTCCAGAGTGGTGTACATAAAAAATAAACAAAGAAAAACAAGCAAAGAAAAATACCCCTGCGGTGCACTCCCATCATATTCTAGAAGATGTGGTTGTGGTCTCCTGGTCTCATACTGCCCCCGAAAACAAACACATAGACTGAAGAATAACTTAGCTCTCTTTTTTTTTTGACAACTGGATGCTTCTGGTTCAAATTGGTATCACACAATCAGAAACATCAATCCTACTACTTACAGAATAACACAGTTCCATATATAAACAAAATTCTATCATACACAGCTAGCTCATTTTGATGTAGGTCATACAAATCTTTGGTCAAAAGAGCACATCACACCTGAAAGAACAGTGTCAAGACACCAAAGAGCAGTGGTAGCTGCTCTTAACCTGACATTTCAATGCTCTGGAAGCTCCACTTTTATGTTAGAGCTGGGGGCTCTTGGAGGGCAGGGTGAAGCCTTAGTCATCTTTTTATCACAGCACATAATCAAGCATCTGGCACAAGGGAGCTGTGTGTGACTCCTGGGAGCTCCCCGTCCTCCCAGGCACCTGCCCACTCTCGGGTCTGCAACACTTCAGTCACTATCTGGCTCCTCTTGCTTCTCAGGGGCGCTGGCAAGTTTTCAGGACACCTGTCTTCACCAGCCACTTCCTGGGGTAGGGGTCACAGAGCTATGGGAGGAAGGATGCAGAAAGGTCAGGGGAGAGGCTGGGCAGAGGCCGGGGAGCTTGCTTGGTGTGGCCAGAGTCAGGAACTGAACGGGCGCTGTGCGGGCTGCAGGCTGATGTGGACAGGCTGTTGGAGTGAGCCTCTGAGCCAGGGCTTAGGCATAAGAACAGCCAGGAAAAATACTTTCTGCTCCCACAGAGCTTGAGCGAAGATAAAAAGTAAACTGAAACAGAAGTGAAGCCATGTCAGAAAATGGTGACTACTGCAAAGATACAAATAGGACGCTGGAACACCGAGTGGGGTAGTGGGGAGTCAGAGGGACTTTCTGTGGATATGTCACTTAGTCTGAGACTCGAATGATAAGAAGACACCAGACACACAAAGTTTGGGGAGAGGGGGGCACCTTCCAGGCAAAAGGTAGAGCAAGTTCAAGTCTAAGCACGAAGGGGCTGGAGGCGGGCACGTTCAGGAACAGGAAGGTGGCTGCTGAGGCTGGGGAACAGGAGCTGAGGAAGGGGAGGAGAAGAGACAAGCAGAAGGGTAAAAAAAACCAGGAAGGGGGACTTGGGGAGAGCCTAATAGGCATGGTCAGCAGTTCCAGCTTCATTCTATAGGCAATGGGAAGCCATGGGATGATTTACATATTTTAAAGGTAATTGTACTAATAGCAAGTGCCGGGCATAATTACTATGTGCCAGCCATAAATTCTAAGTGTTTCATTCCTATTGATTCATTTAACTCTCTCAAAACAACATGTAGGAGAGACAATATCATCATCCCCATTTAAAAAATAGGAAACTTCAACAAAAAGTTAAGAAATTTGCCAAGAAGGAAGCCAGGATTTGAACCCAGGGAGTCATGTTCCACCACACCCCATCTATTGGCACCCTCTGGCTACCATGTGGAACATTGCTTGGATGGACAGTGGCAAGGGATTACTGTCTCCAGGGTGCTTGTCCAGGCCGAATATGGCAGGCCACCATGATGTGCAGCTGCTCATACCCCTCCTTGTGCCTGGAGGGTTTGGCTCACACACTCACTATGCAAACACCACTGTCCTTCAAATCCACGAGAATGCATCCCTTCCTATGTGAACTCCTGGAAACAAGGTGATGTGTTTGAAGATGCAGCCCCAGCAGAGACTGTGGCTTCCTTGGGACTAGTGGGCCAGGTCACACAGCATAAGGGAACCTTTAGCAGGTGGAACTGCCATAGCTCTGACATCCAGCACCCCGCTCCAAAGCAGTCATCTGGGGTACTGACCAGTAAAGTTTCCTCCAATGACGTAAGGGATGACCCCTCCAGGCCATATCCTCTCTGTCCTTGAAGTCGTGGCTCTTCGGACCCGGGAAGAAAAGGTCTTGGCTGTAGCATTCAAGGTCTCAGGGCTGGGAGGAAGTGTGGCATCCTCCTTACCATCTGCAAGACAGTCAGGACACCATATACTTTGTCCTCTGACTCCTGTAAATTATGCTTAAGATTGTATAAAGCACAAGTCCAAAAGGGGGACATTTCAACCTGCAATCTGAAGGGGCATTTCACCTGTGCAGGACTTTGAATCCCTGGCTGGTCTTATTCCAGATGGGAAAAGGGTAAGCATAACAAGAAAGCCCCACAGAGATACAGAATCAAGTAGGCCAAGATAATTTTCAGTCTTCTGGTGGGACCAAAATTGGGATGGGCTTTCTTCTTAAAATCATGAGCATTTGGGGGAGAAAGCTAAGCCGGTCCCTTGCCTTGACCTAAGAGTGTCAATGCTTCAAACTGAAATATTTCCTCTAGGACAGCAACAAAAGTGGGCCAGTCTGTGACCCTGGGAAAAAAAGAACTCTGTTAAAACCCAGAAAAAAGCAGAGCCTCATAACATCTTCCAGCTCTTCCCAGTCTCTTGGCACATCTAAACCCTTAAGAGAAGCATGTAGGAAACAGAGGTTTAGGGTTCTGGAAATAGCAGAGGTAGAGAGGTGCAAGGCCCATCCCACAGCGTAGCTGAACCCACACTCAGGCTATTCTTTTGCGGAAGCTATAGATTCATTTCAATACACTTGTTTAAAATTCCTCACTGTTATCACGGGGAGTATTTTCTCTTTTGTCTAACATTTTCCCTCTAAGTATCAGTTTTGGGTTTGTTTTGTTTCTTTTTAAAATTATTTTCATTTTTCTTTACTTCATTAATTTATTAATTTCTTTTCATTTATTTCATTCTGTGACACTTCCTTAATTGCTTTTTTGCCTTTAGAAAATTAAGATATAATTCACAATCATTATATTCACCTTTTTATAGTGTATAATTCAGTGGTTCTTTTGTTGTTGTTTTTTTTTTTTACTTTGGTCTTTTTGAGACAAGGTTTTGCTACGAAGTTCAGGCTGGCCTTGAGCTCACTTTGTAGCCCAGGCTGGTCTTGAACTTCCAATGATCCTCCTGCCCTAGCCTCCCGAGTACTGAGATTACAGGCATGCACTACTACACCTGGTTTAATTCAGTACTTCTTAGTATATTCACAAAGCTGTACTGTTAGGGTACCCTTATAGAATAGCAGACTTGTAGGCATATTATAACAAAAGTTAGAAATCAGTTCATAGCCTGTGACTATGCTCATGCTGCCTGTCATGGAGCTATCCTTGACCATCTAGGCCCAAATGTTCCTCCTTAACAATGTGTGGACTCTGACTATGTCTGGCTTCTGTTTTAAAAATATGCAGTGATTCCAACTTGCCTCAAGGGCTGCAAGACCATCATGTTTGGGGGAAGACTGGCCCAGTCAAGGACACTTTCAACTATGGATCCTATGGGTCCCAGAGCAACTTTTAGTTACTATCTCAATTTTGCATCTCCAAAATTGCCTGCACATGGAACAGGCTTTTGCACTGAAGGTATTTTTGCCCCCTGTTACAGCCTGGGAAAGAGCAAAATTTCTTGTACTCCTCAAGCCCTTTGAGGACACTTATCTTATGCAGGGTCTCAGACTCTACTTCCAGCCTCAGCTCTGATCTAGGTCACATGTCCTACACCTATGCAGAGATTATATTGGGAAGTTAAAAAACAGCTCCCAGCCCTCAAGTACCAGTTCAGTGTCAATGCCTTCTGCATGTTCTCGCCACCATCTGCAGCTCAGTTCTGAGTTTAAGCTCCTGCTCTCCTGTCATTATGGTCCTTTACCTTTCATGCTTTTAAACTCACTATGAATTTTTAATTTGGGGTGAAAGCAAGATTTGTTTGTCTTCCCAAACATTTCTATACTGTTCTGGGGTAATGGATCCTTTACTAATGCAGTTGGTCATACTGTCCGCAAAGAAAGTTGATACGAAATACATTTTTAAACCAGAAATTAATCATTCTACTGCTAGCATTTCTAGAACAGAAGTCATACACTTGCAGTCTTGGGCTAAGCCCAACCCACAGATGTGTTTTGTTTGGCCTAGACACTTTTGGCCCATACTATGTTTTTTTAAAAAATCTCATTTTGCAAGCCAACTTTTAAAAATCAAGGGATTTCACATAACAGTCCAGATTTTCTAGTTTTTCTTTTTAAAAATGGAAAGATCTGGCAATAGGGGGCCCATCTTCCATCATGGTAAAACCCACAGGAGTGAAGGAGCACCTGCTCCCAATAGTCACACCATGTGTTCTCCCATTTGTCAGATACCTCTCCCGCTTCACATCATCCCACCCAGCCCCCTTCACCCAGTCACGCGACCTCCTGGCCCCCAGAACATGCTCATCTCCTGCCCCAGCCCTAGAATCAATTGTATCGGGACTGCAAATGTGACCTGCGCAGCACACTGGAAGCTCTATGGGAACAGGAACTATGGCTGGCCTGTTCACCACCCTGTCCTCCATATCCCACGTAGGGCCTGGCTGGTGGTAAGCTTTCAATATTTTTGTATTTTGAATGAATGAATGAGAGAATGGACAAGCTCTTCTAAAAATAAACAACCCAACAGTCCAAACAATTCTGTGGTGGAAACCTCTCCAAAATATTGGCAACACTGAGGCCCTTAATGTTTACATCCTGAGAATCATCATGTCTTAAGTAATCACAGGCAGCGATGTAGCAAGTGGAAGTTTGTTATTCATTTCCCATATGGTTTTCAACAAGTCTCTTAATTTTCCTCTGCTGCCAATTCTCCTTTGGAGAATGGGCAAAAATACTTCTCTATTAGCAGGAATAACACTAAGACATCCCATGGTGCTTAGACAAGCTGTGCTATATATTCATGTGACCCGGTGTTGTTAAGGGCTGGTTTTATGCACCAGAGTGAGCTTGGGAAAATCTTAAGTGCACCTGGAAAGAGGCTGGGGTGTAATTTCCAGAGATGGCTTATTGAATGACAGCTTCCCCTTTGGTCCAGTGAGAAATTTAATTTGCCGAGGACTCAACACAGGAAGCATTTGCCGATTAAAAATATGTCTAAACAGATGTTCTGCTTAGCCTGGAAGAAGGATCTTAATGCAACTGTCATTATTGGATTTTCTTGGATTACTACTATCTGGAATTGGAGTCCAAATAGAAGGATGTAATTATTTATTATGGCCAAGAGTCCTGCATTTGAAGAGGAGCTCAGGGATGTCTGAAAGGATTTAACACGCTGGGGTAGAGTAAGGTGGGGGGATAAAGCCCATTTAAATTCTCTGGATCTGGGAAGGACCCTGCCTCTCCGGAACAGTAAAGCAGTCAATGTATTCAATGTTCCATTTCCAGCTGAAGGTACGGCCATGTCATAGACCAGGCCCTCTCAAGCAAGGAACTGCAATCTTTAGATTAAGTAACTATTTGCTCCTACACTTGAAGTAAACACCCTGACTGTTCAGCCATCTGCAAAATCTTCACCCCATGGGTGATGGGCAAGATCACACCACACCTGACACGATCCTGAAAGACTAAAGGGAAGGCTATTATTCTACACAATGGTTCTCGAACCTGACTGCACATTAGAATCAACTGGGGGAGCTTTTAAATGTACTGAAGCTGGGGCTGGGGATTTAGCTCAGCGACACAGCACCTGCCTGGCAAGCGCAAGGTCATGAGTTCGATTCCTGGTACCAGGGGAAAAAAAAAAAAAAAAAAGAAAAAAAAAAAAGTACTAATGCCTGACTTCCCATAGACTGCAACTAAATTGGCCTAGAATGGAGTCAAGGCATCTGCAGTTTTTAAAGCTCCCCACTAACAACAAAGGGCAATGAGCAGTGCATGGTGGCACACGCCTGTAATCTCGGCACTCGGGAGGCTGAGGCAGGAGGATCACTGCCAGTTCAAGACCAGCCTGGGCTACAAAGTGAGCTCAAGGCCAGCCTGAACTGCATAGTGAGACCCTGTCTCAAAAAGACAAAAAAAAAAAAAAAAAGAAAGAAAGAAAAAAAGAAAAGCCAAAACAAAACAAAGCACAGTGCAACTTGGGAACCACTGACAGATACAGCCAGAAAGTGAAGTTCAAGGGGCTTGGAGGCAGGAGACTCACTCAGGAGAAGTGCTGCTGATTGCTATCTGTGTGGCTTTACACGAACTGCTTCGCTCTCAGCCTGACTTCCAGCTGCATGGGAGTGGTGAGAGCGCAGAACCAGGCAGCATAAGTCAGAAGTCTGCCACGAGGACGGGCACAACGTGAGCTGTCGTAAATAACTGCTGGGAAGGTCTGCATTTGGGACAGTTTAAAATGAGGGCCTGAAGTCAACTGGTTTCCATAGTTACACCCAAATGTACCGACACAAGTGACATTCAGAGATTCCTGCACTGAGTGCTTTGCACCCAAGTTTTGGGGACCCTTTTTCTAGTCAGCCAGATTCCGTCATTCTCCACTTTAGCACTAAGGCTTTGGGGCCTGTTACTGAAAGTGCAAGGTCCGTTCTCTTTTACGAATATGGTTCTGGAAATCTGGCTCTATGGAAACAGTCACAGCTTCATCCACGGAGCAGTTACACACTGCCTTTCATTAATCCCGTTATCAGCCCCCCACAGCATGCTGAGCTGTCCTCTCCAGGGAGGGGTCTCTTCGGACCAAAGGCGGTGGGGGAGGGGTGTTGAGCAGTTCGGCAATTTACTACTCCCAAGGGCTGCAGGCACAAATCCCCACCGTCAGGGCTGAAGGGAGCCACATAATGCCAGGAAATAAACCTGCTGCTGAAACCAGCAGGCCAGGGGCTTTCCTTGGATCCTTTCTCTTGCTTGGGTGGTCTCTTGCTCTGGAGTGACTGAAGACGGGGGTCAAGATGGAGCGAAAGAAGAATCTGAGATTGGCACAACTTATCTTTAATTCAGGCAAAAGCAACACACACACAGGCTGGTGTGCAATAGCATCCTAAAAGGATAGAATAAGAGGGATGAAGGGACAGATTTGAACAGCCTCTCCTTACCTCCTCACCTTTAGGTCTCCTTCCTCCTCTAGATTACCCTGGATGCTTAACAAGCTGCTTATCTGCTGTTGTAATGCAGAACGTAGGGCTTGGCCTAGCCTTAACGTTCACGGTCTTCTTCAAATATGAAACCTGGGTCATCTGAGGCTGCAGACTATGGGTCAAGCCAGCTTCAGAGGTCTGTATATGTGTAAAGAGGAGTATTATTTTCATCCTCCTTAAAAAGTCCAAGGTCCCTTACTGTAGTGCAGGTCCTGCAGACAACTCAACCAGAGGCAGAATTTTAATGGGCTGCTGCAGCCTTATTCCTTCCTGTCCTCTGTAATTGTGTTTCTGTGCAGCTGTTGAACAGCTGTGGGATTCCAGTCCAGAGGTAGATGATGTCCTCTCCATGCTGTGTAATGTAATTCTTGGAGGTGGAGATGGGGAGGAAGGAATGGAAGGACTACATTCTCGGAGAACTTTTTAAATTCTGGACACCTAGCTATGTACTTTATATAAATATTATTTCTAATTCTCTCCAAGCCTCATATAAAAAGTTGGATAACTTATCCAAAGTCATAGCTACTAAATGGCTGAGCCAGGTTTCAAACCCAAGTGTGTCTGACTATTTCAATTTATTTGGTTGGGTCATTTTACACCCCCATAATGGTAAATACCAAAAACTCTGACAATATCCATTGCTGGTGAGCAGATAAGATGCAGTGATAGTTTCCAGATATGGCAACCAACAAGTTCCTTCGTCCCTGGGAGCTCATGCTTATTCTCACATGCAGGTGATTCTCACAGCCAATGTCCTCTACTTGAAGCTGGGATGAGCTTTTCATTTGTTGTGAAGGTGGCAGAAGCAGTATTCTTGGGGTTCTGAGTCCAGGCCTTAAGTGGGTCACCACCTTCTGGTTCCTCCCTCTGGAAAGACACCATGCTGTAGGAAGTCTCAGGCTGGACAAGTGAATAGGGAGAAGGGCCACACGGAGGTGCACTGGGGCACCGGGGGTGACTAAAGCTTTCCTGGGCTTTCCAGCCCAGTCCAGCTGCTAGATGAACGCAATCAAAAGTGAGAGACTCTGAGGAGCTACCCCGCTGAACCCAATCAGCCCAGAGAATCATGAAAGATAACGAGTTACCATTTGACGTCAGTAGGTGTAAGGGTGGTTTTATGGAACAATATATCACTCGAACAGGAAAGAGAAAAAGGGTGTGGTGTCTTGGCAATGTGAGGCAAACCTCTCTAGTTTCCTCCCCACACCCTGGTTCCATTTTTATACTCAGTCTGGTAATTTGTGGCTAAATGAAGTGCCCCTGATTTTTCCCAACATGTGGGGAGATTGAAAATTTGTCAAAATACCCTCAAATAAGCAAAGCAGAGAAATGCAGTATTTAAAGGGGGTACATAGTTCCAGCTAGAAATGTCAGCACAAGTGAAGGTTTTCCAAATGATAGGGGGACAAGCAGGGTGGGAGAGGGGAAGGCCAAGAACCTGTTTCTCTGTAAAAGAAGTCAACTAGATAAGATGTGTGGAGAACTAGCATGTCGATTCTCCCCAAACCCAGCTGTGATTTTGTTTAGCAGTTCAGGCTGTATAGAGGTGATTTCCCTAAATTGGCTTTCAGTTTTCATAAAGGAGTCTGGCTGGAGCTGTGTACGTGCCTCATGACAGCACTTGGACTGCATGTGAGCTAGCATTCCCCGCCTGACCAGTGGCCACAGCTGAGCCCAGAGAAGTGGACCATGAGACTGTGGGGCTGATATGCGATAACATCTCTGCTGAGGCCTGTGTGACTCCACAGAAAATTCCTTACCAAAACTGACTCTAAAACAGTTACTCGTTAATCACAACCTGAATCTGGCTGTTCTGATCCTTTCCCAAGAAAGCTTTGTTCCCTTTTTTACGAGCCTTACCTGCCTAGCCACTCATCTAGCATATCCAGCCATAATGCCCTCACCATTTTCCTAAATGAAAATATGATCAATAAATACCAGGGTTCTGGCTGCCTCATAGCCTTTTGTTCCGCATGAACGTTGGCCATCCCAGATCCCCGGTGCATTGCATTTGTCTCTTATTCTTTCTTTTTGCTGTGTGCTGCAACCCCTTGCAGGAAATTGGGGACTCACTACAGGGGTCCCCAGTAAAGATGGCTATCAGCAACCCTATAAGAAAATGAGCAAAGTCCCAGAGTATACACTCAAACAACTGGCAAACGTAAGAAAAGATGTTCATGACCATCGACAGAATAATACAAATTAAGTAATAAACAGCTATTGTTTACTGATTAAAAACACTGATAATACCTAACATTAGAAGGATCAGGGAAGGGGTGCACTCATAAATTGCCATGAAAACATGGACTGTTACACCTGTAGACCCGCAATCTAGCAACATCTATTAAAAAATGTGCTAAGTGTATAAGGATAAATGCTCAGGAATGTTTATGGCAGGCACTGGTCATGTCAGCAAGAACTGAAAGTGAAGTAAAAGTTAACTGATAAGGAAACTACTGAATAAATTATGGTCCATTCATACCAGGAATTTTTAACAGCTATTCAAAAGAACGAATTTTTATAACATACGGATTTTATATATGGAAGGATTTTCCATGACATATTGATGAAAAAAACATGATACATTTAACAATGTATATCAAATATTGTAGGATCTTATTTTTAAAAACAATGAGAAAGCCTATATCTGTCCGTATGTTTATATATACACATATTTGTGTATCTACATAAGTGCACATGGTAATATAGGTGCATAGAGAAAACTATGGGAAGGTGCGTACAAAGTCATTAGCATACATTACCCAGAAAAGAGGGGGGATTATGTAGAGGAAAAAAGAGGAGGTAGCCAAATAAAAGGGAAAAGGTACCATTAATAAACAATATATAATCATATCATCTCATGTATGCATTTATGTAACTGCGTATAAAATTATATATGTATGTGCAAAAATATTGATGCAGAAAAATAGACTAAAGAAAATAATGATTTCTATTTTATTGCTACAGCGGCATCCCTGAATCAAAGGGCTCCGGCACTTAAAAATTATTCTTGTGCTCTGCAGTTAACCTTATGGAGCAGAAATGCTGCTGCCAGTCTCAGGCTCTATTTCCTGCAGGCTCAGGCCAGACAAAAGTCCTATAGGCTCTTACCCTAGCCCTGCTCTGAATGGGAAGGGCTTCTCCAAAATGAGATGGTTCCAGTGATCCTCAAGCTAGAAGCCCTTAGAACTGGTAGGCCACACTCAGGTCTGCATTTTGCGCAGGCAGGCTGTGGGGGTACTTCCAGGCAGGCTTTGGGCTAACGGGTGGCTCCTCACCTGTCCCTCTCTTGCCAGCCCACAGAGACCTCTCCCAAGCCCCCAGAAACTTCTCTGCCTCCCAGGCCTACTCATTCCCTGTGACCCCCAGTTCACACCTCATCATCTTTCCTCTCAGGCTTCAAGGGTTCAACTCACAAGCCAAAACTGAGAGAGAAGTTGTTGCAAGAAAGTGGAGTCTAACTGAAGGCCATGCAGTCCCCGAGTGACAGATGCTGCCCTTCCATCCCTCTCTCTGGCAGCAGGCTACCCCTTTCCCCTTGAGGGAACACTCCTTCATGCCCAGGCTGCAGGGCTTTGTATTCTTTCAGCTGCTGCCATAGTAAGAGGTTGTGGAAGAGCTGCCCAAAGCCAGAGACTGGGAAAGGGGCAATGGAGAAGCACTGATTAATGTGTCCAGGTCTCCTCTGGGGGCGATGAAAAGTTCTGGACCTAGACACTGGGGATAGTCACGTAGCATTGTGAATGTACTTAATGCCCTTACCTGATACACTTTAAAATAGGAAATCATAGGTTATCTCTATTTTGCCACAATTTAAAACTAAAATAAAAGATACCCAAAGATGCCCCGGTTGGGCCTCACATACATTACCCTTTCTAGCCTGGTGGCTGCTGGTATTCAAGGCAGTCGTGTTTGGCCAGTTCTCAGACGGCTGCTCTCCAACCCCACCTAAACACACAGAGATAAAAGACAGGGAAGGACACATCAGCCTGGTGTGCCCCAGCATCCAGGACGAGGGAGCAAACCTGCTCATCAGTGATGATTTCTTCAACAAAGGTTTGTGTGCTGAGCTCACGCACAGCACCACACATTCCATGCTAGGACAAAAGAGAATTTGCCACATACCTCCTCCACACATTAATTAAGTACTAGTTTTGATCAGCGCAATGGCACTCAGAATTGAGTTTACAAAGTTTACAGGCAAACCCAAAGGCAGTTTCCTCACCTCACCTCCATAAGAAAGGCTCAATATATAGAGGACACTCGAACGCCTGGTGTTCAGGGGTTGGGTAGGAGGCAGTGCTGCTGCTGAATGGGACAGGCGCTGTCTGTGTGCTCCTGTATTCTGGGCATTCTCCTGGCATGCCGGTTTTCCCTCAGGAGACAGTCAACCTTCATAAACTCCTGTGTTTACCTCATATATTTATTTGTCTGTATACCCTGTATACACTAAGGCTCGCATGGTGCAGCTAGTATGTGTTCACTAGTAGCCATCAGCTGTACGCCATGTTCATCATCACCACCAGAAGGATGTCAATCCCCAAGTATTTATTAGTCCTTCTGTCTGCTACCTACAGTTCCAGGTACCTCAAGTCCAGATGCAAACAAGACAGTGAGGCTCTTGTCCTTAAGAAGTGTACATTCCAAATGAGGAGCTGGACAATACAGGGTGAAAATCATGAGTGAGATAATTAAAGGTTCAGAAAATGCTCTGAAGAAGATCAAGTTCAGCGCAAAGTGTGACTGGAAGAGTGGTCCTATGATAGTTGGAGAAGGCGCTCTGGGCTGGCAATGCCGGGGTTGAAATGAGGCAAGCACGGTACACCCACATGAAAATCCGGGCTAAAGCATCCTCAGCAAAGGAAGAAAGGGTAAAGAATGCGGATGTGGAGTGAGCTTGCCGTGGAGGGGAAAGGCCAGAGAAGGAGGCTGGAACCCCAGGCCCTGCCGGTTATGCTACGATCTCTCTGACTTTTATTCTCCTGGTCACAGAGACTCGCTGAGATTTTAAAACATCTCCCGTGGTGTCCAGGACCCCAGGAGAGTTTCTTTGATTTCTTTGATTTAAGAGAGATGGGTGTTTGTGTTTTACCAAGATTGTTCTGGGGTACAGGAGGCAAGGCGGAAGCAAGGCGGAAGGCAGGTGTTCAGCTAGGATCCTGGCCCTGGTCTGGTGAGAGACAATGGTGGTGTGGACCAGACGCTACAGGAGAGATGCTGGCACCTGTCATATCAGGGATATAGCCGGAGGCAGAGCTAACAGGAAGGGCTGGTAGATTTGATGTTTGGGGTGAGAAGGCTACCAATGACTGGTACGTAGGGACACTGCAGATTTGTTCCAAGAGAGACAATTGTGTACATGAAACTACATTAAAGTCCCCAAAGGATAACTGATTTACAAACAAAAAATAATTTCTTGCATTTGTTTAGAAGCTTGCAGCTTACAGTGCAGTTTCCCATATCCTCTTTCATCATGAATTGGAACACGGCAGTAGATGGAGTGTAGCCCCATTTCAGAGACTCAAGATGCAAGACTCCGATGCAAGATAGTTAGCCTGGCGTTGCTCGGCCCCTGAAGGGAGCTCAGGGCTCAGGACACAGATTCCTGGTCAGAAACCTCATGATCTTTCCTGTGCCACAGCTACTGGGCTTTCAGTGCTGCCCGATGAAGGCTCACACGCAGCGCCACACACCCATCAAAGAAACTCTCCTGAGGTCCTGGACACCACAGGAGGCAGCCATGTGGTAACCCCCACAGCAACGCCTGACAGCAGGCTACCTCTTTCCCTCCCATAACTTTGGCTTCAGAAGAAGCTGCAGCTGCTGGGCCTCCTGGAGGAAAAGGACCCCCTAATGGCAGGCGGGGCCAGGAGGCTCTGCACTGCATCCTGCTCATTCTATTGCCTCTCTGGCCAACTCGGAATCCACTCACACACTCCCTGCAGCTGCCGGAGCCTCGGCTGCCAGCTCCTGGCCCTGGGGTATTCTTCCAGTTGCCATATCATTTCCTCTTGGGCTAAAGGTCAGGGGAAATCCTGATGGTATGAAGTCGTTCTCTAGCAGAGGAATGTGCCATCTGCAGAGGGAAGCAAGCCGCAGAGAGGCTTTGGGCCCGGCTTGGCCTATGGCTGGCCACGTAACTGTAGCTGAGAACTTGGGCATTAACATCTTTCATCTGTCAAATGGGCTGTCGCAAGGACCAAATGAGGTAATGGGTTTATTTAAGCATTTGTTCATTCAACAAATATTTATCTAACACCTGCTACATGCCAGACGTTGTTTCTGCTGCTCAGGATACAACACTGAAGAAACTCTATCCTGACCTCATGGAAATTACATTCTGATGGAGGGGAGGGGAGAATATGGTTAAAAAATAGGCAACTAAATATTTGGCTTTTGGGTTTTTTTGGTACCAGAAATAGAACTCATGACCTCAGGCTTGCCAGGCAAGCACTTATGCTGGTGAGCTACAACCCTGGCCCTTAAGTTAATTGTTGATATGAAGAAAATATATGAAGACCACTACCCATAAGTCATTGGTGGCCTTCTAACCCCATAGAGCTAGTCCACCAGTCCTTCCTGTTCGATTTCACATAAGGTAGAAAAGCAGAGGTCTGGAGAAAACGAGGGAGAAAGTCTGCGGATTCCCTCTAAGGGAGGGAATTTCAAACTAAGGGACAAACAGGTGCGAAGGCCATGGGGTGGAAGTGTGCTTGGTATTCAGGAAATGGGGATGACTGGAACAGAATAAGCCAGGGAGAAAGCAGGAGGCCATGAGGTCAGGAGGTAGTGAGGCAGGGCCAGTTCATGGGGAGCTTTGTAGGTCATTTTGAGGACATTGGCTGTTATTCTAAGTAGGTTTTGGGGGGTTTCTTTGTACTGAAAATCAAACTCAGGACCTTGTGCTTGCCAGGCAGGTGCTTGTGCCACTGAGTTATATCCTCAGCCCATTTTGAATAATTTAGATAGGAGCCAGAGGACATGAAAGGACTTTGGGACTGTACTGAGTTTGTACGTGACAAGGGCTATTAGCAGTGAACTAAACGGGGACCCATGAGCTGAGATCTGAAGCAAGAGTCCAGTCTTATTATACAGCAGTAGAAGCCCAGCACTCATGGTTGGCAAGCTGAGACGGCTTGATTCCTACAAATGGGATTGTGAGGGAAAAGGAGCTGGGGAAGCCCAGAGGTTATGTCTGGGCCCAGCCCTGGGTCGGTGTGAGCTGGAGGCTGTGTTGGAGGGAGCCAGGCTGACGTGTGAGGGAGCCAGGCTGACCAGACTGATGGTCAGTTCTACAGCAGGCAGAGAAGAGGAAGATTAGGGCTTCTGTTTCTCTTGGCTCTCTAGTTCGTAGGGTTAGAGTGGCTACAAACACGCTAAGTTGGGGGATACCAGGTGCCCCAGTAAGCACTAATGTCTACTAAAGGTAAAATTATGATGTTGACCTTGTAACAAGAGCTGCGCTAAATAATTTTCTTGCCTGGAATTTTGTAATTCTAGCCTCATAAAATCTAATAACAAGCCAGGGGTGGTGGTGCATGCCTGTAATCCTAGCACTCAGGAGGCAGAGGCAGGAGGATCATTGCCAGTTCGACACCAGCCTGGGCAACCAAAGTGAGCTCAAGGCCAGCCTGAACTGCATAGAGAGACCCTGTCTCAAAAAAAAACAAAAACAAAGACAAAAAAGAAAGAAAGAAAAAGAAAAACCATTTCTCACCTCTAAATTGATACAGTGCTCCTGTTTCTATACAGGTGAGGCTCTGGCTGCTATCGCAGCCACAAGACAAGGATGACAGAAACAACCTGAGGCAGACAAAGACTGAGAGCAAGGGGGTGCACTCAGCATATGTGGACATATTTTTCCTGGAACATGATTGCAAGACAAAAAATATTTTATATATACAGTATCCCCATATGTAGTCTCTGCTTAATCACCTCTTCAGTGAGATATGCAAAGACCTTGTAGATTTCATTAGTCACAGGGGTTTATTCAAACGCCTCTTTTGCATAAGAAACCCAGGCTTACAGCTGGTCTCTGGGAAAGAATGCCCTCCAGGCCTTGAAAAGAGAGCTCCAGGCCTGTTCAAGCTCTCACCGAAACACAGCAGAGGTCAGCAGCCCGTGATGCGTGGGGCCCAGCTGAAATGTTTCTATCCAGCATTTGCAATTCAATCCCACAGTTTCCTTTATGGAACAATTCACTAAATTCAGAGCTGTTCTTTTTTCTAATTTGCCATATAATTCACCTCCCAAGTTCAATTAAGAAGCAATCTGTTAGCAACTTTGGGAGCAAGCTGCTTTTCTTTGGGAAAGCCCAATTTTCTTCCGCTCCCAACAAAAAGTGCCTTAATTATATGCATCATATGAGACATTGATGTACACACACAGACAACACCCCTCCACCATAATTAATGAAATATTAACCTTACACAACCAGAGACATATAAGCCAGAAGAGATGAGCTTTTCCAAAGCCCAAGAGGACATCTTATGACTTAGTTCAATATTACTCATTTGAACAAGTGACTATGAATATTCATCAATATGGAAATTCATAAAACTAATTATTCTCCCATCCCTCGTCCAACATTGATCCTTGATTTTCTTAAACACACGAATAGCTGCCATTTTCTAACTGCAGATTATCTGAAGGTAAACCACATATGTTATCTATTTAGTCCTCAAGCCAACCTTCTGCAGTGGGTGTTATCCCCATTTCACATACAAGGAAACTGAGGTTTCAAGCACACATTGGGTGCAGAAGTTAAATTTCTCTCCAGGTCAGTCTTTCATACACATCACATGATAAAACCACCCTGTGAGGACAACCTTAACTCTTGAGTTTACTGACTTCAAAAATTACCTACATCTTTAACGTACCATAGTTAAATCTAGCATAAAATTGTTTTGCTTTACGCTAAGAGAAAGATTCTAAAAACCACTTTGTTA